AATATGTCTGCACCTCACAGGTTACTGTCTTTCCTAATGTAAAAAATCATTGTATATGAAAAAATTACTTGATTTATGCTGGCTGAACAGTCTTCATCTCCATTATCCTTGGGCATGATATTGATGGAAATCTTTCAGGACAAGTCCAGAGTAATTACACTTCTGATTCCTTATGTATAGGAAATACTTAGCAAATAGAATAATTGATAGATTGGATGATATGTTTTAGGGGTTGAAAATTAAATACTTATTGATCCCTTCACAGGATCTGCTCACTGTTCTAGAAGTGCTGTCAATGGAGATCTAGTATCATCAACCATTCCTGAAGAAAATAAATCAGTGTCAAAGGAAAGATCTGAACTGGAAGAGACTCTTTCATCCTTTTCCTCGTGAAACAACTGAAAGTATTCAATTTTCTATAAATAATGCTATGCAAAAGCTGCTGTAATTATACTGTTGTTATAGGAAGTAGTAATTTCCCTTTTTAGAAGGATTTCTCTGCACTTTATAGAATAACATAAATACTATCTTTGAAGTGTATTTTATCTTTATATAGTTTATTTGCAAGAGTATTTTCCTAATATTTCACAGTTTGAATGTGCATTTTTTGGAACAAATGATGGCTTTAACAGATAAGCATCCACATTTGTAAACGTAGCTCTTTTTAAAAAGTGTGAAGGTCTGACTGATACGTTAGTAAACATGCATTATAAACTTCAGCAAAAATTTTCATTTTTTTGGAGAAAATGGGACTTGTGCCCTGGGCCTCTTGGTCATTTGTACCAGGTCATCCACCCAGAGCTGTGATTGGCCCCACAGTAGCTTTTTTTGCCAGTGTAAGGGCTGTGGGAATGGGCACTAATGGGTCTCTTCTAGCAGCTTGACGGTAATTGACATTGCCGCCTTTTCAAATACACGGATATACATAATCCAGTCCTTATTTTTAGCCAATGAAAGTAGAAATATTTAGTGTATTTTTCTAAACAAATGTATAAAAATAACTTAATATGAAGTATTTGTACCAAACATGGGATATTTAATAATTTTTATTTATTTATTCTTTTTTGCATCAAAAATTTCTACCTACTTTCAGTACTAAAGATCTGAAGATCTACTAAAGGCTTCAAATGTGCATAAATTGTTTCTGGGGTGTGTAGTATCACAAGTAGTTAATACAGCACCGTTAAGATTTACTCTACTTAAGATGTATTTTTAGCAAAGTATTATAGAAGCAAGAGCTAAAATGTTAGACTGTTTTAAGCTGCTGTTGTAATGAATATTTGTATCTATATGTGTTTTATTTATGACATATTTATACAATAGGGAGCTTCTGTTTTTGTGTCTCCTTTATATCATTTGAGGATGGTATACACCAGAAGATGGATTCTGCTCTCAGTTACATCAGTTTAAATTTTACATTAACTGTAAGTGAGGTCAGAGTCTGACTCTCTTAATAATTAATTAGTAATATAGTATAACAGTGCCTACTAGCACCTTGGTCCAGAAGGTTCTTAATGTTAACATTGTAAGCTTTTGGGGATTTTTTGGGTGTTTGTTTAGGGATAAACTTGGTCTATAAAGTCTTAGCTGTAGAGCACTTTAAGCAAGCCATTTACTCTTTTTGATTTACACAATTGATAAATAGATGTACAGGGTTTTTTGCACTCAAGCACATACCAAAATCTGTTTTTATAATCAGATCTTCTTTAATTTGGTTTAACTAGTCTTCCTTTTGTGTATATAAATAATTTGGTGGTTTTGAAGTGGGTTGGAAAGGAGAGATGGGAATGGGAGCTTTCCTTATAAATTTTTGGAATGTTGATTTATCTAAATCAAAATAGGTCCAAATGTTGGGGAAAAACATATGAGCTGTTGCCCACATATAAAATGCCAGTTTATAAACCATTATGCCAGGTTCAAGTGGGATGGAATGGTTTGTACAAGGGATTTGTGGATACCAGCTCAGAGCAGTCATTTGTGCTCAGTTCTTTCAGTTTCATACAAACTAGAATATGCATATCAGCCACACATATGCTTGTACATTTTTTCTGAATGTTTGCTTTAATGTATTCTGTATGACACGACAATTGTAAAAAAAAAAGGTATTAAAAAAGATGTTCAGAGAAGTAAACTACATATTGTAGTGAGACTGTTGTCTTGAATCATATGCTGTCTTAGAGCTCCTTTTTGAAATTTCACTGAGGTTTCTGCCAGCTCGTATAGTGTTAAGTATATGTCGCATTGACAGATTTTTTTTTCCTGGCTTTCAACTACTACAAAGAAGAGAGTTTGGACTTCAAATTGTGCAAAAAAAAAATCTGAGATCAGTGTATGTAGTAGTAAATAATAATTTGAAACACTGCTATAATACAAAAGTTGTAATGATCAGATTCAAGCACGGAATTTGCATGTAATTACTTCTTCACTGTTTTGCGTTTCTCCAGGTCACTAAAGCCATCATTTCAACTTTCTATATGTATGTGATATGTTCCTGCTAAAGTTAAATCAGCTTTTTAGATATGACTGTGCCAAACATCCTAAAATGTATTTCAGTGAAATCAGTGAAGATGATATGCTGTGATACTTTTGGCATATGGGGCTAAGAAGTAATTTCTGAAAATGACGCTTACCTGGCTGAATCACAATAATTCATGTACAGTAAGACTAAAAATATCTGGATGTTCTCACATTTTCATTTCCAAGTTTAAGGAGAGCTTATCAGGAATGCTTAATTGTATCACTAATTATACAGTGGAGAATGAGAGCTGAACCTCAACACAGAATATGTAGTTAGTACTTTTAGTTTTGATCTCATGTGCTTCTGAAGAGATCAATCTGAAATTATTTTTTTTAAAACAGTATTTATCACTTAAAGAGTATAAGCATAGTATCTATTTAGGTGAAAAGTGATAACTTCTAATTATATATCTGAAGTTTCTAACTTCAGATAATTAGAAATGGAATGCTTAGATATTACCAGCTTATAGTATAATGAATTAATGGTCAGGCATGCAATGATTTGGAGAGCTGTGAATACTGAGATTACAGTGTTCAGGGGCTTTACTGTAAATTAATGCTTGTGTTTTTTTCAACTTAATAATTCAGCTTCACTTTTCTAAACTTCTTTTTTTTCTCAGAGAAAGCAATCTTTGGGATAAGAATATTTCAGAGGTTGCTTCTGCATAAATTTTTTGTACTTCATTAATTTAAAAATTGAATTCTATTTATGTATCTATTAAGGTTATTTGCACAAATGATAATTTTTGCTCCTTATGCCCCTCTCAGTTTAAGTATTCTAGTGTAGCTGTTGTTCCTGCCAGTATAAATTAGAAACTTTTAAAAGGGGTATAATACCTGAATAAAGGAAATACTCGTGTCTGAAAACTAACTAAACTGTGGTAAAATGAATCTCTCAGTTATTATGGCTATCCACTGTCACAGTTATTCTTCTCAGGCTGCCACATGTAAAGTGTTAGTAGAAAATTTATAGCTCTATAGTAGGATTTATACAGCAACTCACGGAGCTTTGTTAAAAAGTTTTTCTTTAGGCATCAACACACAGGAAACCTTAACACTAAATGCCTTCATACACATACCAGTGGCAGGATATTCTAACTTTCTAACTATTCCCATAGTGCAATAGATTTAATCTTTAAAGAGAGCAAATACCAGCTTGTAAAGTTAGAAGTCCCAATATTTGACCTGAATATAAGAAGTAAATAGTTAAAATGTTTGTTTCATGCAGAGACTGCTTAACCTATTGTCTCGAAAAATGTTATTCTTTAGGGAAGTGTTTTGTGAAATGGAATATTGAAGCTCTAGGCTGTGACTTTAGTGATGTCACTCTGTATTAGCATTTGCTTAGCAGTCTTGTGGAAAAACACTGGCTCAGCTGGTTGGCCTGTAACATTATCTATTAAAGCCGTGTTTCAGCAAAGCCTGTAAGTATTGTAAATCCTATTTTTAGTCATGTAAGTGACTCATCTGAAGTTAGGTGTGCTTGCTTAAGCACTGTGCAGAGTTGGGCCAAAGAGATACTGACAGAATGAACTTGCTTACACTGACACTCTATCAAGTAAGTATATCTAAGACTCAAAAGAGGCCATGTAAGATTGACCTTTCAGTAGCCTTTGTGGAGAAAAGTCCATGGTTAAATCTGCAGATACTGGCTGTCACTATTTCTTTCTGCCGCAGTGACCAACTACCTAGTGCATTTTTAGTGTTAATTTTCTTATGTGCCTGCGTATGCAAGTTGGTTGTTGGTTAAACAAGATTGTACTTATGTATTTTTGTGTCTTGTACTGAGTTTGTTGGTTGAGGTTTTTTTAAATATCTAATGAAATGAGAATTAGAAGCTTTCTTGAGGTTTTTTTTTCTTATAGTGGTTTAAAGATTAAAATGAACAGCTTTTTCTACTTCATTTTTATTATTCTTTACTTTCCTCCCTAAGAAATAATTACCATGCACTCTTAAACTCTTTCATCTTTATGATTGTTTCTAAATGTTCCTGGTTGCATTACTTGACAAAGTTTGGATTTTGTCCTGACCCTTAGGTCTTCTGAAATCCTTTTTTTTACTTTAGTCCTTCTTTCATTCTTAGCTTTCCTGCATCATGTGGATAGATAGTGCTTGATAATGTGTAGGTTTATAGGAAATTATAAAAAAAGAAGTGGGCTTCTATAGTGAGTCTTTTTGGAATAGGTTTTTAAACAATCTACCTGCTTTACTACTTCTGATGAACTTGAGCCTTTTTTTTTTTTTTTTACTAGTAATGGTATGCTGGGAGTCATAGTGATGCATAGTGTTTGCTGACTAATGTTCCTGCTACACGTAAGAGAATTTTCAGCCCCTGAAGTGTCGCATTGCTGTGAGTGTGTTTTCTCTCAAGGTTTTTCTACAGACCAGAGTGAATTCTGAAGCAGAGTTACACCTTGGACCTTGATACTCTTTTTCCCACAGATAACAAAATTTGGACCTGCCTACATGGTACTTGTGATTCACAACTTGTGCCCCCCCACCCCCCCTGCCCAAATGTAAAGGCAGGCTTTACTCCTACAGGTATGTCAGCTGACTTGAGGAATGGAAAACTGATGGGACATAAGCCCTTAATAAGCCACGGGAGGTCCAGGCAATTAGGGTCAACTAGTCTGTAGTAGTTGTAGCTGCCAAAAAAATAGAGGCTATAGAGGAAAGTGTGGAAATAACAGAGCAATAAGAACAGCACAATGCTTAGATATGTGCTAGAATTTATCCTTTGTCAATGAAGAACCTATGATAAAAATTTTTTTTTAAAGTCTGACTTTTTTCAAGGCTGACTGGTGCCCAGGATGTTTCCAATAGCTACCTGGTTTAACAGCAACAGTTAGCAACCTGGCTTACATTGGAGAATTGCATTTCTACCCCATCTTTTTTTTCAGTAACTTTTCCTGTAGTGTACAGGAACTACAGGAACTGTAAAAACAGCGTAATAAATAAAGAAGGAGTCACAGATTTTATGGTGCAGAAAGCATGCTTTATTTCAAATGAACAATTCTATCTCAAGGAGGTTCAACAGCTAACAAGCTCTATTACTACATTAGGAGAACTAAAGCAAATTGAAGTGCAGGGCGGTATTTGATGTTGGAGCAACAGTTTGTTTTCAAACTGTGGTTCATTGCTTAGTTGCCCAGAAGCGACTACAGGGTGTCTAATTCTACCACACAAACTCAATCACTGCACCCTATGAACCTCCGAGATGGGGTACTGCTGCTGCACTTGAATACCTAAATAGCTTTGTTGATTAAGGGGATGGCCAGGTGATGTTACTTTTTTAAAAGCTATTCAGGCAGTCAATATGTCAGAAACAGTACACATTGGGTGAACAAAGTGCTGGCCGCTTGCACTTTGTCCAAAAATTGTCAGTCAGGTATGGAAATTATGACATAATCAGATCCAATGTAAAACATTAAAGCAATGCTTACAGGAGGGTAATTGCAAACATCACCAATGCCTTACATTTCTGATTCAACATAAATTTTTGTGCATGTATAAAATACTATGCACTGTATCATCTCTTAGGTGTAGGTAATCTTCAACAGGGAGACTCTCTACCTGTTGAGGCATTCTTAGACATCAACAATGAGTTGAGGCGCAAAGATTAGTTAAATGTTGAGCAGGATAGTCGTTTGCTAGGAAACTTTCTCCTGCCAACTGTGAGTTCCAAAAGTTACATTTCAAAATGTCATAAAATAAATGGTACAAAACTTCATAACCGTTAACTTCGGCTATATACAGTATGTACATGTCTGTGAAAAAAGTGTTTTAAATTCTTAGGTCAATAATGACTATAAGTCTGGACTTTGTCTCATTCAGGTAGGTAAAAAAATATTTTTCTTTTTATATTTACATATCAGATATTCCAGTCCATATATGAATCACTTGTAAAAAAACAAGTGTAAATAATACATATCGAGCTCTCTAATGTGATCGAATATTAATATTCACAGAGGCAGAATCGGTACCAAATTCATTTCCTAAATTCAGGGTATAAAGTCCACCGTCGTTCTTCTGGACATCCATGATGATCAGGGTGGTTAGATCTTCGCTAGTTTCAATGTGGAATCTGCCTTGCTGGTCCTGACTGGTTATTTTTCTCCCCCCGCAGTACCATGTTATTTCAGGAGCAGGGTCACCCGAAAAGGCACAGGATAGTGTGAGAACTTTTCCTTCATCAATGCTGATATCGGATGGGAGAGCTTCAATTTTAGGTGGTACTCCTTCATAAAACAGGAGAAGAAATAGCAAGTTAGTCTGTTTCCACTAAGCCATGCAGCAGCTTCACTCTGAGGACTACTTCAGGATAGCAGAAGCACTAACTCTACCAATAATCATAATGCTCACCTCTCAGACCTGATTTGAGCATTTTACTAGTTGAACTCTCCAGTTGAGCCATACTAGATTTCCCCATAATACTGCTGGAGCTCATCTCTACAAAGGATTCTTTCATGGAGGACATGCTTTTGGCAGACATGCTTTCAAATTTCATTTCAGTCATGCTGCTACTGCTGAAACTGCTGAATGAAGCCTCTTGTTTAGAAGAAGCCATTTGAAACGACTGAGAAGAAAAACTTTCGTGCATGCTTGCGTCGCCACTGGTCTTCAATACTACCTCTTTTGGAGGTTCTTCAATTAGAGCTGAGGAGCATTGCAAACATAGAAGGAAAAAGCAACAACATCACATTAACGAACAAAGTCATGCAGTTCTGTCTGGTTAATTTTACAGAAATGAAGAGACAGCATACATTGCTTTCAATGGAAAAACTGCAGTGGAATATAAAATTGTTTTCAGTCATTTGATTCAAGATGACAAAGTCACAAACAGTAATTTAGAAAGGAAACAAGTAGACAATGGAATGTACTGGTATGTATGAGCTTGAAGGAAAAACATAAATACTTAAAAAACCCCAGGTTATCACACAGTGTTTATTAGAACTATTAGACATTAGAATTAGATACTGAGAAATTGTGTTTCACTTCATGTTTGTAGAAGTTGTGTAACATTTTCAAGTTCTTACAAACATGGAATAGTAAAGTCTCTATTTCACTGCATTGTTCTGTACTTATAAAAGGTAACAGAAAAGCTCAATCACTGCAGCTTTGCTTTAAACCCAAACACAGTCATACAAGCAAATCATAGCCACCCCTTGATGCTAGGAGCTGGGATATGGTACAGCCAATAAAATACTAAACCCAGTTCAGTTAAGTTGCCATAAAAAATTTTAATTGTGGAATTACTTTGTTTTATTGGAACAGATTCTGCTAGTAAATGAGGAAAGAGTAATTACCAGCACCAAGGTTTTAACATACTCATTCTAGAATGAATGCTCAAATACTCATAGCTTTCTCTTAACATGCATCTGTTGATGTTATAGAGCACCTGTGTGCTCCTCTGTGGGTGTTAAAAAGATTTGTAATGCTGTTTTAGTTCTGTATATACAAAATACAACAGAAAAATTAACTTGTTAAAATATCTAAGTCAACATTACCAGTAACTTTTATCATAAGTCGTTTTAGTAGACACACCACAGAAAAAGTTGTGATTATTCTGAACACAAGACCTGGAGAACAAACTTACGGAGTACAGTTAAAGATGCTGTAGCAGAGCACTGCCCATGGTAATTTTTTGCCTTGACTGTGTATTTTCCAGTGTCACTCACTGCTGCATTTCGAATCTCAAGAGAATATATATTTTTAGAGCGAGTTACTCTGATATGTGATGAAACTGCAATCTGAGGAGGAAAAAAAACCAGTTTAATTAAGATCAGTTTTATGAATAATTCTGTTTTTTCAAGTAAATATATTAAATGATTACTTACAGGTTGATTATTCTTTAACCACTCAATTTCAGGAGAAGGATCCCCAGAAATTTCACAGGTGAACAACACGTCTTGTCCTTCATTGACATTTTGAGACTTAGGCTGCATGATGAATGCTGGTTCGTTGGAGCGCTCTTTAGAGAAGGTCAGAACATACTGGCATTTAATAATGCCTTCGTCAGTTTTACCCTCACAGGTGAGTATACCTTCTTCTTTACTACTGGCCTTTTTGATAGTTAGCGTGTGATCACTTCCAGAAACACCATATCTGTAATCCTCTGAATTTCTCAGCTCCATTCCATTCAGCACCCATTTTACTTCAGAGGCACCAGGAATGTTGGCCTTCAACGTCACTTTCTGCCCTTCAGATACTGTCATTTTAGTTGAAGAAGCTTTAATTTCTGCTTTCACTTGTTTGACATCTTCAGTAACAACTGACTTTTGAATGACTTCTTGAACTGCAGATTTCTCTTCAGTTGCAACTGCTTTTTTCTTTTGAGTAGAAACTGTAAGCAACTCATCTTCTTTCTGAACTGATTTATGAGACTCAGATACACTTCTTACCTGGGAATGGATATTTTTAAATACTTGGCCGGTAAACTGGAAGTTAGTTTTTGAAACACCTGCTTCCCCAATAATTTCACAGGTGTATTCTCCTTTATCAGATTCCACAAGCTCATGGATTTTGAGCTCATAAGTGCCATCTGCTGAATAATGAAACTTGAAATGATGGTCTTCTTTCAGTTTTTTACCATCCTTGTACCAAGCCACTTCTCTGACACTTAAAACATTGCTTTCAACTGCACAGGATAACTTCACCTTATCTCCAAGAGCTTCTGCTTTCAGATGCTGTTTTATCTTTGGTGGAGAAGCAGCTGGTAATTGTACTTTCTCTGCTGGTACTGTTTTGTCTCCAGGTGGTGACTTAGCTTTTGGGGGACTGCTGATGGGTTCAGGAGATTTCACTCGTTTAGGAGACTTAACTGGCTCTGGAGACTTTACATGAGGCTCGGGAGATTTGATCCTTGGAGGTGATGTAATTGTTTTTTCAGGAATTTTTGTTCTTTGGATGGTCAAAGTAAAATGCGCTTCCTGTCTTCCTTCAGAGTTTTCCACTACAACAGTGTAACTTCCTTCATCTGACATCTGGACCGAAGAAATTTCAAAGGTAGACTTGTACTGCGTTCGTGTTACTTGGAAGCGCCTCGAAGAAACAATGGGTTGACCTGCACGGAACCATGTTATTGTTGGTGCTGGTTCACCATCAACATCACAGGAAAATCTTGCAGTCTCCCCTTCAGAAACTGTGACTGATCGTGGCTTTGTAAGGATTGTTGCTGGTAGAGTGCTTTTAAATGCCTTGTGTACAGTCCTTTCTTCCAATGATTTTTCTTCAGCTGCAGTGACTTTTTCTTCAGAAGCAGCGTAGTGTTCATAGGATAAAAGTGATTCTCTTGTTGCTGACATTTCTGATTTGACTTCTCTTACTGAGGAACTAGCTTCTGTAGCAGATGCTTTCTTAAATGAAGAGATTGCATATGCCTCTGTTTTTGTCAAGTCAGGTAAAATTGACCTTGGTACTTCTTCATCTCTCCTCTGGGAAGAGTATGTAGTGTAATCTCCTCCAGTAACATCTAGCGTTGCATAATCAGAACATTCCCCTTTGTAGTTTGTGCATACAGCCCGGTATGTTCCACTGTCATCAATGTGGCAGTCGAGAATCTCCAGAGTTAATACACCACTGGTATTAGTAAAGTGTATCTTACTGCTCTCCTGGAGCTCAATGCCATTATGATACCACTTCACTTCAGCAGTTGGTTTTGATTGGACATTTAGAATGAACCTGGTATTATGGCCACATGGTACCCGGTGTGAACGCATTCTCAGGGTAATGCGAGGGGCATGGTCAAGGGTGAAAGGCTGCTGAGTCAGAACTTCATATTTCCTTTCCATAGTTTTTTGAGTTTTCAAAGCAGATTTCATGGACTCATATCTGGAAAATATATCAAACCTTGCCATCCTCTCAAACCGCGAGAGAGATCTTTCACTAGAAACTGGGCTAGGTGAGCGTGGTCGAGTTCTCTCTGGTGTTGGGGATCTTCTCTCACTTTCTTCAGGAGGCCGTGAGCGAGGTCGAATTAATTCAGATACAGGACGCATCAACTCAATGTAAGTTGGAGAAAGGGATCTTCTTCTCCTTAATAGTCTAGAGGGAGGTGAAAATTCCCTGTGAACATGTTGCACCATTTCTATTTCTTCTTCTTCTTCTGATGCGATCTCAGTTATTTCTCTTTCCCTCCTTCTCCTGAGTCTACTCTTTTCTTCTTCTGCCATATATTTGAGCTCACTCTTGTATTCAGAGAGTCGTTGAGCAGTGCCAACAGGACGGAGCAATTCTTCATCCTCCCTCTCATCCATTATTCTTTGCTTCTGTTTAGGTGGTCTGTAGGCAGCCCTGTCATGGCGTTGACGAAGTTCTGCATAGCTCGCACTGGTCTCAGCTTTAGTTGGGATGTGATAGCTTGAATACCTCAGCTCTCTTTTTCTTTCTTCCTCTGAACTGACCTGTGCTGCTGCAGTAGAATACCGAAGGGCAGACAGTTCAAAGCGGGGGGGGCTTCTACTTGGTGGGGAAGCAGAAAAGCCTAACTCCAGTTCTTCTTCAAGGCGCAGTCTTTCCTCTTCAGTTCTCTTCATGGCTAAGTAGTCATCTATAGGCATAAGCAATTCCTCATCAGACAAGTCGCCAAGTGATCGCCGCCTTGGCCTATAGTAATATTCATACTCTGGAGATGGGGTACGCCGACGTGCTGGTCTCACAATTTCAAGATCATCTTGTGTTAGCTTTGGTATGCGCCATTTAGGCTTGTACTGGTCAGAAATGCGTGGTAGTGGCATCACGTAAAATTGTTCCCACCTGGAAAGACGTATGCGTTTCTGACGTTTCTGAACAGTCCTCTCAAGTTTTCCTGGCATTTCATACTGGTCTCGCAGCCTCTTGTACCACTTCATGTCTGACAGAGGCACATAGTGTTTAATATTCTGATCTTCCTCAAGAGCAGCACGTACATGTTTGCGAGGCTCTGGGACCTCGTATGGCATACGAAGTCTTCTTTCCTCCTTCTTTTCCTCTTTCTTAATTTCATATTCACCTTTGACAGTCTTTGAGCTAACGGCTGGTTTATATAAAATAGCAGCTTCTCTGAGAGCCTCTTGTGCAGTTTGTGTCAGTGGAACAGCTTCAACCCCAGCAAGGATTTCTGCCATTCGTAAGGTCTTGTCGATTTGCCTTTGTACATGCTTCTCCCGCTCTTCTTCAGTCTTGTACTCACGCTTGACATATTTCAAGCGTTCAACTTTTAGATAAGCCTGACAGCTTGTAGATCCAGCACTGTTAGTAGCAGTAACTCTGTAATAGCCACTGTCTTCTGGTAAAGTATCTCTGATATGCAAAGCATAATAATCTAAACCTTCATGAATTATATCAAAGTTGGGACCAAAGGATAGAGGTTGACCATCTTTCTCCCATTTCAGCGTTGGTTTTGGTACACCAGATACCCTGATCTCAAAACTGACACTTTGGCCTTCTTGACATTCAGCATTTGCCAGCAGTCTTTTAAACATTGGCCTGAGTGTGGCATCTGCTGGAGGCGGGTGTGGAATCACAGTCAGCTTAGCTTTGCAGCTGTCTTCACCAAATCTATTGCGTGCCACTATACTGTATTCAGCATCATCCTCTTCAGTGACGTTATTGATGACTAGTTGATAAAGACCCTTGTCTGATTCAAAAGTATACTTCTTATCATCATCACCAGGTTTGATTTTCTGGCCTGATTTGAACCATGTTAGGCGAGGTTCTGGGTGAACTGTTATAGTGACTCCAAACCTGACATTTTCTCCGACATACGCAGTGCGGTTATACAAAGGCAGAGTGAATTCTGGTGGATGCTCTAGCAGTCTCATAGTATCAACCCGTCGTTTCACTTTTCTAACAGTTCTGCATCTGTAGTGCTCAGAAATTTCCCTCACACCTTTAACAAAAAGTTCTGCATAAGAGCTGTCTTCACCATAGTCATTTACTACCTTGCATCTGTAGGTACCATCATCTGATTTAGAAACATCTTTGACATACATGGTTGCCACACCTTCTTCATATTTGATTTCATATTTCTCATTGCTTTCTAATTGTCTCATACCAAAGTACCATGTGACTTGTGTGGATTCATCATAGTTTTCAATCGTACATACATATTTGGCATGCCCTCCTTCTTCTGCAACATTATGCTTTATCTGCCCAGCAATGGGCCCAATGTCTATTGGTGCAACTTTGACTTTAGCAACCGTTATGCCTTTCTGGGATCTAATCGCGCCTCCACAGGAAATGCGGGCTACTGACACAACTGTGTTCCACTCCTTCTTTACTAGAGTTTGGTAGTAACGCCTGTGCCTCAAGGTCTTGATGGCTTTAGTGCTGGTCTTTTCTGTCTGCTGTTTTAGCCACACATGATTAAGAGCTTCAGCAGCTGTCATCCGAGATTTTCTTTCTTTTACTAGTAGACGATCAATGAAGTCCATAGCCTCGACACTTATGTCTTTGAATGCTTCATCATCGAAGCTGTATTCAGCATTTAGAATATTTTCAATAACTTGTTGGTTTGTTTCAGCAATGAAAGGATTAAGGCCACTGAGAAGTATGTATGTTAGAGCACCAACTGACCACATGTCAGTAGCTGTGCTGACCAAGTCATGGTGATGTACTTCAGGTGCATAATATTCAGGGGCAGTGAACTGAAGTCTAAAGCTATCTCCAGGCCTCAATTGTCTGGCTTGACCAAATTCAACAATTTTAACTACAGAGCTTCTTCTTGTGAAGTAAATAATATTGTCTGGTTTAATATCAAAATGTCCAATGTTATGGCGATGTAAAAATTCTAGTGCATCACAGACCTGGCGTACATAACTTACTATTTCTCTTTCATTCAGTTCAAATGAAGGTGTGCTGATTCTTTCGAAGATGTCAACTCCAGAAATGAATTCAAATATCATGACCAATTCTTCTAGGCTCTCAAATGATTCATGAAGATACAGGATATTTTGGTGCCTAGCAATGTTTAGAATGGAAATTTCTTTCTTTACCAAAACTTGGTCAGCGCCCTTTACTTTGACAAACTTTGCCAGGTAAGTCTTTTTTGAAACTGCCTCAACACAGCGGTGTGCAATGCCAAATTGCCCGCGTCCAAGCTCTTCTGCGATCATATATTTGTCATAGAGTTCCTTTGTAGAATAGTGAGCTGCTTTAGCTGCTGTGACTTCTCTCGTCTCATCAACTTCTTCATCATAGTTCATTATTCTAGTCTTATCTTCCTTTGTTACAACTGGATCGGTGGGTTCAGAAGGCTGACTTTGGCCAAACTTGTTTTCTGCAATTACACGGAACTGGTAGGTGGTCTTACCAAATAGGTTCACCACTGTGTATCGTGTATCACGAGCTTGTGCAACACGAATCCATCGCTCTGCTGTTGTAGCACGTTTCTCAACAATGTAGTTTATGATCCTGCTTCCACCATCTGTAGCTGGTTCATTCCAGGTTAAGTTGACTGAATCCCTTGAAATGTCAGTTACTTTTAGACCTCTTGGTGGATCAGGCACATCAGCCACATCTAATTCAACTGTTTTTTGATCAATTCCAAATCTGTTTTTGGCACAAACAATGTAAAACCCTGCGTCTTTTCTGTCAACACCATTTGGGAAAACGAGAGATGTGAATGATCGTGTGACAATGACTTGGTAGTGTCCATTAGTATCAATGAGATCTTGTCCCTTCTGCCATGTGATCACGGGGGTAGGCTTGCCACTGAATGGAATCTTGATGCTCACCACTTCCCCTCGGAGAGCATGAACAGCTCCCATGCCTTCCAGGTTTTTGGGCAAGTGGATCTTTGCAGGAACTGGAATAGAAAGAGGAAGAAAAAACAACACATGACCAAAAGCACATGAGAAGAGCACCTATAGTCTAAATATTCAAAGCTTTAAAAGAATTTGTCTTATTAAGACTCTTCATTCACCTTCAACATCCAAAGAGGCAGTGCCAGACACAGATCCTCCTTGGTTGGTAGCTCTAACTTGATATACTGTGGCATCATCATCTGTTACATTTGCGATGATCAGCTGGTAATATCCACCCTTGAATTCCTGTATCTTGATCTTTTCCCCATCTGGCATGATTTCTTTGCCCTGTCTGTACCACTTGACAATTGGCTTAGGATGACCGGTGACTTTGCAGACAAACGTGGCGTTAGCTTGAAATTTCACATTCAGATTCCTTAGTTCTTCCTTGAAATGTGGAGCTTTAATGGGTACATCAGATTTTGGAATGACTGGTTGGGATACCTCACTCCACTCGCTTTCACCACCAAGGTTTTCACATTTTACACGGAACTCATATTCAAGACCTTCAATAAGATCTTTCACAGAGTAGACTGTTTCACGGATTTCATCTGTTGTTACAGAAATCCACTTGTTTTGTTTTTTCTCACGCTTCTCAAGATAATAAGTTCTAATCTTTGCACCACCATCACTTGCAGGTGGCTTCCATGAGACAACACAGGAATCCTTTGTGACAGCACTTGCTACTGGCTGGCCAGGTTGTCCTGGTTTTTCTGTAAAGAATAAAAAAATTCAAAAATTGAAGTGAGCTTGCCTTACTAATTACAGGGTGTGCTGGTTTTGGCTGGGGTAGAGTTAACTTTCTTCCCAGTGACTGGTATGGGGCTATATTTTGGATTTGTGCTGAACACAGGGTTGATAATATAGAGGCGTTTTTGTTATTGCTGAGCAGGGCTTACACAGAGCCAAGGCCTTTTCTGCTTTCTGTACTGCCATGCTGGCAAGGAAGTTGGGGGTGCATGGGAGGCTGGGAGGACACACAGCTGGGACAGGTGACACCAACTGACCACAGGGATATTCCAGACCATATGACATGCTCAGTATATAAAGTGGGGGGAAGAAGGAGGAAGGGCATGAGGTTTGGAGTGATGGCTTTGTCTTCCCAAGTAATGAGTATGTGTGATGGGGCCCTGCTATCTCGGAGATGGCTGAACACCTGCCTGCCCATGGGGAGCAGTGAGATGATGTCTTGTTTTGCTTTGCTTTGTTTGTGTGCGCAGCTTTTGCTTTCCCTATTCAACTGTCTTCATCTCAACCCACGAGTTCTCTAGCTTTTTACCCTTCCAGTTCTCTCCCTGATCCTGCTGGTGGGGGAGTGAGCAAGCAGCTGTGTGGGGCTTGGCTGCTGGCTTACAGAAATTGATACTTTGGCCTCCACTTACCAAATGGAGGCTTTATGAAAACCACTGATGAGACCTCCAGTGCTTCACTAATGCCATATGTATTCTGAGCAGAAACACGGAAATAATAGCCTGCATTTTCAGTTAGGTTAACAATTCTACAGGTTGTGCCTGAAATGCTTGAAGATACAAGTTGCCATTCTGTTCCTTCCTTGGCTTCACGTTTCTCTATGATGTAATTGGTTATCATAGCACCTCCATCATCCTCTGGTGGTTTCCAGCTTATCACCACAGAATTCTTCAGTATAGACTCTATAACAATTGGCCCTGCTGGTTTATCTGGTTTATCTGTACAAGAAAAAGCACAACATTTTTAGTTCTTTTTCCAATCAATATTTGAGAAAATATTCCACAAAAATACTGAAAATAAAATGAATTACCTTGTATTTCCACATTAAGTACAGTGTCAACCGTTCCAAATGTGTTACTGAGTTGTACTTTGTACTTCCCAGCATGAGTCTTGTGCTGGACATTCTTAATAGCAAGATGAGTATAATGTTCTGTGTTCTCAATAGTAACTGTTTCTGATCCTCTCAAAGGTTTGTTGCCATGGAACCAGGTTATTGCTGGTACTGGTCGGCCGATATACACAACGTGAAGGCGGAGGGTGCCACCTGCACCTGCATAGTATTTCTCTTTCAATGGAAAGCCAGGATGGAACTGAGGAGGAGCCTGCAATAACAGTTTGCCACTAGTTTCAATTTCTCCGACATCATTGGTAGCCATACAAGTGTAGAGACCTTCATCCTCCTGTTCCTCTGTCATTACTGTCAGTGTATGATTGCGTCCATCAGATGACATTTTGTATTTTCGGCTTTGCACCAGTTCTTTGCCAAAGCGGTACCATTTAATATCAGGCAAAGGTCTCCCAACAATCTGGCATGTCAGCTGAGCCGCCTCACCCAGTTTAGTTGTAACGTCCTGCATTTCTTTTCTGATGGCAGGTGCTTCTCCAGCTATGACAAAGACAATTATGAAAATAATGATGATTATTATGAAATTTTCCTCTCATACTGTATTACTGGAAATTAATTTTCATTTATACTTGTTCCTCTAAAACCTGAAAGACTGTTCTTTAGAACAGTCACGTTGGCAAATAACATGTAAAACAAATAGGCAGCATGTTAAGTGCAGCACCATGGTTTATGACAGCAAATCACAACAATATCACAGCAAATGTGACAATATGTTTTTGCTTACATGTTAATTTAGTTTTCACTGCCATAGCAGTCCTGCGCGGTCTGCTGAGGCCAGTCTGATTTTCTGCGAAAACACGGAACTCATATTCTGTAGCCTCTAGTAAACCTCCTACTGTAAACTGCCTGTCCTTGATGTGTTCCTTATTGCATTTTTTCCAGGTGCTTTCTCCAGACTGGCGATATTCAACCCAGTAGCCAAGGATCTCTTTCCCACCGTCACTTTCAGGTCGTTCCCATTCTAATGTAATGCTGTCCTTAGATATAGAAGTGATCTCAATTTCTCCAGGTTGGCTTGGTTTGTCTGAGAATTAAAAGAGATACAGAAAATAAATTCCTCTCTAAATGCCACAAAGTTACCCTTCACAAGATCTGTTAATGCAGACATTTTCTTACCAAATGGATCCTTGCATACAACTGGTTCAGAAGCAGGACTTGCTTCACTTTCACCAATGTCATTTTGAGCAATGATACGGAATTGATATTCAGCATCTGGAACAAGTCCTGTGACTGTGTACATTGTAGTGGTAATCTGTGTCTTATTATGCCGGACCCATTTTTCTGTAGATGTCTCTTTACGTTCAATGTAGTAGCCAGTTACACGAGAACCACCATCGTCTTTAGGTCTGGACCAGGACAAGTTGACAGAACTCTTTGTAACATCAAGCACTTCAGGTGGGTTGTTTGGAGGCTCTGGAGGATCTATGAATAATAATAGCAAAAATAATAGAAATAATAGTGACATAGCATTAAAACTTTTGTATATATTATTGCACTTTTAGATCATAATGTAGTAACTAATTTTCTATTTTTTTATTTTTTTTTTTAAATCTAAGAGGGAACTTACTTAGAGGTGTCTTTGGTACTGCTGGTTCTTCAGATTTGAGAGATTTGCTAATACCGAAATGGTTTTCAGCAGAAACACGGAAGTGATATTCCACATTCTCTTTGAGCCCTTTCACCACCAGTGATGTCCCTTTCACTCTGGAGTCAACAGTGTACCAGGCAGTCTTCGGTACTTCTCTTCTCTCAACAATGTAACCTAGGATATCTGCACCACCGTCATCTGTAGGAGGTCTCCAGCTTACTCTGACAGAACGAGCTTGTATATCATCATACTCCAGTGGCCCTTCTGGTGGATTCGGAATGCCAATCACTCTGACTTTAATATACACAGCTTTTTTGCCACACTTGTTTTCAAGTGCCAAATCATAGGTTCCTGAATCTTCTCTTTCTGCATCTTTGATCACAAGTTCTGTGTGAGTCTCAGAAGTTGCAATCATGGCCCTCTTGCTGATGTCTTGTCCTTCTTTTGTCCATTTGCATACTGGGATGGGCTTACCCTTAATGGGTATTGTAAGCCTGATTACTCCACCTTGTCTCACCATGAGACCTTCTTGGTATTTTTCATCAAGTTCATAGTCAGGATATTCTGTAAACAAAATTAAGATGTCATGTTATGTCTGTTTTACAGATGATAGCATACTTGTCTTAGGCAAATATTTTTTTTAGGACAACTTTCAACAGAAGCTAAGGCTTGAAGTATCTTACCAAGCATTTCTGTTATTTTGACTGTTCCTGGCACTTCAGCAGGTTCTCCTGGCCCACCAGCATTACAGGCTAGCACACGGAATCTGTACTCTGCACCCTGGGGAAGATGTGTCAAGGTGTATTCACGAATCTTGGTTGGCGTAGTGTTGCATTTGGTCCATTCAAATTGATCAACCTTCTGCATCTCAATTAAGTAGCCAGTAACTTTAGAACCACCTTCATCTTCTGGTGGACTCCAGGCCAGGGAGACAGATGTTCTTGTAGTATCAGTGACTCTTGGATTCTGAGGTTTACCTGGAGGAGCTGGAAGAGAAGATCAGATAGGGTGTAATTTTTTTAACGAATATTTAAAAGATAAGCAAATGTTAACTTGCAACATATGATCTGTAATAAGTCTATAGTCTATTTATATAGGAAAACTTTGAATGAAAGATTTTCACTAATATTTTCTCTGTTTTCTCCAGTCAGAATCTCATTTATTAATACATCCAGATAAATTTCTGAATGAGAAAAAAAGAGTAAATTTTACTACTGTCATTCCTTTTTGCCCTAATGTGCTTAATGTATGTAGGAAAGTACTTACCAATTGGATCTCTGGCAACAGCAGACTTGGAAGGACGACTGGGTTTCCCAGTACCTCTGGCATTGATTGCTGTGACTCGGTGTTCATATTCCAGTCCTTCGACCAACCCAGTGGAACGGTAACGAGTCATAGTAACTGGGACTTTATTTACACGGATCCATCTATCTGCTCTAACTTCTTTGCGTTCCACAATATAACCAGTGATCTGTGAGTCACCATCATCTTCTGGAGGATACCAAGTTAATGTCATGCCATCTCGAGAGATATCAAACACTTCTGGAGTGCCAGGAGGACCAGGAATACCTGTAAAACAGGACACAGAATTAGTGAAGAAATCAAATGATTCTATGCATTAGTAATGTGCAACGTATTGTGAATGACAATATAATATCAATGTCCTGTCAAACTCTTTTTATCAGCAGATATCTAAGTACTTTACAAATTAGGTCAGCAAAATACTCTTGGCTTTGTAATGGGGTGAAGCAATTTTTCAAGACTATTAGTAGACCTGAGCAGAAAATCCAAGTTTACGATTCACATTGTGTGCAGTTCATCTGCAATACCTACATAGATTTATGGATGGCATTTTTCCCCAGAAATGAAACGAGATTATTGTGCATCATAATGTACCATTTTACTTGGCAAAAGGAACTAGTAACATTCAGAAAAATCTAATCTATGCATGGGTACATAAGCCCATTTAAATATATATTTATATTTTTAAAGGTAGAGAATAAACAAAATTTCTGACTTACGGATTCTGCTCTTGCATTCTATAATTTCAGACTGTAGGTAAGATCCGATTCCAAAGCGGTTTGTAGCAGCCACACGGAACACATATTCTGCACCTTCAACAAGTCTGGTGAACTTAAATGTTGTCCTGGTTACTGACTCTGAAACTGGCAGCCATCCAGGACGGTGAGCATCACGCTGTTCTACCACATATCCACTAAGGGCAGCTCCACCATCCAGCTCAGGTGGGTCCCAGGAGATAGTTACATAATTTGAATCAACTTCGTCAATTCGGATAGGTCCAACAGGTGGTCCAGGTTTGTCTAGGAAATAAAAAAGAAAATTAAAAAACAAGTGGAAAAAAGGAATCATATTGCTCATGTAAAAGCTCAAATGGAAAAAGATCATGGACAATTATTTTCATTAATTCTTACCAAGGATTATAACCTTTAGTGTATCAGTAGCTGTTCCAGTTGTGTTCTTCAGTTCAAGCATATAGTCTCCAGTGTCATGTATGGTGGTCTCACGCACAGTTAATTTAGTCATTTTAGCAACAGTCTCCATTTTGATGCGTTCTGATTCTTTTAGTTTAGAACCAGCAAAGAACCAAGATGCAGTTGGAGGTGGTCGTCCTTCAATTGGAATGGCTAACTCAATGGGCTTGCCAGCAGGTACATGAATTGTCTTCTGAGGTATTCCAGCAAAGTCAATTGTTGGCAGAACTAAGAAAAGAAATTAATTGATATTAAATTGATTGATATTTAATTGATTTTAAATACCTGTTTTATAAATATCACACTCACTTTATGTAAGCTTCACCCTGTTATTTGCAACAGTGGACACCTACCTTTTTGGTCTTGGACTGTTACTGCTGTGACAATCTCTCGTGGTTCTGACACGCCTTTCTGATTCTGTGCTCTAACCCTGAACAAGTACTGTTCGCCTTCATTGAGAGAGATAATTGTATGTTCGTAGACAGTAGGCTTCAGTGTCACTACCTTCAACCATCTTTCTGTTCCAGCTTTGCTGGCCTCAATAACATAGCCTGTCAATCTGCTGCCACCATCATGCAGTGGCTTCTCCCATGCAAGAGTAACAGTTGATTTAGTGGTGTCAATCACTTCGAGTTTTTGTGGTACCATGGGGACATCAGATACTAGTACTGCATCAGATGTTTCACAAGCTTCACCAATGCCATAAATATTTTCTGGCAGTACTCGGAAATAATACAAAGCTCCTTCTAGAAGTCCAGTGACTCTATAAAATGTTTTGCTGCATTTGGTAGTCACAGTCTTGTAAGCTCTCATGGAAGCTTCACGTTTCTCGATTATGTAATTGTTGACTGGGGCTCCACCGTCAATGTTTGGAATATCCCAAGTAAGTGTCACAGAATCTTTTGATGCTTCCTTAACTTTTACTGAAGATGGTGGACCAGGTGTATCTAAAACAAAAAACAACAACAAACAAACATTTTTTTTTTCTTTTGGATCCTTTCACTTTACAGTCAATGACTGCTTCTCCATAAAAGAAATGCTTGGATTTGATTCATAAACTAGCACAGCTTCAGACACTATGTATTTTCCTTTGGTTTAGATTGTTTCTCTGACTTCTCAAACATGTTATTTAAACTTCTCATGTTATTTAAACTGCAAACTTCCTTTGGAATTGAATGACACTTATTCCTGAGTAATGAGCATGAAGACTGGTGGAATGCCCACATACAAACGTAGCAGTACTTACCATACACCTTCACAGAAATAGTTGCAGATTTTTTTCCAGATTGATTTTCAGCCTCAATGATGTATTTTCCAGCGTCATATCGATTAACTTTATCCACAATAAGCAGAGTGTAGCTGTCTGTAGTATCAATGATAGCTCGACTTACAAGGTCAACACCCTGCTTGCTCCATGTGATTACGGGAGCAGGTCTGCCAGATACAGAGACCATTAGGCGGAGGGAACCACCAGCTCTGACTGTAACCGTCTTCTTCAGATCATCAGCAAGCTCAAGCTCAGGTATTTCTGATGAAGGGTATAAGAAACATGGAATTAATTATTCTTTTAATAGTTCTAGAGGAAAATATAGTTATTCCGCAAAATAGACAGTAAGTTTTCAAATTACCTATTCTTTCCACAGGTTCTATTTCTGCTGATGATTCACTAAATTCACTCATACCATTCACATTTGTAGCAGCAACTCTGAATTGGTATTTCTGGTTTGTTTTAAGACCAGTCACGGTGAACTCAGCATTCCTCAGAGTAGCGGTTGTATGTGGTCGATACCACTGTTCACTACCTTCTTCTTTCATCTCAAGAACATAGCCTAAGATGTCAGCACCACCATCATATGTGGGCTTTGACCATGCTAAACTTATGCTGTGCTTAGTAGTATCCACAACTCTTGGAACTGAAGGTGATGCAGGAGTATCTTTGAAAAAGAAGAAAATACATTTCACACTAGAGCAGATAACATTTTACAGTCAAAAATTATTTCCAAACAGCTAAATCTGGGAAATGTATTTAAGATGAAGTATAACTCTTTTAAAGTTTATTCTAATACTAGCTAGTTCAGTGACTTTATATGTGGTTATGGGTTTCTTAGTTGAAGTGTCAATGTGAGTTTATACTCCATTATTATAAATAAATATTAAAATATTTATATAACTTACATGTCGGTTCTTTACATAACATGTACTGTGAAGCTTCACTAGGTTCACTGTTTCCAGCAGCATTCACTGCAGTGACACGGAATTGGTACTGGCACCCTTCCATGAGACCAGTGACTTTCAGTCTGGTATCATAAATGGTGTAATCTCTGTTCACTCGTGTCCAGCGCAGACTTTTCCTTTCACGTTTGTCCACAAGATAGTCCTTAATCTCACTGCCACCATCTGATTCTGGTTTTGACCACTGAATAATGATATGTTCCTTGCCGACGCTCACTTCTTCAGGAGCACCAGGTTGTGTTGGAATAGCTATTTTTTTTAAAGGTGAAAAAAAATATTATTTAGCACATTGTTTATCTATGAGAACTATTCCACAAATTCTGATGCTGAATGGAAGGTAGTAACACTCACTGAAAGCATTCCTGGCAATCACGGGTTCTGATTCAAGTGGAACACCTGGTCCATATTTGTTGACAGCTCTCACACGGAAGATGTATTCATTATTTTTAATAAGTTTTGTTACCACAGTGGATAATGTCTGGCATTCAGCCTCAACAATAACCCAGTGAAGTCTGCTGGTTTCACGCCTTTCTATGATATAGTGAGTGATTTCTGCACCTCCATCTTCCTCAGGAATGTTCCATGCCAGAGTACATTTCTCTTCTGTTACTCTGCTAATCATGATTTTGCCTGCACATGGACCTGGTGAATCTGCGTAGGGATCAAAATAAGTGTTGTAATCAGTGCCTAAGGAAAAGCATCTCATTCTTATTTAAAAGAATGTGGGTTTTTTAGTATACTAAGTATGAATATTAATCATGGGATACATACCAAGCACTTTGACAAGAACGGAAAGTTGTTTCATTCCACTGGCATTTTTAACTGTTAGAGTATATTTTCCACTATCACTTCTGTCACAGAACTTGATAATTGCAATAGCTCGTTTGCTGGTGTATTGCAGAGATATCTTTTCACATAGGTCCAGTTCCCTGTCACCTTTGGACCAGAAGACTTTTGGTTCTGGTTTCCCACCAACAGCTGCATCAAGAACAAGGTCCGATCCAGCCCTAATGCTCAAAACTTCTCCCTGCAGTCTGGCATCAAGTTCAGCCTTTGGTGGTGCTGGAAAGAGAGATTTGGGAAAAAATTACGTGACAGTTTTAAAAATAGGACATTATTTTTTAACTGTTCCAAGTGAATATTCCTTACAGTATTCGTCTTTGCAAATGACAGCACCAGTCGATTCAGATCCTTTGCTAATCACACCAGCAGCATTCTTTGCTAGTACACGGAATTCATAGGCTTCATCTTCACCAAGAGCTGTCACAGTAAAGTAGTTTTCTGAGACAATGGTATAATTGCATTTCAGCCAGCGTCCATCACCAGATTCAGTATATGGTTTGCGCTCTATAATATATCCGATAATTTTGCTTCCACCATCATAAAGTGGGGGTGACCAGCTCAGCGACACTGAAGATCTGGTCACATCTGTTACTTCTGGTCTTCCTGGTGGATCTGGAGGAATAAAACAGAAAAAATGAGAAATGCAATTCTGTTTTAGCTTAAGTAACAATGTAACTCTAAAAGTAAGACTTACCAACTGGATTTTGAGCCACTACAGGTCTGGAAGCTTCACTAGCTTTGCTAACACCTGCAGCATTTAGAGCATAGGTTCTGAACTGATATTCTAGGCCTTCCACCAACCCTGTGACTTTGTAGTTGCATTCACAGCAGGGCACTTTGTTCTCTTTCACCCAAAGGATGGTGTTGCGCTCCTTCTTTTCCACCCAATATCCAATGACTTTGCTGCCACCATCATGATAGGGTTCCTCCCAGCGAATGGCCATGGCAGTGGCAGATGCAGAATAGACTTCTGGCCTTGAAGGTGGGCTTGGTGGGACTAAACACAAAAAAAAGATGGGGAGGAAAATATTAGTGATTACAAATACTACAGTCAGAGGAAAAGAACAAATTTTGAGAAGTGTTTCACTTACCGAATGGATGCTCAGCAACTACTGTTTTTGATTCAAGCGGCTTGCTGACACCAAATCTATTTTCTGAGCTTACTCGGAAACTGTACTCTTGGTATTTTGTGAGATGACTGACTTTAATCTGTGTTCGTTTCACACTGGAATTTACCAGCTGCCATGCTGTTGTGCCAGACTCACGTTTCTCTACAATGTAGTTTGTAATGTCACTGCCACCATCATCTTCAGGTTCTTTCCAGGTCAACACACAGGACTCAGCAGAGACAGATGATATTTCAATTGGGCCAGTGACAGGACCTGGTCTTCCTATGACTACCACCGTTACAGCAAATGTTTTCACACCAGCAGTGTTTTCAAGTGTAAGGTAGTATTTACCAGAGTCACCTCTCATACTGTCCTTTACAGTCAGTGTGGTTCTGTCTTTTGTTGTCTTGATAGTCACTCTCTCAGTTTCCTTCAGCTTCATCTCCTCAAGTTTCCATGTCACTTTTGGAGCTGGGCGCCCACTGATTGGTATATCAATCGTAAACGTGCTTCCAGCCTTGCATGTTATGAGCTGTCTGCTTATATTGCTGAGATCTGCTGTTGGTTCAATCTGTGGCTCCTTAACAATAACAGAAGAGAAAGCTTCTCTTGGCTCACTGTAGCCAGCATCATTTTTCGCCTTCACCCGGAATTCATATTCAGTGTTCTCCACAAGGCCTTCAACAGTGAAAGTAAGTTGCTTGGTTTGTCCAGCTCCAATCCAGGAGTCAGATCCTTTTTGTTTCATTTCAAGAAGGTATCCAGTAATACGGCTACCACCATCATGATCAGGCTTAAGCCAAGCTAAAACCACAGAAGATTTGGTGGTATCAACAATATCTAGTCTCTTAGGTGGAGCGGGTTCTTCCGTGGCTACAACCGGTTCTGTTAATTCACAGGGTTCACCTACACCATATTCATTTTCTGCTGATACTCGGTAGTAATATGGCACACCTTCTTCTAGATCTGTGACCTTAAAGATCTGACGAGTGCATTTTGAATTCACTACTTGCCAGCTACGACGACTTGCTTCACGTTTTTCCACAACATAGTGATGGATACGAGAACCTCCATCCAAAACAGGAGCATCCCACATTAAAGTAATAGATCCTCGAGTCACATCTTTAAATGTAATAGGACCTGGTGGACCAGGCGTGTCCAAAACCTTGACAGTAAATGTAACAGACTTACTTCCACTGTTGTTTTCCACAGTAAAGACATACTTGCCAGCATCATTTCTATTGCATTCCTCCACAGTCAATGTGCTGAAGGAATCAGTTGTTTGAATGTCAGCACGCAAGCTGAGATTAGCATCTGCTTTGGACCACACTGCAGTAGGAACAGGCCTTCCAGAGAAGGCAATAAATAGACGAATGCTTGCACCTGCTCTTACAATATGAGTCTGCTTGAAGTTTGCATCGATATCAATTTCGGGTGCAGAAAGCCTGTCCACAGTTTGGACTGAAGCAGGAATTTCACAACTCTCTCCTTTGCCAGCGCCATTGACAGCACTAACTCTGAATTTATAGTGTTCTCCTGCCTCCAAATCAACGACGGTATATTTAGTAGCAATAACAGTCTCTGCATTGACTTTCTGCCATGATTCGAGGTCAGCTTTGCACATCTCAATGATGTACCCAATTATTTCCATGCCTCCATCAAAAACTGGCTTTGTCCACTCTAAGCTTACACTAGTCTTTGATGTATCTGTCACCTTTACAACATTAGGAGCACTTGGTGGGCTGACTGGTTCTCTACATTTAATCAGCTTTGAAACATCACTTGCAGGTCCAACTCCTGCAGCGTTTTCAGCCATGACATGGAACTCATACTCATTGCCTTCAATAAGGCCAGTTACTCTGTATCTGTTCTCTGTAATGGGCCTCTTACTGGATACTTTAACCCAGCGCATGCTCTTCTTTTCTCTCCTTTCAAGAATATACTCATTTATCTCGCTTCCACCGTCTGACTCTGGTCTTGCCCATGTAAGTGTGATACTGTCTCCTGTTACGTTGGTAGGCTCTGGCGTTCCTGGTGCATCAGGGAGAGCTGAAAAAAGAAAAACATCATTAGAAAGACAAGATGGTAACTCCATAGATATTTGTGCAGAATGAGGTGGAAACTTACTGTAAGGTATTTGTGCAATAACTGGATCAGACTCCAGTGGTCTGCCAACTCCAAATTTGTTCACTGCAGAGATGCGGAACTGGTACTCATTGCCCTTAATTAATTTAAGTGCTGTGTAGCTGCAAGCTTCACATTTATCTTCAACTAATGCCCAAGCAATCCTGCTGGTTTCACGTTTTTCAATTATGTAGTGAGAAATAGAAGCACAACCATCATTAGCTGGAGGCTCCCACCATAATGTGACTTTTTCTCCAGTGATGTTTGTGAATCGTATTGGTCCACCAACTTTTCCTGGTGCGTCTGCAATATTAAAGGTTCAGAGTTATAACTTGCTGACATTAGAATAAAATACTATTTAAAAAAAGCACGCTGTAAGTGTTTGGTGCAGTACCTTGTACTCTGATGGTAATATCTTCTCGTTTAGTGCCTGATGCATTTTTGGCTTCTACTGTGTACACTCCACGATGATCCCGGATAGCATCTCTAATGAAGATTGTACTGTATCCAATAGCTGTAGTTATTTCTATATTCATTGTTTTCTCTATCTCTTTACCATCCTTAAACCATGTCACTTTAGGTACTGGACGTCCTCTGATTAGAGCTTTAACTCTAATGCTCTCTCCAGCTTTGACAGTAAGGCCTTCAAAGTGCTCAGCACCAAATTCAATTGTTGGAGCAACTAAAAAAGGAAGATATAATTCAGTTTCCACATAGCAAAGTATTTTTCTGGATACTCTTCTAAATGTACTAATTGTAAAAGCTTGTAATATATAGAATTCTTTCACTTAGAAAATGGCATTGTCTAAATAGCAGTTATTATACGAACTATATACTTATTTTTCCTGTAAGCACCCGTAAGTACATCATATTAATAATAGATGAAAGACTCTCTTCATATGTGTTGTTAATAGTATGCCAAGCTACCTGAGGCACATTTCAGTTTCTGAATTATTCAGTCCATCAGAATATTACAGTTTATGCTTTCTTTCCAATTTTGCTGCTGCTACTTCCGCTTATCCAAGAGAAATGTAGAGTGCCATGCCTTTCAGCAATTGATTATGTATGTCTGCCAGATTTGGGTCTTTAATTTAGACCTTCCCATCTTGGAGGACAAACATAAATGTTCTGAATTGAATGGAAGGATCTCAGTAACAAGTTCTTTGCCCCTTGGCTTCCCATTTCCCGTCGGTACAGCCAGAAACTCTATCTGGCTGCAGTACCCAAATACAAGCATATTAAGAAATAATTCTTACCGTTTTCATCTCTGGTCATGATATAGCCTGAAGACTGTGAAGGCGGGCTGATTGTACCAACGGCATTTCTTGCAAGCACTCTGAATTCATATCGGTCACCTGCATTGAGTCCCGTAACCGTATATTGGCATTCACTGACATCAGTAAAGTTACACCTAAGCCAACGGTCTTTACTTCCTTGCCGTTTCTCAATGCTGTAAGCCACAATCTTACTGCCTCCATCACGCAGTGGGGGGGTCCATTTGAGGGTGATTGTTTCCCTAGTGACATCTATGTAATCAGGAGTACCAGGCGGGTCTGAAAGGAAAGTAATGAAGATTTAATTTTATTACTGCTCACCATAGTTTACAAGAATAGAATTTTCTTGGATGAGTGATTGATCTTCACTTACCCACTGGAGAGACTGCCAAAGTAAATTTGCTTGGCTCGCTAGCTCGGCTTAGACCTGCAGCGTTTTCAGCATATACTTGGAACTGGTAATCCAGGCCCTCCAGCAGTCCGGTAATCCTGTATTCTCTGCTAGATATTAATGCAACATTAACCTTCTGCCACAAAATACTGTTTCTTTCCTTCTTTTCAACGTGGTATCCAATGATCTCTGAACCACCATCATAAGCAGGAGCATCCCAAGATATGGTCATTCCATCAGCGGTTATATTGTATACAACAGGCTTGCCTGGGGCACCTGGTGGTCTAAACTGATGCTTTGCCACAACATCTGCTGAGACAAGAGGTGGGCTCACTCCGTATCTGTTTTCTGCACGCACTCTAAACTGATATTCAGTGTCTTTAACAAGGTTTGGCACTTTGAAGGTTGTTCTTGCAGCACTTGAACACACCAGCTTCCAGTTCATTTGTGAGGTTTCTCTCTTCTCAATACTGTATCCAGTAATTTCTCCTCCCCCATCATCCTCGGGAGCTTCCCATGACAAAACTACACTATCTGCTTTGATTTCATCTAGTCTTAAAGGTGCTTTTGGCTTAGATGGAGGACCAAGAGTGATAACAGTAAATGTGAATGATTTTCTGCAGACTACATTATCAAGAATTAAAGTATATTTGCCACCATGTTCCTTTTTCACATTCTTGATGCTTAAGCTTATCTTGTTTTCAGTTTTCTTGAAACGAAGTTGTTCTGTTTCTTTAAGAGGGAGGTTGTCCTTGAGCCAGCTCATTGATGGTTTAGGTTTACCTTTATAGGGCAATTCAGTGTGCAGGTTATGTCCAATTCTTACTGCAATCTGTCCTCCAGGAATATCAGAAAGGTCAGCCTCAGGTGTTATTATAAGTTCCTTCACTGTAATGGGTCCAACAGTAACAGAGTCACTCTTGCCTTTTTCATTTTTAGCAAAGACTCTGAATTCCATGACAGAAAGCTCTTTAAGTTTTTCAGCTACAAATTCACAGCTCTTGCTTGTGCCTGCATATGTCCATTCTTTCTCTTCCTGAAGTTTCTTCTCAATAACATAGTCTGATATAATGCTACCACCATCATAGTCTGGTTTGCTCCACTGCAATGTAACAGAACTCTTTGTAGAATCTTTCATTGCTAGGTCTTTTACAGGTCCAGGTACATCTGCAGCTTTCACTGGTTCAGATGTCTCACAAGGTTCACCCAGTCCAATTTCATTTTCAGCAAGAACACGGAAGAAGAATGAAGTCTTCTCTGACAGGTTAGTTAGCTTAAAGGTGGTATTAGAACATTTTGTTGTAACAGTTGACCAGGCCCTCTTTGTAGCATCTCTTTTTTCAACAACATAATTTGTTATTTCAGAACCACCATTAATAAGAGGTGGCTCCCATACCAGTGTAACTGTGCCACGAGAAACATGCTTAAGCTGCAGCTTCTGGCAAGCAGAAGGTGTGTCAAGTACTTTTACATTCACAAATGATGATTTTGCTTCTCCAACTCCATTTTCAATTGTAAGAACATATTTTCCTGTATCATTTCGGGTAACTTGAGGAATAATAAGTAATGTAGATGATTCTGTGTTCTGAATTATATATCTTTCATCAGTTCCAAGATTCTTGTCACCCTTTCTCCATGTGACTGTTGGAGGAGGCCTTCCTTTAAATGGAATCATTATTTCCACATCTTCACCTGCTTTAGCAACAATAGATGTCCGGAGAGCAACATCCAGATCAATCTCTGGTGCCACTGTGGAAATAAATAAAAATCAATAATGCCTGCTTGCAATGTAAAATAAGAAATGCTTTGAAAAAAACCACAAACAACCAAAACCCCCCCCGAAAAATGATAAATCACTAAAAACTACAGTACCAAGAATATCTTTAGCTTGAACGGGTTCCATCATTTCAATAGGCTCTCCTTGTCCAGCACAATTCATAGCAGACACACGGAAATAATAATTAACACTTGGCTGAAGGTGTGATACAACATACTCAGTTGTTCTCACTTCTCCCTTAGTACTGACTACAGTCCATTCTTGCTCTTCGCCTTCCCTTTTCTCCACCACATAGCTGGTAACTGGACTTCCTCCATCATAAGTAGGTTTAATCCAGCCAAGGGTGACAGATGTCTTGGTTGTATCCACAACCTTCAGCTTTGTTGGTGAGCCTGGTTTATCTGTAAATGATAATTAGGGGGAAAAAACACCAATCAGAATCCATATTTATAATTACTCATAAAGAGAAAGAAAATATGCCCTCCATTACATTGGTGCAATCCCACACTAATTGCTCATTGTTCATGGATTTCTAACCAATCGGAAATACTGCATGTTGTATCTTACCAATAGGATCTGCAGCTTTGTAGAAGTCAGAAGCTTCAGAGAACGGACCTTGTCCAGCTGCATTGATAGCACAAACTCGGAAATGATATTCGCTGTTTTCAGTCAGACCTGTTACTTTCTGTCTGGTGTCTCGAATACTTTCTTTAGTAACCTTGAACCAACTCAGACTCTTCTTGTCACGCTTCTCAAGAAAATATCCTGATATTTCACTGCCTCCATCAACTGTGGGCCTATTCCAGACAACGGTCATAGAATTCTTGGTTATCTTTGTGACTTCTGGTACACTAGGTGGTCCAGGTGTAACTGATTAAAAAATTACATGTCAGTAGATTAGTACTAGTTACCAATAATACACAAGACAATTCAGTGGTGTAAGTTATTTTATATGTTTCTTACCAAATGAATTTTTGGCTATTACAGGTTCAGATTCAAGTGGATCACCAATTCCAAACTTGTTCACACCGCGGACACGGAACAAATATTCATTTCCTTTGATGAGTTTTGTTGTAGTTATGATACATCCCTCCAGTTTTTCAGAAATTAAAGACCAAACAACCCGACTTGTCTCCCGCTTTTCAACAACATAGTGTGTTACAGGTGCACCACCATCATCTGCTGGTGGGTCCCACATTATTGTAATCTTTTCAGCAGTGACTGTCTTAAACTGTATAGGTCCAGTTGGAGGTCCTGGCTTGTCTGTGAAAGGCAGAAGAAAGAAGATGTTAAGTATTTATTACTGAGGTATTGTTTAATAGTAAAATATAGTCACATCTCAAGACATACCAAGTATCTGTAGTCTAATGTGGGCAGATGCTGAACCCATGGCATTCTTTAGTTTTAATTCATAGGTGCCACTGTTGAGTCGATTTGCATCCTTGATGAGTATAGAAGCAAATTCTGTTGTGTTTTCAAAAGACACTAGTGCACTGGTTTGTACCTCGTTGCCATTTTTGAACCATTCAATTGTGGGTATAGGCTTGCCTGAGATGCCCAATTTTAGCTTAACTGAAGTTCCTGCTTTGTATTTCACCACTTCTGTATATTCTGGCGGCACATCAATTTCAGGTGCACCTTAAGAAGAAATAAGTCAAAAATATGCTTATTTTAGCCCTGTATTTAATAAAACACCAAAATAATAGTACTTTATTTAAGATAATATTTACAGGCATTTGATAAATACAGATCAAATATAGCATATATAACTTAAATTATAAACCTAGAACAAGTTAGAACCAAGACAAGAAAATCACATGGGGCATGGGCAGACTTCTGTTGCTCCTAGAATAGATACTATAAGACTTTAAAATGCAGATATAGCCAAAGATGTTCATTGCAATCATGCCCAAATGCTCAGTCATTCAAACTTCTTGAATCAATCACTGTAAACTAGCCTTCCATATTTAAAAGACTATGGATCTACAAAACAGTACTGCCTTTAACCTTTCTAGTACCACAAAATGATACCATTATATCATTGCAAAACACTTACCATATGTATCAACGCACGTGATAGGACCCACAACATCTGAGGGATTACTGATGGAACCAACGGCATTCTTAGCAAAGACACGGAATTCATACCGGGAATTCTGTGTCAGACCAGATACTGTGAACTGAGTCTCAATAACATTGGTGAAGCTTGCTTTTGTCCATCTGCCATCTGGAAGATCACGTTTTTCTACAATGTATCCAGTGATCTTGCTACCACCATCAAATGCTGGCTTCTGCCAGGAGAGAGTTATAGCAGTCTTGGAAATATCTGAGACACGGACATTTCTTGGTGGTTCTGCAGTAGGAAACATAAGAATATTGCCAATGAATAACAGCTGTTTTGAATATTGGCTTACTGCACAGAACAGACTATCATAGGGAAAACAAAATGGTTGGGCTTCTTTATTTTCTAGAGAATACATACCACAAGCGTCAATTGCAAGGACTGGATCAGAAGGACGACTTGCTTTTCCAATGCCAGCTGCATTTTCTGCATAAACTCTAAATTCATAGATAAGGCCAGCGCTGATGGTGGTGACTTTGAAATGAGTGGTGCGAATAAGGGTCTTGTTAGCCTTCTGCCATAATATGCTATTCCTGTCTTTCATTTCCAGGTGGTATCCAATGATAGCATTGCCACCATTAGTGACTGGTTCATGCCATCCAACAGTAATACTCTCTCGGGTGACATTAGTGACCCATGGTGTAGAAGGAGGGCCAGGGGTAGCTGATGATATCAAAAGAAGTGGTAATTGTTAATAAAATTACATTTTCAACATCAGAGCATTAAAACATCAACTTATATCACAAGAAGCATGTTACTCACTGTAAGGAAGCTTGACAACCACACACTGTGAGTCTATGTGATCACTGATGCCAAAGCGGTTCTCAGCTTTGATGCGGAATTGGTATTCTTCTCCTGTCGTGAGCCTCATAACTTTGATAACTGTTCTAGCAACAGTTGCAGACACTTCAGACCAAGCTGCAGTACTTGTTTCTCTTTTCAGTACAATATAGTTGGTAACTTGACTTCCACCATCATAAGCTGGTGGTTGCCATCTGAGTGTTACACTCTCTTCAGTGACATCGCTAAGGACAACAGGACCAACAGGAGGACCAGGTCTATCCAGCACAACAATATTAACAAATGATTTTGTGGTGCCACTTGAATTGGCAGCAGTAATGTCATATCTGCCAGCATCAGCAGCCACACTTTCTTTAAGGTTAATGACGAGACTTTCTGCAGTGGTTTCTGTGTGAAATCTCATAGTAGGTTTCAGTGGAACACCATCTCTAGACAATGTCACCTTTGGCAATGGTTTTCCAGAAACTGGAATTTCAACTTTCAGGTTTGATCCTGATCTAACATATACAGTGTTATGAGGGAAGCCTTTCATGTCAATCTCAGGAGATTCTGAAAAAGAAAACAGTTTCAAACCATTAAAAAATGTTCTATCTTTTAAAATATGAATGCAATTGAATGTATATCAACTTTTGTTCTCATGTCAGGAAGCATACCTAATTGTTCTTTAACTGTAACAGGAAGTAGTAGTTCCTTAGGATCACTTAAACCAGCTTGGTTTTCTGCATACACTCTGAAGAAATAGTCAGTGTTCTCCTTAAGACCATGGACAACATGATGAGTTGTCTTTACAACTGCACACTTAACCCATTTTTGCTGTCCTTTCTCCAGAGCTTCAATGAGGTAGCTCACAATTCTGCTTCCGCCATCATGTTCTGGTTTTAGCCATGAAAGAGAAACACTGTCCTTTGTGACATTTGTTACTCCTAGTTTTTCTGGTGGGCTGGGTTTTTCTGAGAAAAAAAATGCAACAGGTTAAACAATATAGAAAGTATTTACTTTTTATATTAGTAATTACACGGGAATGCCATCTGGTTCAAATTTATATATTTTACAAATTTGTGTATTAGAAATACTTTAAGTAGAATGCAAACAGAATTTAAAATTCAAGCTATTATTTATCCCTTTTTCATTTCTTAAACCACAGACAAACCTACAAAAAAATGACCTATTTTACTGTTAGTGGATTTAAAACTTTTTTACATTATTTCAAAATAAAAACTTTAAAACATATAAAGCATTAAAAAAATATTTTTTCATAGTAAGACATACCTGTTATTTTTGTTCCTTCCTTGGTCTCAGAAGGCACTCCAACACCATACTCATTTTCTCCAGAGACCCGGAAGTAGTAAATGCCACCTTCTTGCAAACCAGTCACTTTGTAGGACAGGCGATGACAATTGTTTGTCACAGTGACCCATGCTTTTTTGCTAGCTTCTCGTTTTTCAATAACATAGTTCTTTACAGGTGCTCCGCCATCATTTTCAGGAACATCCCAGGATAACACAGCAGATTCTTTAGTTATGTCTTTTGTTGCAATATTAGATGGTGGGCCAGGAGTATCAAGAACTTTGACAATTAAAGTCAACGTAGCAGTGTTCAGGATGTTTTGTAGTGTTAACGTGTATTTTCCAGAATCATTCCTTGTTGCTTTTTCAATAGTGAGAGATGTACAATTATCTGAAGTGTCAATGCTTGCTCGTACACGGAGATCAGTGTCTGGTTTGTTCCATGTTACATTTGGGACTGGTTTGCCTCTGAAAGGAACAGTCATTGTGAATGATCCACCAGCCCTTACAATTAAAGTCTTCCGCATTTCACTGTCAATATCAAAAGCAGGTTCTTCCTCTCTTTCTTTTGCCAGCTGAGGTTCTGAGACATCACTTGGTTCACTGACACCCATTTTGTTAATAGATTTCACTCTAAAAACATACTCAGAGCCTGATACTAATCCACTTATAGTATATTCTGTGCCTCTTAAATTCTGAATAGCAGTTGTCCAGTCAGTTTCATCAGTTTTCTTGTATTCAACAGTGTATCCTGTTACTGGGGCACCTCCATCAAACAGTGGCTTTGTCCAACCAATTGTGATATTTGACCTTGTAGAATCCATAATCTTAGGTTTAGATGGGGGTGATGGCAAGAAGATTGGATCTTCTGCTTTAATCAATGGTGTGGTTTCACTTGGGAGACTGAGGCCAGCAGCATTTTCTGCATAAACCCGGAATTCATATTCACATCCTTCACGGAGACCAGATGATTTCACTCTTAAATCATAAACTGGCTTTTTGTTTACACGAATCCATCTTAGGCTGGTTTTCTCACGCCTTTCAATTACGTAGCCAGAGATCTCACTGCCTCCATCAGACTCAGGTCTTGCCCAGCACAGAGTTATCGAATCTTTGCTCACACTGGTAATCTCTAAAGATGTAGGTGGACTTGGAACTGTAAATGGGTCTAGGGCTTTGACAGCAACACTTTCTAGAGGCTCACCAACACCGTATTTGTTAACTCCCATCACTCTGAAAATATACTCATTACCCTTTAGTAATTTTGTCACTTTACAGGATGTTGTTCTAAGCTCTCCTTCACAAAGTGTCCATGCAATTCTGCTGGTCTCACGTTTTTCCACAATATAATAATCAATATCTGCACCACCATTTTCTTGAGGGGGTCCCCATGATAAATGGCACTTTTCAGCAGTAAGGCCTTTTATTTCTAATGGGCCTGCAGGTGGGCCAGGTCTGTCAAGTACTTTGCAATTAATTGCCAAAGATTTTGTTCCTGCAACATTTTGTAATGTTAGTACATACTGTCCTGAATCACTTCGGATACAGTCCTTAATGGTTATTGCAGTTGTATAATCTGTTGAGACTATTTCAACTCTAGCTTTTCCTTCAAGCTCCTTACCATCCTTTGTCCATGAAACCACAGGTATTGGCCGACCTGCAATATCAGCATTGACTTTAAACACTTCTCCAGCTTTCACAACTACAACATCCCTGAATTTGGCATCCATCATAATTCTTGGAGCCTCTACATCATCTTTTACGGTCACAGGTCCAGTTGATTCAGATGGCTGACTGAAGAGTCCAGCAGCATTCTTTGCAATCACATGGAATTCATATCGCTGGTCTTCCGTAAGTCCACCTACGTCAAAGTATGTTTCTTGCACATTAGTAAAATTACATTTTAGCCAGCGACCATCTGGTAGCTCTCTGCGTTCAATAATATATCCTGTTACTTTAGCTCCACCATCATATTCTGGTTTAGTCCACTTCAGTGAGACAGATGTTCTTGTAATATTAATAACTTCTGGTTGACCAGGAGGATCACATGGATCTCTTGCAGCAACTGGTTCACATGATTTACTGCATTTGCCTATTCCAGCAATGTTTTCTGCATACACACGATATTCATATAGCAGTCCTTCATCAAGACCTGTAACTTTCATTTGTGTATCAGTTATAAGGCTCTTGTTGACTTTTGTCCAGAGAATGCTGCTTCTTTCCTTACGCTCCAAGTGATATCCTAGTACTACGCTACCTCCATCATTAACTGGTACCTGCCACGTTACAATCATGAAAGCTTTAGTTGCGTGTGCCACGTGAGGAGTACCAGGTGGACCTGGAGGCTTAAATGGATACTCTGCTACAACAGAAGGAGAATTAGTGTAAGTGCTTTTCCCATAGCGGTTTTCTGCACAAATACGGAACTGATATTCAGATCCAGTGATGAGTCGAGATACTTTAATTGATGTTCTTGCAACTGCTGCAGATACTACCTCCCATGTTGTTGTGGTAGTGTCTCTCTTCTCCACAATGTAATTGCTAATATGGCACCCACCATCATATTCTGGAGGTTTCCAAGACAATGTTACACTATCAGCACTAACTTCATCAATATGAACATCAGTTGGTGGCCCTGGTCTGTCAAGAACAACTACAGTTAAAGAAGTTGTTGTTGATCCTGCAGTATTTGAAAGATGTAATTCATAATGTCCCAAATCTTCATGTGAAGCTTCCTTGATGGACAGTGAAGTTGAAGTCTTTGATGTCTCAACATTTACCCTGGTTGTCTGTTTTAAGGGATTCCCATCCTTCTTCCAGCTAACAGTTGGAAGAGGTCGCCCTCTGAATGGAATATCGATCTTAAGATCATCTCCAGCTTTCACAGTGAATGTGTTGAAAAGGAGCTCAACAGAGGGCTGGATTTCAATATCTTTTGCAATGACCGGGACACCAAGTTCTCTTGGATCACTTTTTCCTTTTTCATTAACAGCAATCACTCTGAAACTGTACTCTTCTCCCATACTTAAGCCTGTTATTGTTGCTTCTAATGTTTTCACCTGCGTGCATGCAGTCCATTTTACACTTCCTTTAGTTTGCATTTCTACTACATAACCAGTAATTTTACTGCCACCATCACTCTCTGGCTTTTCCCATTTAATTGAAACAGAGTTGCGAGTCACATCAACAAGCATGACCTTTGCAGGTGGAGAAGGTGGTTCAGACACCTTAATTGGGTCAGCTGTTTCTGCTGGTAAGCCAACCCCATATTCATTTACAGCTAGAACCCGGAAGTAATAACTACATCCTTCTTGTAGTTGAGTAATCTTGAAGGAATTCTTAGTGCAGTTGTTTGTAACTGTAGCATAAGCCTTTCTTGTGGATTCTCGCTTTTCAACTACATAGTTGGTAATTTTAGCTCCACCATCAATAAGTGGTGGTTCCCAGGCTAAAGTTACAAAATCTTTTTTCACTTCTCTGATTGTCAGGTTTATAGGTGCACTAGGTGTATCAAGCACTCTGACATTAACAAAAGCTGATTTTTTACCACTGTTGTTCTCTAATGTAAGATTGTATCTACCACTATCAAATCTATTGACATTGTCAATGACCAGCATTGTATAGGAACTGGTAACTTCAATCTGAGCTCGCTCACTAATTGTTCCTTCTGCTTTCTCCCATTTAACTTCAGGTTCTGGTCTTCCTTTGATGGTGACAAACAGGCGTAATGTACCACTAGCACGTACAGTGACTACTTTTCTGAGATCTGCATCAAGTTCAATTTCAGGAGGTTCAATCTTGTCCTCTGCTAAGACTGCACCAGGTATAGTAGCAGGTTCTCCTACTCCTTCTGAGTTGACGGCACAGATTCGGAAGTTATATTCCTGGTTCTCTTTTAGTTTGGTCACGGTGAACTGTTTTGCTTGTAGGCCTGTTGGTGGGGTGCAGGTAGTCCATTCATCAGCGGCAGCTTCTTTTACTTCTACTACATATCCCTTAACAGGAGCACCACCATCATAAATAGGCTTACTCCAGGCAAGGGAAACTGATGACCTGGAAGTATCTGTAACCTTTGGATTGGTGGGTGGACCTGGGGGATATAATACATCACAAGCACGATAGAAAATGGATGGCTCACTGGGTTCCCCTACCCCCGCAGCATTTTCAGCAGAAACTCTAAATTCATAGAAATGCCCATCAGTAAGACCTGTTGCTCTGAATCGCAAGTCTGTCAGCCTTTTCTTATTGCATTTGGTCCACCGGATACCATCTTTGTCTCGTTTTTCAAGTATGTAACCTTCAATTTCAGCTCCTCCATTGTCTTCTGGGCGACCCCATGTCACCACCATAGAATCTTTTGTGATTGCTGAAACTTCAGGTGTTGAAGGAGGACCAGGGGGTTTGTATGGATTACGAGCCACAATTGGTTCAGATTCCAAGGGCTCTCCAATTCCGTATTTATTCACAGCCATTACACGGAAAATGTACTCATTGCCAGGAAGGAGTCTGGTTACTTTGAGGTTAAGAGCCTGCACATCTGTTGCTACTTGTGTCCATGAAAGTCTGCTTGTCTCTCTCTTCTCAATGATATAATGTGAAATATTAGAACCACCATCCTGTAATGGTGGAGCCCATGACAAGTAGCATTTTTCTGCAGTGACACCTGTAACCTTCAAAGGTCCTTCTGGAGGTCCTGGTCTGTCAAGCACTTTTACAGTGATTGGTATAGATTTGGTGCCACCAACATTTTTGAGGTTAAGAGTATAGTGACCTCCATCTACTCTTATACAGTCTTTGACAGTGAGAGTTGTTTTCTGAATGGTGGATTTAATTTCCATTCTTGCAGTTGCTTCTTCAAGGTCTTTACCATCTTTTGACCATGAAATGTCAGGAATAGGTTTGCCATGGATATCGGCTTCAAGAACAAAGGTTTCTCCAGCATGAACAACAATGACATCTCTGTATTTAGGATCCAATGAAGCCCCTGGTGCTTCAATTTCATCTCTGGCAGTAATGGGCCCTGTACTTTCAGATGGTTCACTCAAGCAACCTGCTGCATTTCTTGCAATTACTCTAAATTCATATCGTTGGTTTTCAACAAGACCACTTACTGTAAATTCTGTTTCCAGCACATTTGTAAAGCTGGCTTTCATCCAGCGACCATCTGGTAGTTCTTTCTTTTCTACAATATAACCAGTTATTTTGCTTCCACCATCATATTCTGGTTTTTTCCACTGCAGTGTAATATTACTTCTTGTAACAACAATGGCATCTGGGCGGCCAGGTGGGTCGCAAGGATCTCGGGCAACATACAGTTCTGATACTTTGCTGACTTTGCCAATGCCAACAATGTTTTCAGCAGAAACTCTGAACTCATATTCAAGACCTTCTTCAAGACCATCTGTTTTATATTTGGTGTCGGTAATGAGTGACTTGTTCTGTTTTGTCCAAAGAATGCTGTTCTTATCTTTACGCTCAAGATGGTAGCCAAGAACTTTGCTTCCTCCATCATTAACTGGTTCATGCCACTGTACAATCATATGGTCTTTGGAAGTTGCTGTTACAAATGGGGTTCCAGGTGGTCCAGGCACCTTGTAGGGGTATTGTACAACAATTGGTTTAGAAGCCAAAGGAGAGCTCTTTCCATATCTATTTTCAGCAGTAATCCTGAACTGGTATTCAGTACCTGTTTTAAGCTTTGTTGCTTTGATAGTTGTTCTTGCAACAGTTGCTGACACAATGCTCCATGTGGTAGTGCTTGTGTCACGCTTTTCTACTATATAGTTGCTTATCTGACAGCCGCCAGTATAATCAGGTGGATCCCATGATAAAACAACAAAGTCTGCACTAACTTCGTCAAATCGGACAGGTCCCCGTGGTGGGCCAGGCTTTTCCAGTACAATTATGCTCAGATGCTCTGTTGCTGTACCTGCTGCATTTGTTGCTGTTACTGTATATTTACCAAAGTCTTCCTTGTTGCTTTCTTTAATATGTAAGATCGTTGATGTTGTTGTATCCTGAATATTTATTCTGGTTGTCTGTTTCAGTGGCTGCTCATCTTTTGTCCAAGTAATAGTAGGTTTGGGTCTACCTATAAATGGTACTTCTACTTTTAGATCTTCTCCAGCTTGTACACTGTATGTATTAAACATCAGTTTGAAACTTGGCTCAATTGTCAAGTCTTTAGCTATCACAGGAATTCCAAGTGCTCTAGGATCACTTTTTCCTTTTTCATTGTAGGCAATCACACGGAATTGATATTCCTGTCCTGGACTCAAACCAGACACCACTGCGTTGCATGTTTTGGACTCACTAACAACACTCCATTTTTCTGTTCCTTTAGGCAGCATTTCAACAATGTATCCCAAAATTCTGCTACCTCCATCATGTTCAGGTTTTTCCCATGTAAGTGATGCACTTCTCTGAGTCACATCAGTGAGTAATACTTTCCCAGGAGGCAGAGGTGGCTCTGAGGCTTTGACAGCATCCCTGGTTTCAACTGGAACACCAATTCCAAATTCATTTTCAGCCATAACTCTGAAGTAATAAATTGCTCCTTCTGTAAGATTTTCAACTTTAAAACTTGTCTTGCCACACTTAGCACTTACATTTGCAAATGCCTTCCTGGTTGACTCACGCTTGTCTATTACATAGTTCTTTACCTTGGCACCACCATCAATAATGGGTGGTTCCCAAGATAATACAGCAGAATCCTTCTTTATATCTTTTACCACTAAGTTTTGTGGTGGTCCTGGTGTGTCCAAGACTTTAAGTGTAACAAATGCAGATTTAGAACCGCTGCTGTTCTCCAACTTAAGAATATACTTTCCAGCATCATTTCTATCACAGTTGTCAATTGAAAGTTGTGTGAAATTTATGCCTTTATCAATCTGAACCTTTTCTGTGAATTCACCTTCTTCTCGGGACCATGCGATGTCTGGTGTTGGTCGTCCCCTGAATGGTATGTGAATCCTAGCAGACCCACCAGCTCTAACCACTATACCCTTCCTTAGCTCTGAATCAATATCAAGTTCTGGAGCTTCAAGTTTGTCTTCTGGTTTAATAGTGCCAGGAACTGATGCAGCCTCTCCTACACCAATCTTGTTGAGAGCGCACACTCGTAATTTGTATTCTTGATGTTCAGTAAGCTTTTTGATTTCAAATCGAGTGGCACGTATACCTGTTTGTGGTGTAACAAGTGACCATTCATCTTCATCTGCCTTACAGATTTCTACAAGGTATCCCTGGATTTCACAACCACCATCATAAATAGGTTTACTCCAACCAAGTAGAACTGAACTTTTGGTGGTATCCACAACATGGGTATTTGTTGGAGGGCCAGGCTTGAACATTGGGTCACAAGCTTTAAAGTAAGGAGAAACTTGGCTTGGTTCACCCACTCCAGCAGCATTTTCAGCAGAAACTCTAAATTCATATTCATGATCCTCTGTTAATCCTGTAACTCTTAATCGCAAATCTGTAATTCGCCGTTTATTGCATTTTATCCATCTGATGCCTGCTCGGTCTCTCTTTTCTACAATGTAACCTACGATTTCACTACCACCATCACTATCCGGACGGGTCCAGCAGACAGTCATAGAATCCTTTGTGATGTTGGTAATTTCCAAGGCCTTTGGTGGTCCAGGAACCACAAATGGATTTTTCATCATCACTGGCACAGATTCTAATGGCTCCCCAACCCCATATTTGTTAACTGCCATAATACGGAAGACATACTCATTTCCTTCCAAGAGTTTTGTTACTTTCAGCATTGTAGGTAAAACCTCTGAAGCAACCACAGTCCATGCCAAGCGACTAGTTTCTCTCTTCTCTACAATATAATGAGAAATATCACTGCCACCATCATGAAGAGGAGGAGCCCACGCCAATGCACATTTTTCAGCTGTGACTCCTGTCACTTGGACTGGACCCTCTGGAGGTCCTGGCCTGTCCAGGACTTTTACGTTTACTGTTACTGTCTTTGTTCCAGCAACATTAGAGGCTTCTAAAATGTACTGTCCACCATCAACTCTAATGGCATCTTTTACAACTATTAATGCACTGAAATCTGTGTTCTTTATTTCACATCTAGAAGTTTCCTCAAGCTCTTTATCTCCTTTGTACCACTTAATGGTTGGTAGTGGCTTTCCGTGAACATCAGCCTCAAGTCTGAATGTTTCACCAGCATTTACAACAATTGTGTCTTTGTACTTTGGATCCATTGAAATTCGTGGAAGTTCAACTTCATCCCTTGCTGTTATTGGACCTGTACTGTCAGAAGGTTTGCTTATTGCACCTGCAGCATTCTTCGCAATTACTCTAAATTCATATCTTTGGTCTTCAGTAAGCCCTGTTACAGTGAACTGAGTTTCAATGATATTTGTGAAGCTGGCTTTCATCCAGCGACCATCTGGTAAGTCACGTTTCTCTACAATATAACCAGTAATCTTACTTCCACCATCATATTCTGGTTTGGTCCATTGTAGAGTAATAGAGCTTCTTTTTATTATTATAGCTTCTGGGCGACCTGGAGGATCACATGGATCACGAGCTACATAGCACTCAGAAACTTTACTTGTTCTGCCTACACCAACAATATTTTCTGCAGAAACTCGAAATTCATATTCAATTCCTTCTTCAAGGTTATTTGTCTTAAAACTTGTGTCCTGAATAATAGTCTTGTTCACTTTAGTCCATAAAATGCTGTTTTTCTCCTTTCTCTCAAGATGGTAGCCCAACACTCTACTGCCACCATCATTTACTGGTTCATGCCACTGTACAACCATGGAGTCTTTTGTAACCGTTGTCACAAATGGTGTGCCAGGAGGTCCTGGTTCCTTGTAGGGGTACTGCGCTACAACTGGTGCAGATTCCAATGCAAAACTCTGCCCATACCTGTTCTCAGCAAATATTCTGAACTGGTATTCTGAACCAGTTTTCAGTTTAGTCACTTTCAGTGTAGTTCTTGCAACAGTAGCTGAAACTGTTTCCCATACAGTGGTTGTTGTATCTCTCTTGTGAACAACATAGTTGGTGATTTGGCAGCCTCCTGTGTATGCTGGGGGGTTCCATGATAGGGTAATACTTTCTGCACTTATTTCATCAAACTTCACAGGCCCTACTGGAGGGTCAGGTTTGTCTAGAGTTATAATGTCAATAGAGGCAGACTTTTGCCCAACAACATTAGCCACAGTGATTTCGTAAGTGCCACTGTCCTCTTTGCTAGTTTCCTTAAGATTCAGTATAGTGAGATCAGCTGAATCGCTTACATTGATTCTTGTTGTCTGCCTTAATGGCTGGCCATCTTTTACCCAGGTAACAGTTGGTTTAGGTCGACCTGCAATTGGTATTTCTACTTTCAGATCTTGTCCCACTTGAACACTGTAACTGTGAAAAGCAGGTCTAACATCAGGTTCAATCACTAGGTCTTTGGCAACTATTGGAACTGCAAGTGCTCTAGGATCACTCTTACCCTTTTCATTTACAGCCATTACTCTAAAAAGATATTCTTCCCCTTGAGTTAGGTTAGTAATAACTGCTTCAAGTGTCTTTACACGAGCACACTCTGACCACTTCTCACTACCCTTTGCTTGCATTTCAACAATGTATTGTATGATTTTGCTACCACCATCATGTTCCGGTTTTGCCCAGCTTAGTGAGACACTGTTTCTTGTGACATCATCCACTGTTATTTTCCCAGGAGGCTGTGGAACTTCAGCAACTTTAACTGGGTCACTGGTTTCTGCAGGGAGGCCAATTCCATATTCATTCTCAGCAGAAATTCTAAAGAAGTAATAGCAGCCCTCCTGAAGTTGATCTACTTTCCATGAAGTCTTGTGGCAGTTGGTTACAACAGCTGCATATGCCTTTCTTGTTGCTTCACGCTTTTCAATAATGAAATTCTTTATTTTTGCTCCACCATCCAAGAGAGGAGGCTCCCATGAAAGTGAAACAGAGTCTTTAGTGATCTCTCTGATCTTTAAATTAACAGGTGCACTCGGGGTATCCAGTACTCTTACGCTGACAAAGGCAGACTTTGTTCCACTGCTGTTTTCCAAGGTCAGAGTATACTTTCCAGTATCAAATCTGTTAACATTGTCTAGAACAAGGGAAGTAAAGCTGCTAGTGGTATCAATAATAGCTGCTTCTCTGATGTCACCATCCACTTTACCCCATTTTACTTCAGGTGTTGGACGACCTCTGATGGGAACAAACAATCTTAAGGAACCTCCTGCCCTCACATTTACAACCTTCCTTAATTCCATGTCAAGGTCAAGGTCTGGTGCCTCCATCTTTTCTTCTACAATAACAGAACCAGGAACATCTGCATGCTCTCCAACTCCTGCTTTATTAACTGCACATATGCGGAATTTGTATTCATGTTTTTCCACTAATTTTTCTACTTCCATGTGGGTATTCTTAATTCCAGTTGCGGGAGTACAGATTTTCCATTCACCATCACTTACATCACATTTTTCCACAATGTATCCCTGAATTTCAGAGCCACCATCATAGATAGGTTTACCCCACGAAAGGAAGACTGAAGATCTTGTAACATCCACAACTTTGGGATTATTGGGTGGACCTGGCTTGTAAATAGGATCGCATGCTTTGTAGTAAGTGGAAGGTGGGCTTGGTTCACTAAGACCAGCAGCATTTTCAGCTGAAACTCTGTACTCATAATCATGATTTTCTATAAGACCAGTCACTCTGTATCGTAGTTCACTGATCAGGCGTTTGTTACATCTTGTCCAGCGAATACCTTCCTTATCTCGTTTTTCAAGAACGTAACCTAGGATTTCACTACCACCATCTGAGGCTGGCCTTTCCCATACAACTATCATAGAATCCTTGGTAACGGCTGTGACTTCTGGTGCCTTTGGTGGAAGTGGCACCGAAAATGGGTTCTTTGCGAGTACTGGTTCAGATTCAAGGGGTTCACCAACACCATATTTATTTACTGCCATGATGCGGAAAACATACTCATTTCCTTCTAAAAGTTTTGTAACTTTGCAATTTAGGGTTTGCACATTTGAGTCAACGACAGTCCACACCAAGCGACTGGTTTCCCTTTTTTCTACAACGTAGTGTGAAATTTCACTACCACCATCCTGTAGCGGTGGTTTCCATGACAATGTGCATTTTTCAGCAGTAACACCGGTAATCTCAACAGGTCCTTCTGGTGGTCCAGGTCTATCAAGAACTTTGACGTTAACAGGAACCTTCTTTTCACCTGCAACGTTCTTTGCCAGTAGGACGTACTGACCACTGTCAACTCTTGTGGCTTCCTTCACACTAAGGCTTGTTGCGAAATCGGTGCTTTTTATTTCCATGCGAGCAGTGCTTGTCAGCTCATGATCGCCTTTTAACCACTGAATGGAAGGTATTGGTTTGCCATGAACATCAGCATCAAGCTTGAATGACTCACCAGCGTTCACTACAATAGTGTCTTTGTATTTTGGATCCATGCTTATATGGGGTGGTTCTACTTCATCTCTTGCTGTAATTGCCCCTGAGCTCTCAGACGGTTCACTGAAAACACCTGCAGCATTTCGTGCTATAACACGGAACTCATATCTCTGGTTTTCGACTAGACCAGTTACTTCAAATTGAGTATCAATGACATTTGTAAAACTTGCTTTCATCCAACGGCCATCAGGTAATTCCTTCTTTTCAACAACATAGCCTGTGATCTTACTTCCACCATCATATATAGGTTTCTTCCACTGAAGTGTTACTGAGCTTCTTGTGACAATTACAGGTTCTGGACGACCTGGAGGGTCACATGGATCACGTGCAGTATAGCATTCAGATCCTCTACTTGCCTTTCCAATTCCCACTATGTTTTCTGCATAGACTCTGAACTCATATTCAAGACCTTCCTCAAGACCAGTTGTCTTAAATTTGGTATCTGGAATAGGTGTTTTATTCAGTTTAGCCCACAGAATGCTGTTTCTTTCTTTACGCTCCAAATGATACCCAATGATCCTGCTACCACCATCATTGACTGGTTCATTCCATTGTACCACCATGCTGTCTTTTGAGATATTTGTTACAAAAGGTGTTCCAGGTGGACCGGGAACTTTAAATGGGTATTGGGCTATGATTGACTCTGAAGTGAGATATGTACTCTTCCCATATCTGTTTTCAGCTGCGATTCTGAACTGATATTCACAGCCAGTCTTTAAACGACATGCTTTTATAGTTGTTCTTGCAACTGTAGCTGACACAATGTGCCAAGTTGTGGTAGAAGTGTCTCTTCTCTCTACAATGTAATTATTGATAGAGCTACCACCATCATACTTGGGTGGTTCCCAGGAAATGGTAATACTATCTGCTGTTACTTCATCTACTTTTACTGGTCCAGTTGGAGGTCCTGGTTTGTCAAGGACAACAATATTTAGGGTCTCAGTTGCTTCACCAGCAGAGTTTGTAAGTTTAACTAAATATGTCCCCACATCTTCTCTGCAGGCTTCTTTTATTGTTAACACTGTGTTGTTTTCTGAACTTTCTGCATTTACTCTTGTAGTCTGCTTCAATGCCACATTGTCTTTATGCCAAAGCACTGCTGGTTTGGGTCGACCAACAAAAGGAACATCAACCTTTAAGTCCTCTCCTGCTAGAACACTGAAAGTGGTAAATAGTAGTTTGAAAGCTGGTGGAATTACAAGATCTTTTGCAACAACTGGTATACCCAGCTGGCGAGGATCACTGATACCTTTCTCATTCTGAGCTGAAACACGGAAGGTGTATTCTTCACCTTGGATCAGTCCTGTGATGGTGGCTTCAGTAACTTTTACTGTAGCACAGGTTGACCACTTTTCACTGCCTTTGCTTTGCATTTCTACAATGTAGCCCAGAATTCTGCTACCACCATCATGTTCAGGTTTTTCCCAAGATAAGGATACGCTATTTCTCGTCACATCCAACAAAGTTATTTTCCCTGGTGGAAGTGGTCTTTCTGATACTTTCACGGATTCTGAAGTTTCAACTGGAAGGCCTATTCCATACTCATTTTCAGCTAGGACTCTGAAGTAGTAGTTGCAGCCTTCTTGCAGTGAATCAACTTTCCAGCTGGTCTTGTGGCAATTGGCATTAACAGTTGAATAAGCTTTTCTTGTCGATTCACGCTTTTCAACAATGTAATTTTTTATTTTAGAGCCACCATCTATAAGAGGAGGTTCCCATGTGAGTGTAACCGAAGATTTCGTAACTTCTTTTATTTTCAAATCTTGAGGTGCTCCTGGGGTATCAAGAACTCTGACATTCACAAATGCTGACTTACTACCTGAGCTGTTTTCAACTGTCAGTATGTATTTGCCACTATCAAATCTATTTACATTTTCAATGATAAGTAAAGTATAAGAGCTTGTTGATTCAATGCTAGCTCTATCCAAAGATTCCCCATGTTCTCTTGTCCATTTTACTTCAGGTGCTGGTCTTCCCTTAATTGGGACAAAGAGCCTTAGAGTACAGCAGGCTCTAAGAGTGACAACTTTACGTAGTTCTGCATCAAGTTCAATCTCTGGAGGTAGCATTCTTTCTTCAGCTTTTGGAGTCCCAGGAACAAGAGCGGGTTCTCCAAGACCTTCAGAGTTCATAGCATATATTCTTATTTTATACTCTTGATTTTCTTTCAGATCAGTGATGGTAAAAGAAGTGGCCTTTAGACCTATTGGTGGAGTTACAATCTTCCACTCATCTTCTTCGGGTAGTGCAATCTCAACCATGTAACCTGTGATCTCTGAACCACCATCATATATTGGTTTGTTCCATGCTATTGTAATTGAGGACTTGCTGCTATCCAAAACACGAGGATTACCTGGGGGACCAGGCTTAAATACAGTATCACAAGCTTTATAGAATGGACTGGTTGGGCTTGGCTCACTGACTCCAGCAGCATTTTCAGCCATGACTCTGTATTCATATTCATGGCCTTCTGTTAGTCCAGACACTTTATAACGTAAGTCAGTAACAACCCTTTTGTTACATTTCACCCACCGTAGACCAGCCCTGTCTCGACGTTCCACAATATAGTTAGTTATTGGGCTCCCACCATCAGAATCAGGATGGCCCCAACAGACAACCATGGAATCTTTTGTAATTGCTGTAACTTCAGGTGTTTTAGGTGGATCAGGTGGCACATATGGATTTACTGCAAGAACAGGTTCTGATTCTAGAGGCTCGCCAACTCCATACTTGTTAACAGCCATAACTCGGAAAACGTACTCATTGCCCTTCAGCAGCTTAGTAACCTTCAGTTTAGTCACTGGAACTTCTGTGGCTACAGCTGTCCATGCCAATCTACTGGTTTCTCGTTTTTCAACCACATAATGGTCAATCTTTGCTCCTCCGTCATCCAGTGGGGGTAGCCATGACAGCACACACTTTTCTGCAGTGACTTCAGACACAGCCAAAGGCCCTTCTGGGGGACCAGGTCTATCAAGAACTTTAACATTGAAGATATGCTTGGCAAAGCCACCAGGATTTGTTGCAGTAAGTGTATAAGCACCACCGTCTCTTCTTGAGGAATCCTTATTGATAAGTACAGTAGAGAAATCTGCCATTTTTATTTCTAATTTTGCTGTGTCTTCAAGTTCTTTTTCTCCCTTTGTCCATGTCATAGTTGGTGGAGGGCGACCTGAAACATCAGCCTCAAGTCTGAAAAGTTCACCTGCTTTCAGCACTATGGTGTCTTTGTATTTAGCATCCACTTTTATCCTTGGTGCTTCAATGTCATCTCTACAAGTGATTGCATCTGATGGCTCAGAGGGCTGACTAACAGCTCCACCAGCATTCCTAGCAATCACACGGAATTCATAGGCAGCGTCTTCTGTCAAACCACTTACAGTGAATTCAGTCTCTAGTATATTGCTGAAATTAGCCTTGAGCCAACGGCCATTAGGAAGGTCTCTTTTTTCAACGGTATAGCCAGTTATCTTAAAACCTCCATTATATTCCGGTTTAGTCCACTTCAGTGTAACTGCATGTCTTGTAATGTTCAGAGGTATTGGCTTACCAGGTGGATCTATCGGGTCCAGGGCAAACACAGGCTCAGATGGCTTGCTTGGCTTACTCTTCCCAGCTAGATTTTCTGCTATAACACGGAATTCATATGCAATGCCATCGGTAAGTCCAGATGATTTAAAGATATTGCCTGATACCAGCATTTTACTTACAGTCTGCCAAAGAATGCTGTTTCTCTCTTTTCTTTCAACGTGATATCCCAGTATAGGGCTTCCACCATCAGTAACTGGCTCATTCCAGCTAATGGTCATAGTTTCTTTGGTGACTGCTATCACCTGAGGAGTGCCAGGAGGCCCAGGTACCTTAAATGGGTAGTTGGCAACTACAGACCCTGAAGTAATGGCTGGACCAATTCCATATCTGTTTTGAGCTCTAACACGGAACTGATATTCAACTCCAGTAGTAAGACGAACAGCTTTAAATGTAGTACGTATCACTGTAGTTGCCAATTCAGTCCATGTGGTACTGTCAGTTTGACGCATTTCTACAACATAGTTACTTATTGGTACACCACCATCATTCAAAGGAGGCTCCCATGAGAAAGTTAGGAAATCAGATGAAATTTCATCAAATTTGATTGGTCCAGTAGGAGGCCCAGGTATGTCATGAACCTGAACTGTGATTACTTCACTAACTTCTCCAACAATATTTTTGGCTGACAGTGGGTATTGACCACTATCACTTCGAATACATTCATTGATGGTTAGTATGGTTGCAGTTGCAGTATTTTCATAATTTACTCTTTGTGTTTGCTTAAGTATCTGGTCTTCTTTCTTCCAGGTCACAGTAGGCCTTGGACGACCAAGTACGGGGATTTCAATCTTGATATTGTCACCAGCTTTGGCAATGACTGTTTTCTGGTAGATAGCTCGGAGGTCAAACTCTGGGAGCATAGTTTGCTCCTTGATAATAACTGGTCTGCTTTCTCTTGGGGCACTTCTTCCAGCGCTGTTAACTGCCATAACCTGGAAAGTATACTCTTCATTTTCAGTTAGATTCTTTACTACGCAGTCCAGTGTTTTTACAGTGGTGATGTGTGCCCACTGGTTGGTTCCTTTTCTCTGTGCTTCAATTACATACCCAGTGATCTTGCTGCCACCATCGTGTTCTGGTTTCGGCCAAGCTAGGCTAACTGAGTTCCGTGTTACATCCATAATATTAAGGCTCTCTGGTGGGGACGGTGCCTCAGAAGCTCTCACTGGTTCTGCAGTTTCAGCTGGTTCACCAATACCATACTCATTTTCAGCCAGTACTCTGAAATAGTATTCACATCCCTCAGCCAAATTAGGAATCTTGAAGGAACACTTCTGGCAGTTGGTTGTGACTGTTGAATATGCCTTCCGAGTTGATTCACGTTTCTCAACAATATAGTTTGTTATACGGGAACCTCCATCTACCAGAGGCATATCCCATTGGAGGGTGATGCTGTCCTTGGTTATTTCTCTAGGCTTAAGGTTTATTGGTGGACCTGGTGTATCCAAAACTTTTACATTTACAAAGCCAGTCTTCTTACCAGCAGCATTTTCAAGAGTCATTACGTATTTTCCTGCATCATATCTGGTGCACTCTGTGACAATCAACAGCGTAAAGGAGTCGGTATTTTCAATACTGGCACGTCCTTTGAGTGAAACATCATCTTTTGTCCATGTAACTTCTGGAGTTGGACGCCCTTTAATTGGTACAAAAATCCGAATAGTTAATCCAGCTCTAACAACAAGAGTTCTTCTTAGCTCAGCATCTAATTCAAAGTCAGGAATCTCTTCTCGGTCTTTGATTTCCACACTTGGAATTATTGCTGGTTCACCGACACCTGCAGCATTCATGGCAGAGATTCTGAAATTGTATTTGGCTCCTGTCTGCAGATGAGCTACAACAAACTGAGTGATTCTTAAAGCAGTCCCTATAGTGTCTTTTACCCATTCTTCTTCTCCTTCCTTTTGATGCTCTACTATATAGCCAGTGATGTCAAGACCACCATCATAGTGAGGCTTGCCCCAGGCTAAAGATGCACTTGTCTTTGTAGTATCAGTCACTCTTGGATTTGCAGGCGGACCTGGTGGGTCTGAAAAGCAAGGAAAAGATAAAACATTACATCACAGAGGAGGCCATTCTTATGCTCTCTGAATGTGCTCCCCGCCTATCCCACCCACCCCCAAAAAAGAAAAGGCATGATACTAACATGCAACATCTTTGCATAGGACTGAGTTTGAAGTGTCACTTGGTGGTCCAACTCCTGCTCTGTTTTCTGCACTGACACGGAATTCATATTCATTTCCTTCCAGAAGACCAGTTACTTTGCATCTAAGATCTGAAACTGGTTTCTTTGTTGCTCTAACCCATCTTAAACCTTTCTTTTCTCTCCGCTCCACATGGTAACCTGTGATTTCACTTCCACCATCATCAACTGGCCTTTTCCAGGTAACTGTGGCAGTATTTTTAGTCACATTTGTTACTTCTGGTTTACCAGGAGGGCCTGGAGGACCTGTTAAGGAAGAAAAATTACAATTAAAACAAAAATCAAGTCTTTAGAGATTAATAAAAACTCACTGGAACCTCTTAGCTTGTTCTACTTACCAAATCTATCCACCATTTTAACTGGTTCTGATTGTACTGGTTCACCCTTGCCATATTGATTTACTGCTGAGACACGGAAAACATATTCATTTCCTTGAATGAGCTTGCTAACAACATGCCTACAGGTTTCAATATTTTCAGCAACCAATGTCCAGAGCAGTCGACTAGTTTCTCTCTTTTCAAGAACATATGATTTGACTGGTGATCCACCATCTTCTGCAGGAGGTGACCATGTAAGAGTTGCTTTTTCTGCTGAAACATTGCTGATCTCAATAGGCCCTGGCGGTCCTGGTATATCTAAAACTTTCACTTGTACACTCTCCTGCTTAGTGCCAAAAGGATTGGTTGCAGTGATTGTGTATTCTCCAGAATCTTTTCTGGCTGCATATTTGACAGTTAGAGTAGAAGAAGTTGGTTTGGTTTCAATGTGCACAAGCTCTGAAGGTCTAAAATCTTTTCCAGCTTTTGACCACGCTGAAGTTGGAGGTGGTTTGCCACGGATACTAATAGCAGACAGTGTAATGGTGTCTCCTGCTTTTACTGTTAAACCTTCTTTCAAAGGAGGATCCAGAACAATGGTTGGTGCCTCTGTCAAAAAAAAACAGACAAAAAAATCCTGATTGTTAGAACAAGAACACAGGGGGAAATAAAGAGGAGATTTGGTATTAATTATTCAAATAAAATTCTACCTATTCAATGCCATCTACATACCATATTCATCCTTGCATATTATGGTTCCTGTGGATTCAGATGGAGGACTGATGGCTCCAGCTGTGTTCTTTGCTCTAATTCTGAACTCATATTTGGAGCCTTCAATAAGGTCAGTTACAGTAAACGCACAGTCAGGAACATTCACGTGATTAGCTTTTGTCCAAGTCTTTTTGGGTAAATCACGCTTTTCAACAATATAGCCAGTTAATTTATGTCCACCATCATATTTTGGTTCTGTCCAAATGAGTGTTACTGAGTTCCTGGTTACATTGATAACTTCAGGTTTCCCAGGGGGATCTAGAAGAAAAAATAATAAATAGTGGTCAAACGAAAGTTATTTCAAATTTCAGATTTTTCCTTTTTATTCTGCTGATGGCTTACCAATAGGATCAAGTGCCACAACTGGTTCAGATGGAAGACTTGGTTTACCTACTCCAGCCATATTGATTGCCATTACTCTGAATTCATATTCCAGACCTTCAGTTAACCCTGTCACTCTGAAATCTTTCATTCTTATTGGTGTTGTATTTGCTCTCTTCCACAGAAGACTATTCCTTTCTTTAACTTCAATGTGATAACCTAGAAGATAAATGATGAGATGAAAATATGGGGGAGGTTTCTAGAAATCTTAATTTCTCATGGCATTGTGAAACGTATGTTACATAGGCATTATGCAAGAGGAGCACTGAAAACCAGATTAAGAAATGGATGTGGACATACATGATAGATGTATGTAATTGCAATGACAAGATGTTTGTAAATGCAAATTGCTAATTTTATGGACCCAAGTATTGTCACATATAGTTCTTTTGTTAGATATTTTGTCTCTGAGCAAAAATATTGTTCCTCAGGTAGTATTTTCACAATGTTTAATTTTTTTAATCATATTGAAAAAACAGGAAGCAAAACAGTGAAATCAATCAATTGATCAATCAATCGATCGATCAATCAATCAATTGATCGATCAATCAATCAATCACTCAATTCAAAGCATAAACACCTGATAGTTTTATCTTACCCTTTGACAGAGAGAAAGAACTGTTAAGAACTTAAATACTAGGGATGTTTTTGGGGATGTACCTGTGATTGGTGATCCTCCAGTTCTTCTGGGATCAGTCCAAGTTAAAGCTACAGATTCATGCTGAACAGCAACAATGTTGGGGGGTGGAGGAGCATCTGGCACATCTAAACAGTATTTAAAAAATGCAGTTATCATTAAAAATTAATATTGCCCCTTTAACACTTTTTTCCAATTTCATAAATTATAATGGATACTTACCAAATGGATGTTTTGCAATGACAGGGTCAGATTTAAGACCTTCACCTACTCCATATTTATTTTCAGCCCTGATCCTGAATGTATATTCATTTCCTTCATGAAGTCTTGTAACTCTAAAAGTGGTTTTCTGGACTGCAGAGGCACAAGTCACCCACTTGTTGTTTACATTATCTCTCTTCTCTAGAACATAGTTAGTGATTTCTGAACCACCATCATCTTTTGGAGGGCCCCACTTTAAGGTTATGGCATCAGCTGTGACTTCTTCAAATTTCACTGGACCTGTTGGTATGCCAGGTTTGCCAACAACTTTCACAAAAATAGTGCCTTCCTTGCTGCCAACAACATTCTTCAGAGTTATTGTGTATTTTCCAGCATCAGCTTTCTGGCAGTCATGTACTACAAGAGTGGTGTTAACTGCTGTAGATTCAAATGCAACTCTTCCACTCTCAGTAAGTGCCTGGTCTTCATCCTTCTTCCAAGTTACAGTTGGGACAGGCTTGCCTTTCATAGGGATTTTAAGACGGAAATTGCTACCTTCTTTAGCAATATAGCACAAATCAGGTAGATCTCTTAAGTCAAGTTCAGGTGCCACTGTAAAAAATAAAGGAAACCAGTTATTCAACAATGCATAAACTTTGTGGTAAAATTAAGATCTGTTTTAAAGGTGTCTGATTTGTATGCCTGCATAGCAATGATAGTACATATAAAATAAATATAATTTGGGTAAGTGAAGCATTGAAATAATGATCTTGCTTCTCACCAACATCATCTCTTGCTACAATTGTGAGCTCTGATGGAGTTCCATATCCAGCATCATTCTGGGCTCTCACTCTGAAAGTGTATTCCTGTCCTTCTTTTAGGTCTCTCATTGAAAAATGGAGGTTCTTTCCCCGCATGACTTCTTGCCATTTATCTTCACCAACCAGGACCTCAACAACATATGCAATAATACGGCTTCCACCATCACTGATAGGTTTTTTCCATACCAAATTGCATGATGATTTTGTTACAGCTGAAGCTTTTAGATCCACAACTGGCCCAGGTGTTTCTAGAAGGAAGAAAATCATACTAAGTGTCCAGTTAAGCTAAAAATAAACATTATTTGAATAAAAAAATGAATAAAAAAATAGGTGAAGTGGATCCATTTTTCCTACCAGAAGCTTTAACAGCATCACGAGTTTCACAGGGATCACCAATACCATATTCATTTTCAGCAAAAACTCTGAAGAAGTAAGATTTGCCTTCTTCTAAGTTAGTTATCCTGTAGCTTGTCTTTGGACATTCTGTTGTTACTGTGGACCATGATTTTCTTTCTGCATCCCGTTTTTCAACAACATAATTTTTGATTGGACTGCCCCCATCTATTAGAGGAGGTTCCCATGTAATGTAGGCAGAATCCTTAGATGCTTCCTTTACAATCAGGTTAACTGGAGGGCCTGGAGTATCTGCATAAACACAAGACCACCATATTTGATATAGTAATAAAATTTTAAAAAATCAGTTAAAAAGTCAACAAATATATTATAATGGGGAAAACCCTGAGACTTACCAAGTACTTTTACAACAATGGTGTACTCCTTTTTGCCACAGCTGTTCTCTAGACTGAGGACATATTTTCCAGCATCATATTTATTTACATTTTCACAACGCAGGAAGGTATCAAAATCAGTTGACTTGATATCTAATCCTTGTCTATCTCTTAGGTTGGCACCCACTTTAGACCATGTAATTTTTGGAGGTGGACGTCCTCTTACTGGCACATAAAGTCTCATTGTGACTCCAGCACGCAACACAAGGACTTTCCTTAGTTCTGCATCAAGTTCTCCTTCAGGTGGAACTGTGTGTTTAACAAAAAACCATAAAATTAAAGCATCATCTTTAAAGCTATCACCAAAGTTACTGTTACAGAAGGTCCCTCTTTACTGGATTTTCACTAGATAAACCAACTTCTCATGCCTGTGATAATGTTAGTAAGTGTCCTGACTCCTGTTTGAAGGTAATTTGCAAATGTGGCATTTTTTGCACTGATTTCACTTCCTTTTTTTCCTGCCTTTTCCACCATTTATGTTAGAAAGTCTTCTAGTTTTTTTGGAACTCAAAGGAATTTCAAAGCCTCCTGGACTCTACTGCTTTTCTTGAACCAAGACAGTTCTGTGAACCAATGCTTTGGTACATACAGCAAAATGCATACAAAACCCAGCATGGCTTTTAAGGAGTAAATGTCATACAATCAAATACTGTGTCACATAGCTGCTTAGAATAGTAATCTTGGCTTCAAATTATTCAGAAGACCTGAAGATGACTGAAAGTTTTAAGAATAGAAAAGAGATCTTAAAAGTTTAATTTTAGAATTAGAGAAAGAAAGATATCTTGATGAACCCAAATAGGAGGCAGAAGGCTATAAAGCATACAAATAAAAAAAACAGACACTAGCCAAATTCTACTCTGTTCCTAACTGCCCTGTGCTCTTCCAAATTAGCTGCTTTTAGCCTGCATTTTTTGAGTAATAACGTTCCAAATTAATCTGCGCCCGTGATCTGTGACAAACTCTGTCTTTGGAACTCATCCCATGAATTAAAGTAAAAGTCAACTAGGTAACTGGGTTTCAGTGAACATACTTAAAATGTCTTTGGCAGTGTGTTTATCAGGAACATCACTTGGGTCACTGTATCCAATCTTATTGACAGCATAAACACGGAACTGGTACTCTGTATCTTCCATCAGTCCTGTTACCACAAATTGCGTAGCCTGTAAATTCTTTGGTACATTGCATCTGACCCAGTTGTCTGTGTCAGCTCTTTTTGATTCCACTAGATAACCAATAATAGGGCTTCCTCCATCATATGCTGGTTTGCTCCATGACAGGCTTATTGAGTTACGAGTAGTATCAACCACTTTCGGGAAAGCAGGTGGGCCAGGAGGATCTGAGAATTAAAATAGCATAAAGTTATTGTACCAAATGCTGTATGATAGTATTTGGAAATAATAATGGAAAATATCTGAGACTTTAAGCTTACATTGAGGATCACGAGCATACACTGCTTTAGATGGTGCGCTAGGCTTGCCAGGTCCAGCTTTATTCAATGCTATCACCCGGTACTCATATTCTGTTCCTTCTTGGAGTCCAGTAGCTTTAACAGTTCTTTCAATGACAGGCTTTCTGTTTACCTTTGTCCAGTTAAGAGCCTTAGTTTCACGCTTCTCGAGGATATAACCAGTTATTGGGGATCCACCATCATCAGCTGGTGGCTTCCAGCTAACAGTCATAAAGTCTTTCGTTACATTGCTAATTACTGGTGGATCACAAGGTCCGGGTACATCTGTGGAGATTTATTTGAAAATTACGTTCACATTCATAAGTGCACACAAAAAAACAGTGACTAATGAAAGTATCCCACAAAGCACGTACCATATGGATTCTTAGCAACTGCTGGTTCAGTCAAGATAGGGTCTCCAACACCGTATTTGTTTTCAGCACAAATGCGGAACTGGTACTCATGTCCTTCTATTAGTTTCTCCACTGTGCAGCTTGTAATGGGTACATTGGCACTGACCTGGGCCCAGTTCGGTCTGCTTGTTTCACGCTTGTCTACAATGTAGTTAGTAATTTCTGAACCTCCATCTTCCAGAGGAGGCTCCCAAGAAAGCATTGCACGATCTGCATACATGTGTTTGATTTTGACAGAAGCTGGTGGACCAGGCTTATCTAGAACAATTAACATCACATTATTATAGCTCTATCTCTTGCTATATAATTCAATCATTAAAGTATTTGTTAATTGACAGTCTTTAGCTTACCAAGTACTTTAAGCCTAATGGTTGCTGACTTTGATCCACTTGCATTTTCAGCAGTAATAGTGTAGTCTCCTGTTTGCTTCCTGTTAACACTGAACAACTCAACTGTAGCAAGATTTCTCTTAGTAGTGATCTTAACACCTTCAGATGGCTTTAAAACTTCTCCTTCTTTCTTCCAGGTGATTGTTGGCATCGGCTTGCCATATACATTTGCCTCCAGACGCACATTAGTTCCAGCTTTTACTGTAAGCTGTGATTGCATAGACAGATCCAACTCTATTCTGGGAGGAACTGAAAGGAAACAGTCTAAGGGTTAATCAGTGTATTAAGAGATAAACATCTCATTCTTGACATGAGATTTAGTTCAACATGCACAGACTCTTACCAGAGTTATCAAATGCTTTTACATTCCTTACCATTTTCTGGATGAATGGTCACCGGATCAGAAGGTTCTGAAGGTGGGCTGATGTTAACTGCTGTCTTGGCAATTGCTCTAAATTGATACTGAGCATTTTCTTCCAAACCAGTAGCAGTGTACTCTTCTAGGGGTATTTGATGTGGAGTTGTATTGCACCGAACCCACTTATCACCAGGTAATTTGCAAGCTTCCACAAAGTAGCCAATTAGTTTGCTACCACCATCATGCTTTGGTCTTGTCCATACCAGTGATGCAGTACTCTTAGTGACATCAATAACTTCAGGTTTTCCAGGGGGATCTAAGGCAAATGAAAACATTTTGTAGTCTGTTTTTCCAAAAAAGAGCTAACATATTAAAAAATGGCTTTAATAATGCTGTTTCCTATTTACTGCATACCCACACAGTGCACTCACAGTAAAGTCATAGTAAGCATGAAAATATAGACAAAAGGGCAAACTGAAGATCATAAAGAGTGGCAGATATATTGAAAATGATCAGAGAAACAGTAGTTTGTATTGGTATGTTTGGCTTACCAACTGGTGCTCTTGCTGTGACAAACTCAGTTGGTTTACTAGGTTTACTTGCTCCAGCTCTGTTCAATGCATAAATTCTGAAAGTATACTCAAGACCTTCGATGATCCCCACACAAGGGTATTCTGTGGAGCGCACAGCTGTATCATTAGCTTTCACCCACAGCAGACTGTTCCTTTCCTTGCGTTCAATGAGATAACCAGTAATTGGACTGCCTCCATCACTATCTGGCTTATCCCAAGCAACAAAAATGCAGTCCTTATTGACTTTGGTAATTCGTGCATTCTTTGGTTCACTAGGAACATCTAGAAAGAAATACAAAGATATATATCAACTATATGTTTTCTTACTAGAAAGATTAAATAGAGAAACACTGCTAACAAAAACTAGCATACCAAATGGGAACCTTGCGATCATCTTGCCAGAAGCAAGCGGCTCAGAAATCCCAAAACGATTTTCAGCACGAACGCGGAACATATATTCCTCTCCAGGAATAAGTTTTCCAATTCTGCAGGTTGTCTTTGTGACAGAAGATAAAGCTGTTACCCAGTCTCCGCGGCTTACATCACATTTCTCAACTACATAGTTTGTAATGTTGCTGCCACCATCTTCAAGAGGTATGTGCCATGAAAGAGTGCAAGCATCAGCATCAATTTCAGAAATATCAAATGGAGGCTGTGGTGGACCTGGCTTATCTGTACAAAAAAAGTACATTAAGAAAAAAGGGATGAAAGGAAATGGCAACCACTGGAATATACTAAAACTAGCTTTGTATAAAACTGGGTTGAAAAACAATCAAATGGAACATACCCATGACTGTCACTCTGATTTTCTGACTATCAGTACCAGAGCTATTCTCTGCAGTAAGAGTGTAAAAATCAGAATCTTTTCTAGTCACATCCTTAATGATAAGAACAGAAGACTTTTCTGCTTTATGCACAGCCAGGCGACTGGATGTAACTACTTCTTGATCTCCTTTCAACCATTTACAGACTGGCTGAGGTTTCCCATATACATGAGCTTCAATTCTCAGTTTCTTTCCAGCTTTAATGTGAACATGATCAGGCATCAAAATCTTAGGTGGGACTGTAAAAAAAAAAAAATCAGACATGTAAATTAAATTACTGTGATATATTAATTTACTTTTTCTTATTTTTTCATGTGAAACATTTCTGCTTCTCTCTCAAGAGGAATGACCAGTAGGAATGAACAGATAACTTTTAATTTAGGTTCTACTTTTACATTCTTGTACAGTTTACAAGAGAATACTTATGAGTTTGGATTGCCTTCACACACATTTATGTAGAGATTTGTGCACTATTAGTGCTTGAAATGTAATTCCTCTTTATATCTGGAGCTTGTTGCTCACTTATTGCTGACTTTCTACAAGACAAACATGAAGGAGAAGAAAAGAAACGCTGAAGTTCTGAACTCAACCCACTTGCACAGTCAATCTTTTTTATCTTTGAATTACTCTTCTACTTCTTCTTTTGCACAAAAGTTTTCAAGTTTCTTCCAAAAGAAACATGACAGCTTGTTTGGTGTAGTTTTCTTCCTGCCATTGTCTAGTTTTTCTGTGTCTCTGTCTTTCTCTTCCCATGTCACAATACCCTTACCCCTAGGTCTCCTGTGCTTCAGGGACCCTGCCACTTTAAATAGGCCAACCTGTCCTCCCTGCCTTTTACTTTTTATTCCCAATCAACTTCACAATATAAGCAACTTGTTTTCTCTTATATTTAAACAGGTGCCACTTTTCGCCCCATTTATCTCTAAAACTACCAGTCTGACTCTTTTTCTCTTTCATTTTAAGTTCATCAAAGGAGTTTATTACTTCGCCCTAATTCCTACTTTCTAGTTTCAACTGAAACCATACCTGAAGAATTATTTAATAATTCTGAATTAGTGGTTGTCTCATTCTTTCTGAGCTGTCAAAATATTCAGTACAGTAAACCTTCATCATCCAGATAACTTCATAAAGCATATGTCTTTCTGTGAGTTAAAGAACTATAATTTTTCCTCATTTTATTATTAAAGCAGTATATTGCAACATAGGTAGTATTTAAATTGCTACTTACTGAGTTGTTCTTTAATTTCAAATGCTCCTTCAGCTTGTATTGGTAAACTTACTCCTACAGCATTTCTAGCTGCCACTCTAAAGTTGTACTTCTTTCCCTCCTTCAGACCAGCTACAACAATTGAGAGATCTTTGACAACAGAATACTCTGTCCAGCGATCCGCTGGTTGGTCATCTTCTTTGTAGCTAACAATGTACCCATCAATTTTAGAGCCTCCATCACGCAGTGGTGGCAGCCAGCCTAAAGTAGCACTATTCTTTGTAATTTCAGTAACTTCAAGTTTTCTTGGTGGATCAGGTTCACCTTTCAGGGCAAAAGAAAAAAAGAAACACATTAAACACTGAATTTCCAAGATTTTCTGGCTCTTGAGTATTTGTTGAATTATCAGATGTTAGCCATGCTAATTCAACAAGGACAATATAGAAAAGAGCAGAATTCTTAATAATTGCAAAGGTACTATATTCATAGACCATATTATTTTAAAGGAACTGGTACATGAATATTTATGTTTATCATTGAGTAGTTAGTAGCACTGTCCAGTTTAGGAACAGTAGCTTTCAAGAAACACAGAATCTTATTAAAGTTCGCAAAAAAACATAAAATGTACATAAAGGCATACTTACTTAGAGGATCTGTTGCTAGAACAGGTTTTGGTATGTCACTTGGAACACCTGACCCATATTCATTGACTGCCGTCACTCTAAAATAATATTCATTTCCAGGCACAAGGTTTGCTATTTGGAAACTAGTTTTCTTTAGTTCTGCAGTGACTGTTGCCCAGGTCTTCCTGTCAGCCTCACGTTTCTGCAGGATGTAATGAGTCACGGGGCTACCCCCATCATTCTCTGGAGGTGCCCATGAAAGATGGCATGACATCTTGGTGACATCTGAAACCTTGAAGTCTGACACAGGTCCAGGAGTATCTATAAAGAAATTTCAATTTACGTTAGACTTTTCTTCCTTGAAAAGTTGAAATTAAAGGGGGCTAACAGCTTTCTATATGGGGGGAGTTAGTGTTAGCTGATACGGTTATGCTCAAAAACTGTAGGATCTAGGGGTCATAAATATTCCTGCAATGAACATTCAATATAGTTATAAAATTGTCTAAAGATATTTGTCTCATTACTTACCCAGGACTCTGACATTCACAAATACAGCCTTTTCTCCAGCTGCATTAACAAGTGTCAATGAATATTTGCCTGAGTCATCACGTGTTGAATCGGGAATGACACAGAAGGCCATAGTGTCAACCAGATCAACTTGTCCTTTTCTGATGACATTATCAATACCCATTCTCCTCCAGGTGACTTTTGGTGCTGGGCGGCCCCTAACAATGGCAAAAAGTCTAATAGGGCATCCTGCCCTAACTGTGACTAACTTTCTCATGCTTGCATCCAACTCAATCTCAGGAGGTTCTGAAAGACAAAATTAAAGAAATAAAATGCAAAGTTTAGCATGTGAATAAAGTAAACCTAAAGCAAATAGAGGCTGGATGTAGACACTGATAAAGTGGATGGGAAAACTCACCAAGAATTTCTTTGGGAGACACAGCTTCTTTCAGTTCAGCTGGCCGACCAAGGCCAACCTGGTTTTGGGCAGAAACTCTGAACTCATATAATTGCTTCTCATCCAGGCTGGTGGCTGTAAATTCTGTGTGAATAACTTGGGCAGCAACATTACATCGTTTCCATCCTGCTTCAGGATCAGCACCCTCAACTTTTGGTCTCATTTCCACAACATATCCAATAATTGGAGCACCACCATCGTACACTGGTTTTCCCCAGCCAAGGGTTATGGAAGTCTTTGTGCTATCAACCACTCTCAAGTTTGTGGGAGGACCAGGTGGTTCTGAAAGACAGAAAAAATTACAAATAAGAACACAGCTGTACAATTTAGTCATCTATCATGTTACCTTAAAAAAAATATAAAAATTCAATGGTATTATACCTATCGGGTCTTTGGCTACTACAGGTCTTGATGGCAAGCTTGGTTCTCCAAGTCCGACTTCATTTTCAGCACTGACGCGGAACTGATATTCATGACCAGGGAAGAGATTAGTAACCTTCTTGCGTCTCTCTGGGATTGCAGTCTTAGTAACAGGAACCCATCTCAGTGATCGTTTCTCTTTCTTCTCTAAAATGTATCCTGTAATTGATTTGCCACCATCATATTCTGGTGGATTCCAAACTACAGTCATCTCTTCTTTGCTAACTCTTGTGACATCTGGAGGGTCAGGGCGGCCAGGTCTATCATATTTTGTTTTTGCAATAATTGGGTGTGTTTCTGTTGGTGGACCAGTGCCCATTTTATTCTCTGCACGCACTCTGAATATATATTCATTACCTTCAATGAGACGTGTCACTTTTGCATAGTTTGTTAGGACAGAAGAAGAGAATGTAGACCAAACCATACGCTTGCTTTCACATTTTTCCAGGATGTAGTTCTGTATTTCACAACCACCATCATCTTCTGGCGGGTCCCAAGTAACAGTACATCTATCACTTGAAATGTCAGTGACTTTTAAGTTTCTTACAGGACCAGGTTTATCCAAGACAATAACAGTAGCATATGCCACGAAGCTACCAGCTGTGTTAGTTGCAGTAATCACATATTTCCCACCATCACTACGCCTTGATTTTGTGAGAACAAACTTCGATGTGTCAGAAGTTGTTTCAATACTGATTCTTGGAGATCTGGTGAGATCTGTGGCATCTTTGTCTTTTGTCCATACAACTTCAGGCTGTGGTTTTCCTCTGACTCCAGCCTCAATTCTAATTGTGTCACCTGCTTTCACAGTTAAAACCCCACTTAACTTCAAGTCTAGCACTGGTTTCTGCAGATCTTCCTTCACAACAACTTCAGCTGTTTTCACCCAGCCACTTTCACCAGCCTCATTCTTGGTTTGAACTCGGAATTGGTAAGTCTTATTTTCCATACATCTGTCTACCATGTAGTGTGTTTCCTTAATGCTGCCTTTGTGAACCCTTTCCCATTCATCTGAATCTTTCAGTTTTCTCTCAACATGATAACTTAAATTGGGACTTCCACCATCATAATCTGGCCTTCTCCATTTCAAATATACAAATGTCTTCCCTTTCTCTGCAATGTGAAGATTTTCTGGCTCTCCAGGCTTGTCAATAGGATTGATGGCAAGGATGGGAGTCTTGGTCTCAATGCAAGGCCCTGGACCTATTTTGTTTTCTGCACAAACTCTGAAGAAGTATTCACGGTTCTCTACAAGATTTGCCTTTACTAATCGTTTAGTGACATCAGAGGAGACAATTGACCATCCCCTTTGATTTGGTTGACGGTACTCTACTATGTAATTTGTAATTTCAGAGCCACCATTATCCACTGGACTCTCCCAAGCAATCATACAAGAGTCTTTTGTGACATAGCTTATTTTCAGGTTCTGACATGGTCCAGGTCTGTCAAGTACATTAACAATAGCAAAAGCTTGAGCCTGTCCGCAGCTGTTCTTAGCTGCTATTATATATTTGCCGTGATCAGATCTTTTGGCTTCTTTCACTTGCAGTTCAACATTCGGTAGATCATGGAGTATTTCAACATGCTTTTCTTGGACTAGTACTTTGCCATCTTTAGACCACGTTATTTCAGGATCTGGCCTGCCTTTTACCTTACCAGTAATACGTATTGTTTGACCTACTCGGACAGTAATTAAATCTCGACAGGTCACATCTAGGCTTATTTCTGGAGGAGAAAGGATATCCTTTGCAAGTACAGTTTCTGCCAGTTCTCTTGGTTCTCCCTCTCCCACAATGTTGACAGCTTTTATTCGGAACTTATACTCATTTCCTTCTATTAATCCAGGTACTCTGAAAGCACACTGTCTAATGAGTTCATCCTTATTAATCCTATTCCACTGTGTAGTTCCAGTTTTCTGACATTCCACAATGTATCCCAGAATTGGGCTGCCACCATCTTTGAGCGGCTTTGTCCACACAAGATCAGCTGTTTCTTTAGTTTTGTCTTTTAATTTTGGATTTATAGGTGGTCCAGGAGGAGTGATTGGGCGTGATGCTTTTATTGGATCAGAGCTTGGAGATGGTTTGCTTAAACCCACCATGTTTTCTGCAAAAACTCTGAATTCGTATGTGTTGCCTTCAAAAAGACCAGTGACTCTGTATTTCATATCAAGTATAGGTGTCTTATTGACACGCACCCATTTACCAGATGCTTCCCGACGTTCAAGTATATAACCAGTTATTGGAGTTCCACCATCAGATTTTGGTAGGGTCCAAGACACTGTTGCAGCATTTTCTGTAATATCATAAACAGTTGGTTTACCAGGTGGGGACGGTGGATCAAACATATATTTAGCAACTGTTGGTTCTGAATCAAGGGGTGCACCAATGCCTATCTTATTTTCTGCACGAACACGGAAAATATATTCACAGCCTTTCTGCAGTCGTGGAACCTTAATTTTTGTGTGACTTGTTCCAGAGCTAACCACTCCCCAAGTTTCTTTCTTTGATTGACGCTTCTCAACAATATAATTAATTATAGGACTCCCACCATCATCTTTAGGAGGGCGCCAAGAAATAACCATGTATTCTGGTGTTACTTCAAGAATATTAATAGGACCAGTTGGTGGGCCAGGAACGTCCAAAACTGTAAGGTGTAGAGCCACAGTTTTGCTGCCAGCTGCATTAGATACTGTGAGTAGATATTCTCCTGTATCTTTTCTTACACAGTCTTTAATAGTAAGCACGGTTGAATAATTGTCAGTCTCAATCTTGTATTTGCCATCTGGTTTAATTTCAGTGTCATCAGTAACCCACTTTGCAGTGGGAACTGGCACACCTCTCATAATTGCTGGAAGTCGCACTGTGGTTCCAGCTTTAACAACAAGACCTTCAATTAACTTCACATCTAGTTCCACAGATGGAGGTACTGAAATGACAGAAAAACAGAAATTACCTTTTCAAGGGAAATGCATAAAGAAAGAGAGAAAGAATAAGTGAAACAACACGAAAAACCAAAAATTACCTAGTTTTTCTTGACACTCTATTGGTATAGTTGTATCAGGAAGGCTGAGACCAACAATATTCTGAGCTCTCACACGGAATTTGTATATTTTTCCTTTTTGTAGGCCTGTAACAACACAGTCTAGCATAGGGACCGTCTGGAACTTTGTCCATTCATCTGCACCATCTTCTTGATATTCCACCAAATATCCAGTTATCTCAGCACCACCATCACGATCTGGTCGATCCCAAACAAGGGAAACTTCAGTCTTGTCAACATCTACATGATGCAGATTCTTTGGTGGCCCTGGAGGATCTTTTAAAGTAAAAACACAAAATGGTTACTAGGATGAAAAATCTATGGTATCAGTGTATCATGTTCACATTCATACCAACATGACAATCTCAAAATTACCAATAACAATATTAAAAAAACAAATTATGTAACTTAAAAACACTTACGCAGTGGATCTATAGCTTTAATAGGCTTAAGTGTTTCCACATATGGACCTCTACCAAACTGATTCTCAGCTGCAACTCGGAATTGATACTGAGTGCCTTCCATCAGATATTTAGCCATATGACTGCGTTTCTTGGAGGATGATGAGATGGCTACCCACTGTGCAGAAGCTACATCTTTCCTTTCCACCACATAGTTGGTAATGACAGAGCCACCATCATCTTCTGGTTCCATCCAAGTGAGATAGCAAGAGTCGCTTCTAATATCACTGACTTTCAGATTTCTGGGTGGACCAGGCTTATCTAAAATTGATAAAAATAAAATCTGTTATTTATTTGATAATCAAAGCATTTCTTATAAAGTTTAGTAAATTTCAAGATAATATATTTAATGTAATTTTTAGTCCTTTTTCTACTGTGTATTTTTTATAAAACTTTGTTTATTGATATTTTTCAGAAATTCCTTTATCTCTCAATCTCCATTTATAGAATAAGAAGATGTGGTATAAAAGGAACATCAAAAAGATTACCTAAGACCACGACTTTTACTGAAACAGTCTTTGAACCAGCTGGATTTTCAACTGTCAGGGAGTAAATTCCACCATCTTCATGGACCGTGTTACGAATTTCAAGCTTACTACCAACTCCTGTAACCTCAATATCAGCTTTGGGTGAGACTTCATGATCTCCTTTCTTCCAGGTAACTTTTGGGAATGGAACACCTTTAATAACAGCACTAAGTCGCAGGGTATCTCCAGCTTTTACATGCTGTTCTCGGGCCATATTAGCATCAAGTATCAACTCAGGAGGTTCTGGAATCAAAAAGATAAGTTTTGAGGAAAATGAGGGGGAAAAAAATGTTCTTAGGTAAACTTATCTGATTTTATTAAACTCACCAAGCCTGTCTTTTACTTCTACTGGATCATGAACGTGGGCTGGATCAGATTCACCTGCTGCATTGACTGCCTTCACCCTGAACTTATAGGTCAAACCCTCAGTAAGACCAGTGACTTTGTATTTTGTGTCAGGACAAGAATCTGCTGTAAGATTAGCCTGTTTCCATTCTTCATCTCCAACTTTCTGATACTCTATTAGGTAGCCAATTATCTTTCCATTTCCATCGTGGCGTGGTGGTTGCCAAGATAAATCAACTGAATTTTTAGTTTTATCTACTGCTTCTGGATTAACAGGTGGACTTGGTTTTGCTGTTAAAGAAGCAAAAAAAGAGAAACTATTAAAATCCTTTTCTAACTGAAATTAAGAGTGCATTAAAATTTCAATGAGAAATGAAATTTGATACTTTACTGATTGGATCTCTAGCGAAAATTGGCTTTGATGGTGGACTAGGATCACCGACACCAATTTCATTTTCTGCTGAAACACGGAATTCATATTCACAGCCTTCAAGGAGATCAGGTACTTTGAACTTTGTACTGGGGAAAATCGGGTCTTTGGTAGCTTTGACCCATCTTGTAGCCATTGTTTCCTTCTTTTCTACAATATAGTTTGTTATTGGCTTGCCTCCATCATACGGTTTGTTCCAAACCACTACTGCAGAGTCTTTGGTAACATCCTTAATGATTGGTTGCTCAGGTGCATCAGGAACACCTGGGGTGGGGAAAAAAAAAGAGTGTATAAGCATTACAAACAGAATAAAGATTAGAGCATTAAAGTAAGGTTGCAAATGAGAAACATACGGAAACGGTCCTTGGCTTTCATCTCATCAGAGATGAGAGGATCACTTATGCCATAAAGATTTTCAGCATAAATTCGAATTTGATATTCTCTTCCTTCAAGCAGCTTAGGAACTTTGCATGTTGTCTTCACTGTGGCAGATGTAACTGGCATCCACAGGTCTTTGTGTGTATCCTTCTTCTCAATAATGTAATTTGTGATTTCACTGCCTCCGTCATCTAATGGAGGTTTCCAGGAAACTACCATATGATCTTTATAGACTTCATCAAATATAACTGGGCCTACTGGAGGTGATGGGCGATCTGTTTAAGAAAAAATAAAGCATATCCATGCTTTTATATGAACTTCACATAACATCATAGATTAAAAAGTGCCAATACAGTAAATACAGTATAAAATGAGAAACCTGACATCACAGTTTTAATAAGGAATCAAGACCTCAGGACTATTCCTCCTTAATATATATTTGACTCACTGGACTTAATTTCTTAATGCTTATAAAGTAGTTGGTGATTAACATTTTCTAGAGTGTTGATGGTCTCTAAATGCATTTAGAGACATTAAATTATTCATCCTGAATAAACTAATCCAGATTTAACTACGTACTCGAAATTAATAAGTAGCTTTTCAGTATAACTGAAAATGCAGTAAATCAAAATATTGTAATAAAACCCACATTTCAATACCTACATTTTATATAATTCAATTACTTCAAATCACTAATAAATAACCGACAATACTGTTGTTCAGTAAAACCTACCAACAACATTCACTTGACAAAATCCTTTTCTTGCTCCTGTGCTGTTCTCTACAGTCACACAATATTTGCCTGTGTCTTCACGGACAGATTTTAGTATCCCTAGGCAAAGAGTTGTAGGAGTTGTCTTGATCTTTATACGGTCATCTTCTTTCACAACAATATCATCCTTTAGCCAAGTAACCTTTGGTGCAGGCTTGCCTGAGTAACGTCCAGTCAGGCTGAAAGCTTCACCAACTCGAACAATAAGCTTGTCTCTAAAGTCAAGGTCAAGTGTGGGAGGAGCTGAAAGACAATATTGAAAAACATGAATGCCCCAAAACGTCAGCAATATTAATAAGAAAAAGTAAGGAATCAGTAAATGTAAACACTGTTTTCAAAAGAAATATGAAAAAGATACATACCAATTTCATCCTTGCACGTGATTGGTTTAGTGCAAAATGATGGCTTGCCTTGCCCCACAATATTGCAAGCACTCACACGATACTCATAGGTGTCACCCTCTTTCAAGCCTTCTACAGTGTATTTCCTATCAAGCATTTTCTCCTTTGTAACTTTGTGGAATTTGTCTTTACCAATGAGACGGCTCTCTAGAACATACATGGTGATATCTGAGCCTCCATTGTATTTTGGAGGGTTCCAAGTTAGTGTAACAGAGTTCTTGGTAACTGCTTTTACTTCCAGGTCTTCTGGACGGTCAGGAACAGCTGTGAATAAACAAAAAATATGGTAAATGCATTTTTCTGCATATTCAGCACACCTCATATTATGACAGTTATCCAAACTCAAAAATATTCTTACTTATTGGATCTCTAATGACAATCTCTTTTGTTGTCTCTGTGAATGGACCCATGCCAATTAGATTCTCAGCTGCAATTCGGAAAAAATAGGCTTTCCCTTCAATGAGTCCCTGAATAGTAGCATTCTGTCTTGTAACTGTGTAGCTCACTGGAGTCCAAGCTCTACGGTCAGCTTCACGTTTTTCAATTATATAGTTGGTAATAGGAGAACCACCATCATCTTCTGGAGTAAACCATGACAATTTACAAGAGTCATTGGTGAGGTTCTCAGTAAGGAGTGGCATTCCAACTGGGCCTGGCACATCTGAAAGCAAGGAAAAAAATGGAGTATTTAAGTATACATGCTGAATTTTAAGAAATTGTACTTGTTCACATGGACTGAAGTTGCTATTTACCTAGCACATCAACAATAATTGTCTTCTTCCTCTCACCACCGTCATTTTTAGCAAGAAGAGTGTATAAACCCTGGTGACTCCTTTTGCAATTCTTGATGACTAAAGAAGAACTAATAGCTGTTTCTTCAACTTTGGCTTCTTCTGGCAAAGCGTGGTCATCCCTGCTCCAAGTCACTGTTGGAGGTGGTTTTCCTGAGACATATGCTATGATCCGAATTACTCCTCCAGCATGAACAACAATTCTGTCCCTGACACTTGCATCCAAATTAATATCAGGAGCCACTGAAGGAGGTGAACAAAAAAATTCAATGAATTTTTTTTCTCACTTTCAATTAGAGGTACTAAAAATGTAAATGAAAATGATAAATACCAATTCTGTCTTTCATTTCAATAACATCGGTGACTTCTCCAGGTTCTCCGATGCCAGCAGCATTCACTGCTCTAACTCTAAATTTGTAAAAACATCCTTCTTTCAATCCTGCCACAACGAACTTGGTTCCTCTAATTTCTTTATCTTTTACCTGGAAAAGATTGTTGTAATGTCAGCTAACATCAAGATATGAACAATTTCTTTGCAAAGTTTGAAACAAGTCTTACATCAGATATTATTTCAGATTTACAAGCACACAATGGTATTAAGCATATATGGATCTACCTCACATAGAATTCTTCAGAAATTGTGTAAAGAAATACAGAACATGGACATACAAGCTATTCTAAAGATTTATCTTTTGATAATTCTACAGAGACGGTTGCTACAGCAATTATAATAGTCTGGTCTCAGAAGAATTACATGTGTTTCTGGACACATAAACTCATGTAAGTGAAAGTGCCAGAAAAAGGAATTCTGTTCTTTTCAAACCCCAATATGAAGGCTTCTTACCTGGAAACAGTGTAGGACATTTAGGTATTACTTAAATTGCACCCAGATGTTTATGGAGATATAAAGAATCCCCAAGATGCACACCAGTTAAATTTTCAGTAATGTATTATTGAAAAAAGGAGGAAAATATAGGGACATAGTGGTTGTAAATGCTTTGGCACTGTCTGATACCAATGAAACTTACTTTTGTGCCAGTTCTAACTTGGTCTTTTGGTTTTTTAATAACAAATTACCTACACACTTTCTCACATCTTTAAGCAGAAATTATTAAATTCTAAGTTTAGGAATTGCAAAGTTAACTTAAGGGGCAAGTACTAACTTAAGTTTGGTCTTATATTTTAAACATATGAAGATAATTATGGTACAAAAATGCAAACTTTTAGAAAATAACTTGAATAGTAAAAATGTATAAAGAAAATGATAGTTTGGTTTTTTTTCTGCAGCAATTTACTTTGACAGACACAGAGAGAAGAAATGCAGATGGTGTAATAGTTTTCCACCTACCCGTTCCCATTCTTCCTTTCCTTCCTCTTTATACTCAACAATGTAGCCAGTGACCCTGGAACCACCATCCTTTATTGGTGGAGCCCACTCCAAGTCTACAGAAGACTTTGTCCAATCAGTAACTTTTGGTATAGGAGGGCCAGGTGGGGCTGAAAAATATCATCACATAGCATAACAATATATTGTATGTTCTTACTTGAATATTTTCAAATTTTGGAAAAAAGAATCTAAAATATTTACCAATAGGATCTCTAGCAAGTGCTGGATCAGATGGCATGCTCGGTGGGCCAACACCAGCTGCATTGATAGCTGAAACACGGAACTGATATTCAGAGCCTTCAATAAGACCTGTGACTTTGTATGAAACCCCCAGTGTCATAGGCTTGATAGGATCTCGGTTAACCCTGGTCCATCTCTTTCCAGTGGTCTCTTTGCGCTCCAACCAGTAACCGGTAATAGGAGAGCCACCATCATGTTCTGGTTCTTCCCAGTTTACAGTCATTGAGTCACGTGTTATACTGCTAACTGTTGGCTTGTCACAAGGTCCAGGTACAGCTGGGGAAAAAATTCACACATATCTTGTAAAAAATATGCTAAAGAAACATGGAGACAGCTAGTGTGCAGAGCAGCTATGCACTCACAGAGTCACCATTGCACTAGGTAGTTACCTATCTGCACAAAACTCCTTCCCTCATTCAGTTTCTCATCCCTATTCAGGTACAGATAGTTCTGTGAACAATAAAGTATCTGTCCTTTAAATAACAATTGCAAATTTTTTTTTTCTTGCCTTTCTGGATCACTACCTCATTACAGTGCCCAGCCTAACACAGGATGTTTTAATCATTATTTTCTCCTGTCACCCTAACACTTCTTCTATGTCAGAGCTACTCTGTCTAATTTATCTTTAAGAAGTGAAGGCAGGAAATTGACTCTTCCTGAGATTGTGAGGTTAATACTGTCTCGACTACAATAGAATGACATGGATCTTATCAGATAAACACTTTGTATATTTAAGCCTTAAAAATGTTGAGATTGTATTTTAGTATATACCAAGGAGGACGAACAGTATTTTAAAGTGCTACACGTGGTTTTAAGAAATAAGTACTAATGGTAAAATTCTTCAAGCTATTCTAGAAAATTTACTTAGTGAAGAGAAAAAAGTAGTAGTGGTATTTAAGAGATTCTGTACACATACCAGCATATGGAAACAACTGCCATCACTTGAAAGTATATTTCTACTTACTGAAAATATTTCGTGCTGTTTCTGGCTCACTATCCAAAGGTTCTCCGATACCATATTTGTTTTGTGCCATAATGCGGAACACATACTCATGGCCTTCCATCAACTTGGGAATAGTGAATATGCATTCCTTAGGCTCATTAGTAACAGGTACCCATGTCCTCCTATTTGCTTCTTTTTTCTCTATAACATAGTTTGTAATCTTAGAACCACCATCATCTAATGGAGGAAGCCATGATATTGTCATTTTGTCAGCCAAAATGGATTCAAATTTAATAGGTCCCACTGGAGGTCCAGGACGACCTAAAAGATACATTTTAATAAAGAAGAATTAATTCAAATGCTACTAAAGTATCAAACGAGTGCTATCAATTTCTGTAATGTATAAGAGTTCTTGATACCTACCCAGAACATTGAGCCTCATCTCCTTGGAAGCAGTTCCCAGATTATTTACAGCTGTTATAGTATATAAGCCTGTATCATTTCTCCGAGACTGTTGAATTAATAAAGTGCAAGTATCTTCATCAACAATCTTGTTGACATGTTGATCGTAGAGCACTGGGGATTTGTCATCTGGTTTCTTTGGAGAGGCTTTTAGCCATGTTAATGTGGGGAAGGGTACACCCTTTATCTTGGCCACAATTTTAACATCTGTTCCTTCTTCAACCTCCATAAATTCTTTGAGCTCAATAGATGGTGGACCTACAATGAAATGTTGAAAAAATAACGTAAAAAACAGTTCATAATTTTAAAATTAAATTTGTATTTACTGGTATCAGTTAGTACTTACAGGTCTGGTCTTTGACAACAAGTGGGCCAACAGTGGCTGATGGTCTGCTAGGACCTGCTATATTTACAGCTTTGACTCTGAATTCGTATTCTCCACCTTCTACAAGATCCTCAACAGTAAACTTTGTTTCTTCCACATCACGTCTGTTGCATTGCTTCCAAGACTCTTTCACTTCTCCAGTACGATCCCAGCGGAGACATTCAACATTATAATGTGTAACTGGAGCTCCACCATCATTCTTTGGTGGTTTCCACGTCAAGCTCACTGTGTTCTTGGTTACAAGGCCAATCCTTAGTTTAATAGGCGGATCAGGAGGATCTTCACAACCAAAACAGAAACGTGAATAAATCCACTCTACGGTAACATCTGGTTTTAAAGGATTTGTTTGAATTTAATTTTACTTACGAATTGGATCCCTGGCTGTGGTCCGTTGGATGGTTTCTGCAGGAGGGCCAACACCAAAACGGTTTTCTGCACGTACCCGGAAGAAATACTCTTGGCCAGATATGAGATCAGGTACAACAAAGGAGGTACTGCCACAGTTTGCATTGACTTTAGTCCAGGCCTTCCCATCAATAGTTCTTTTTTCTATAACATAGCCTCTGATTCTGTCTCCACCGTCGTCATCTGGCATCTTCCATGAAAGTTTACAGCTACCTCTTGTGATATCACTTACTTTTAGGTCTTTTGGTGGACCGGGGACATCTGTTAAGATAAAAGCACAACAGACACAATTTTACATAAGTATGTAGAAAAATAAGAGTAAAATCTAGTATTTGAATACTTCAATATATACAAGTCATACCAAGCACATTGACTCTGACATGCACTGTTTTTTGTCCTGCTTTATTCTTTGCTGTAATACTGTATCGTCCAGAATGACTTCTGTTGCACTCAGGGATGATAATCTCTGAACGTGTATCAGTTGCTTCCACCTGTGTATTATAAGAAGAAAGAGAAGTTATAGATCAACTTTAAATATTTTAATGTTTGAAAAATGCAACAATACTGACATTAAAAAAATTGTTTGCTTTACCTGAGCTTCTTCAGGTACGTTATGACCTCCCTCCTATAAACAAAGGGAAATTATATAAATATAAAAGGGAATAGGCTTAAATGTCTAGAAACAGGTGTAGAAAAAAGCTATTTCTTTTACTAACCTTTGCTGCTGTTTTTGCTTTTCCTTCATACTCCCAAAATGTTTTTGGAACTGGACGACCCTTGATAACAGCTGGGATTTTAATTGTTGTGCCAGCACGACAAGAAAGCAAATCCTGTGCTCCAATATCAAGGAAAATTTCTGGTTCCCCTGCAAAAATATTTAAATATATAAATTTTAAGAGCTACTCAAAGGATATTTCTGTCAGCGTGGATCTGAAAGTCCCCTGAAACATGTAGAATGCATGTTTATGTGAGAAAGGTTGGGTGTGCAAAGTGGAAACTGGGGAAGTATACAAATAGAAAAACTTGTTGCAGTAATTTCTTCATAAAATACAGAGTGTTTCCTTAGTATGACTGTAGTTGCTTATCAATTTTTCTAATAGATCATGCCCTGGTAATAGTCATCATGACACTTTCAAAAATGTGTGTCAATCTTTTGTTAAATTTTTGCATAATTTTTTATTCTGTTTGACTTGTTTGGCATCCTGCTTGAACATTCACAGCAGTAAGTGGCATTTAGATAGAAATATCTAAATCAGCTCCCAGAACACCTACCTAGAATATCTTGGATAGGTATTTCTGATGTTGCAGGACTTGGTTCTGATTCTCCAGCAGCATTTACAGCTTTCACCCTAAATCGGTATTTTCTGAGCTCTTTCAAGTTGGGGATAACGCATTCACAAGTAGGAAAGAGTTTGTCTCCTTCGTTCACCTTCTTCCAGTCAGTACTACCTTCATCTTGCATTTCAACAATATATCCTTTTATAGGACTCCCACCATCCTTTTGAGGAGGCTTCCATGCAAGAGCTACAGATGATTTTGTTTTGTCTTTGACCTCTGGGCAAGATGGTGGACCAGGAACAACTTACAAAACGAGAATAAGTAAAAATTACCTGAGAGTTAGGGTCTTCCTATATTTTTCTGAATAGTTTCTAGAAAAATGCAAGTATTTTAATTTTCTTCTCTCATACATGGAGTGTATAACCCTAGAACATGCATACTAATTGCGTATATAACCTATATTATTAAGAGATACTTAAGGTACAAGACATAAATATCAAACTCTTTAAAAATTAAGTAAAACAATAATATAAAAATATGATTCTGATCTAAAGTTTATTTGGCAATGTCTGCATTGGTGTAATCAAAGTATTAGGCACATAAAAGAGATAAAAAAATTAAATTACAGCTAATTATTTTTAAAATGGTGAAAACCACCAAATCAGGAAACTATTTGTGTCAATGTACTCTTTTTGGTTTAATGAAAACAAAATATTTGATTAATTGCACTAAATGAAAAATAAAAAATAGTAGCACATTTTTTGTTCTGATGTGATAGAGTCATTTAACATAGTCATACAAATTATATACTTACATATGGGATCTGCTGCTAAGGCTGGATCTGATGGTTCACTGGGAGGGCCAATTCCAGCAAGATTTTCAGCCATAACTCTGAACTGGTACTCAACACCCTCAATCAAACGAAGCACATTGTGCTGTAGACCTTTTACTGATGGTTTTGTTACCGGAGCCCTGTTGACACGTGCCCAGTAGACGCCTCCCACTTCTCTCTTCTCCAACCAATAGCCAGTTATTGGGCTGCCACCATTGTCCAAAGGAGGCTCCCAAGTCACCAGCATAGATGATCTGGTGCGATCTAAGACTTTTGGCTTTCCAGGAGGTCCAGGAAGGCCGTAGGGATCCTTAATAACAACTTTTTCTGAGAGGCATTCATCACTTATTCCATATTTGTTTACAGCTCGGACTCTAAATTGATATTTTTCACCTGTTGCAAGATTCCATACCTGAAAAATAAGATTTAAATCAATACTTGGCTACTTTTGGAATAAACTTATTTGGAGATATGCAGTGATTTTCACTTCAAATTCTGTCTTGGAATCTCATTGACATACCTCTGTTTATTACTACACAGCTACATATGATGTCCTAAGGATATTCTTATTTCATGTGCATAGGACCAAACATAAATAAAAATGTCATCATGTTTGTTTTTGCAGTTGGTAAAATTGAATAATGCTGGAAAATGGAAAGGAAGATATCTTCTAGCTCAGCTGAAGTTAAGTAGCAATAGCGAATAATTTCTTTTGTTTTGTCACATGAGGGATAACACAGATACATGGACGGCCAATACAAATACTGGCCATTCATCCAGTAATTCTGGTGTCCAAATGGAGCATGAGCACAGGTGTCTATGCAAGTAGCAGATTTCATTAGATATGTAATATTGTTATTTTTAATGCATACTAAAGTATGTAATAACGATATTTTATAAATTACCCCAAATCTTCTCTCAACAGCGCCTGTAGAGACTTCTTCCCACTCAGATTTCTTCTTACTAGCATCACGTTTCTCAATAATGTAATGGGTAATTTCACTACCACCATTATCAAGAGGTGCATCCCATGTTAAATAGCATGATTCTGCTTTAATATCAGAAACAGTAAGATTTCTTGGTGGAGAAGGACGATCTGTATGAAAGCAATAGAACATAGAACTACATTAAGAAAAAGGCAAAAGCATTTTATTAGCAGCATTTTATTAAAATGTTGCATCCTTACCATACACTTCGACGTGCACATTGCGAAATGCAGTGCCAAGACGATTGGAAGCTCTCACAGTGTAAGTGCCTTTATCATTCCTCACTGTTGCAGGCAGAATAAGTTCAGTTTTTGCTGCACTTCTAGATACTTCTTCCTTGGTTATCTTAAGTGCATCAGATGTTTGGTCAATTAAAACTTCATTCTTGTCCCATTCGATCTTTGGCATTGGCAGACCTGTCACATCAGCAGGAATATTAACTGGTTCTCCTGCCTTGACTTTGATAGTATCTCCTCTCACAGCCAAGCGCAATGTAACAGTTGGAGGTACTGAAAACAAGAAGAAAAATGACAGAGTGAAGATGAAACAGAAATTGCCTTGGAGTGTTCTGAAGATATTTATATGGATTTCTTTAAAGCAGATATACCTTCATCATCTTGTATGACTACGTTGAGGGGCAATGATGGTTCACTTTCTCCAATTTCATTAACAGCTTTGACACGGAATTCATACATATGAAGTTCATCAAGTTTTTCAACGAGAAGAGATGTTTTTGGACAGAGCCTTGCATTAACTCTTTCATAATCTTTTGAATCATGTCTCCTCTTCTCAACAATATACCCTAAGATGGGACTGCCACCATCACTACGTGGAGGCTTCCAATCAAGTGTAATGGTTGATTTTGTTCGCTCTGTGTACATGAACCTCTCAGGTGCCGTTGGAGGACCTATTAACACAGACAAATTATAATGAAAAAAAAAATCAGAGAATTTTAAATTGTATAAATGCTAATGTAATGTAGTAGCTCTAGGTTTTTAAAACCATAACTTTTGTATGCAAAGAATCTGAGTATAATTATGGATAGTATAAAGTTTCTCATGTATGTGGAGAAAAAGGTAATAAGTAGTGTCTCCGTAGGCACCATACATAAAGAACCATAGTAGTTTCACAGAACTGATTTAGACATCTGACTGAAGTAATTGATCTAAGGCAGATGCCTATCCATGTAATTGAAAAGTAAATACAATTTCTGTATAGAAAGCAATTCACACAACAACATTGCTTTATTAACTTTTTTTTTTAAATCTCATAAAGTTAGTAGTCTTACCTAATGGGTCAACTGCAAGAATGGGCCCTATTTCAACAGGTGGACCGGTACCAAATTTGTTCTTGGCACTAACACGGAATTTATATTCCTGCCCTTCAAGTAGACCTGTAATATCACATTTAGATCTTTCTGTGTCTACAGCTAGTCTCCATGTATGCATTTTGGCATCCTTCCGTTCAACAATGAAGCCTATGATATCACTGCCGCCATCATCTTCAGGATCAGACCAGTTAAGCAAACACATCTTTCTGTTTGTGACCACTGGCTTTAGGTCAAGGACTGGTCCAGGAACGTCTGAAAAACAAAATCAAACAAATACAGTAAAGCCCATACTAACCAAAAGAAATGCTTAGTTGATTTGAGAAAATATTTTTCTTACCAAATACTTCGACTCTGGTTCCTGCAGATTTTGAACCACTGCTATTGGTAGCAGTAATTACATATCTTCCATGGTCTTTTCTCAATGCATTCTTAATGGTTAACTCAGATTTTGTGCCAACATTTTCAATAACAACTCGATCTTTGTCTAGTTCACCGTCCTCCACAGTCCAAGCAATGGTGGGAGTAGGACGTCCTGTCACAATAGCAGGAATTTTAATAGTTTGCCCAGCCATGATCTGAATGCCTGCTTTGACAGAAACATCTAACTCAACAGTGGGAGGCTCTGTGGAAGAGAGAGAAACACGTCATTAGCTGAAGGGAGGGATTCAAACCCACCTTTTAAGCAGCTGGACATTTCTTGAAAGCAATGCAATTGCAATACCTTTAGGTTCTGCAACTGTTGTGGGTTCAGTTTCACCAGGTGGTCCTTCACCAGCTGCATTGAGAGCAGTAACACGGAGTTTATAGTCTGCACCTTCTCTGACTTCTGTAACAGTGTACTGTCGAACCTTAATGGGTTTCTCTGTACAACGTGACCACTCCTTTACTCCCATCAGTTGTTTGTACACATGGTAACCAGTGATATCTCCACCACCATTATACACAGGAGGTTCCCATTCTAGCTCAATAGAAGTTGCACTTGTATCAGCAACCCTTGGAATTGGTGGACCAGGTGGCACTACAAATAAATAAGTGTAAATCAAAGTTAAAGGCTATGAATACTATTTTGTCACCTGTATGCTGTTGGCTTCTGCTAAGATACTTACTTATTGGGTCCTGTGCAGTTTTTGGATCTGATGGTGGACTAAATTTACCAGGGCCAGCTGCATTTTCAGCACATACTCTAAAGATATAAGTTAAACCTTCCAGTAGTCCTTCAACTTTTACTTCCAGAGCATTCACAAGGTTTCTGTTGACCCGAGCCCAATGAGTACTATTAATTTCACGTTTTTCAATCCAATATCCTATGATAGGGCTGCCATTATCTTTTGGTTCATTCCACTTAACCAGCATACTGTTGCTGGTAACATCTTCCACATCAGGCTTATTAGGTGCATCTGGTGGAGCTGAAAAAAAAAAAATTGTTGTTTTGTCATCACTGCTGTTTCTTCAGAGTTTACTCAAAGCTAAGAGAGAATAAGATATAAGAAATTACTAATTTTAAGTAATTAATAGTTTTTCTGCTCTTTTTCTTAGAAACTTTGAATCCTAACAGCAATCAGTAATCAAACTGCAGTAGTTCTCTCTTTTGGTAAGAATACTCATCTATTAAACATAGAGAATGCCACTCTTCAGAAGGTAAGTGTTTTAAGTGTAAAGTTTTATGACAGTGATCGTCATTCTTTAATATTTTCAATAGTTCTCTTTACTTCAATGTGCGATAAATATCACATTGCTCAAATTTTTTCTGGGAAACATTCACCTAGATGAAGCTGAGTATTGTAAGAGTCTGTAGTTTTACACTGGTTTTCTGAAAAAGTTGTATTTCAAAATTAAAACTTACAGAAAGGATCTTTAGCTGTCATTGGTTTTGAAACACATGGTGGCCCTGCTCCAACTCTATTTTCAGCAAATACACGGAAGAGATATTCTTTTCCTTCAATCAGTTTTGTAACATGGAATTTGCAATGCCTGAGTGTTGAACTGACAGTGACCCAGCCCATTTCAGCTTTTGTATTGTCTTTCTTTTCCAGTACATAGTTTAGGATTTCACTTCCACCATCATCAAGAGGAGGCTCCCACTTGCAGATGACAGAATTTTTCCTTATATCTTCAAATACAAAGTTGACTGGAGGCCCAGGTATATCTGTCAGTAAACCGAGAAAAATGATCAGTACTCATCATTTGCACTTCTTACCCAATACTCTGAACAACTAGGTGTTTTAAGAACATTCTTTACACACCTAACACATTGACTTCACATGAGGCTTTTGCAACACCATGATCATTTTCTACTTTAATTGTAAATGTGCCATGGTCAGCTCTGATGGAGTCACGAATTGATAGTACAGACTCCCCTTCTTTATGGTTGTCAACGCTCAAACGTTCTGGCAGTGACAGCTGGAAAGGTTTCTCTTCTACAGCTTCACCCTTCTTCTTTGGTGTTGTTACTCTCTTTTTGATATCCTCTGGTCTGACAATTTCATCATTCCTCAGCCAAGTGATAGATGGGTAAGGTGACCCTGAAATATGTGCCTCAAGTATGATCTCATCACCTCTTTTCACTTCAAGGCCAGACTGTAGGTTTGCAGCAAGGAAGACTTTTGGAGCCTCTGTAATAACAGAGAATGATAAATAGAGTGTAGAATCTTCCAATATGTTTGAGGATGTATGGCAATTAATACAAAAAATCAAATTATTAATTCATACCAATAGGATCCACAGCTTTAACGAAAGGAGTAATCCGAGAAGGCTCACTGATGCCAGCAGCATTCTCAGCACGAACACGAAACTGATATTCCTTTCCTTCCTCGAGGCCTTTCACTGGATAAGTTAGTAAGGGTACCAGATAGTCATTGCATCTCTCCCACCTCTCTTTGCCCTTTGCGAGCTTTTCTATTATATAGCCCATAATTTTGCTTCCACCATCAAACAGGGGTGGTTTCCATGTAAGTGTTACTGATTTTGATGTTGGATTATGGACCTCAAGGTCAACAGGTGGATCTGGAGGCTCTGTAGAAGAGTAGATCAAAAGAAGGGTCATATGATAAAAGAAAGGACGAAGATATTAGTTAAAATTCAATTTGCTAGATTATTTAATAGTAAGACAAACTTACGTTTTGGGTCTTCTGCAATGATTGGGTTTCTTAGTTCAATATAATCACCTCCTCCAATCTTATTGACAGCTTTAACACGGAAGTAATATTCACAGTTTGGGATAAGGTCTTTGACTTGCCATGAAAGTTTATTTTCACCAGACATGACTGGGATATATGTTCTACGACCTGCTTCTCTGCGTTCTAGAACATAATGCAAAATAGGAGTACCACCATCGAAGTCTGGAGGTTCCCAGGATACTTTGCAAGAATTCTTAGTTACTTCGCTTGCCTTGATGTCTTTACACTGTCCAGGTGGACCTGTTTTAAATAAGAATAAAAAATTAGCTAACTAAATAGATGGGAAACTGTATTCATATAAATATGAAATCATGTCTTTGCTTTGCAGAAAGCAGACCAAGACCACAAATGTTGACTACACACCATGTATACGAATTTGTTCCCAAAAAGAGTCAGAATTCTTAAAACATTTTTATATTTATACTATAATTATTCAAAATAATTGGGCTTTGAGCAGCCACTGAATAGTTAGAGCAACTTGCGGTAATGTTTTTTCATGGGATTTCGTAACATTAATGTCTGTATGACAATCTACATGTGTCTGAATTGAAGTGATTTGTCCACCTGGCAGAAAAAATATCTTTCTAGTCCTTTCTTCCGTCTGCTGCAGGCCCAAATGAAGATAAGTATATTTCTTGGAAGGGAAGAATCTAGTTACCTATGACTTTGACATTGACTGAGCCAGTCGTTGATGCCAGCTTATTCTCCAGTGTGATAGTATAAACACCAGCATCAGCATGAACACTGTCTACGACTTCGAGCAATGCAGAGGTGTAGTCACTCTTCATTGATGTTCTGTCACCAGCTTTCAACTCTTTGCCATCTTTGTGCCATGTTATAGTTGGGGATGGAACAGCTCTGAAGGGTATAGGGATACTTAATTTCTGTCCTTTAACAACAACAATGTCACGAGTTTGTAGATCAATGGTTGGATTGCCTGTAAAAGTAAGTATAATATTACTAGAAAGTTGCCAAACACCATTTTTTTTATTATGGAGATCTGAAAAAAAAAAAGGCATCTATTCTTACAGTCTGGGTCTTTGGCAACAACTTTTTCTGAGATGTCTGATGGCTCACTAGCTCCAACAGCATTGACAGCTCTGACTCTTAGCACATATTCCTTGTCTGGAACCACACCTTCCTCCACTTTACATTTTAGATCTTTTATTGGACGAGAATTGATTCGCATCCATTTTTCTGTTCCTGCTTCACACATCTCAACATTATACCCAATAATAGGACTTCCACCATTCTTCTCAGGAGGTTTCCATGCAATGCAAATGTGATTTCGGCCTGCATCTGTGACATGTAAATCTTGAGGAGGTGAAGGAGGGCCTGCAGAAATGGAAAAGTTATTGTGTAATTTTTCTCTCAGAATATCTGTTCCACACAGTACACTGCTTCTATAATCCATACACTGTATATTTTACTACTACTTACTTGTTGGATCTTCAATATGAATGAGGTCAGTTGGTTCACTGGGATGACCACAACCAGCTTCATTTTCTGCACGAACCTGGAACTGTACATCTGTGCCTTCAATGACATCTGTCACTCTGAAATTGCAATCTGGACCAGCTGTCTTGCCAGCTTTTACCCAGCGAGTGGCCAGTTTTTCTTTCTTTTCAATAACATATCTGAATAAATTGGGGAAAATACTATCAGGCACTTGAAATAAGGAACACTTCAGAGTTCTTGTTCAATAAAATAGATAAAAAGAGATTAGAAGAGGTTGGACAGTGAATAGCAAAGAGAGTCATGAGTAATAGATTCCATGAACTTTTCTTCACACCTTAGTCACTTAGTCCTAGTAGGTCTCAGGCCCTATTAGGGCTGACATCACTGACAAACCCAGGCCTGAAAGCTAATACCTGAACTGTGTTCTGTGTTTTAGAACTGAACTAAACTGTGTTTTCAGATTTGAGAGAGCTAAAGAGGCAAAAGAACCTCCAAGCTATACTTTTATCTTTCCTAGTTTGGATCTCAGTGGTTAGTCCATTGAGAGTATTTGTAGATATTATTACTCAGCTGTCAAAATTCTGCTTAGGACAGGCTATGGCAAAGTAATGCAAATTAAGTAAATTATGTTGCTTCAGGCAGGTCTCTGAACTCGTCTGTTTCTTTAACTTGAGTTTACTGTGATTTGGAAAGAGAGGAAAAATCAAAATGTAAAGAGGAAAAATCCAACTGGCATTCAAGGTGAATTTCAGAGTACAGATACTTTAGAAACCAAATTAAAAGACAAGTTAGAAACAACCTAGAAGAGTTAAACAGTCTGAGAATTGTTATAAAGAAGAGAATGAACAGAAAAGAGGTGAGGCTTCATTTTAGCTGAGTGTATACAGTCTGAAGGAGAAACTAAGCAGTAGGAAAATGCAACAATATTACTTGATAGACTAAGTGGCTACATAAATAAGTCTAAGGATGTTGACACGTATTCCTTGTCCATGCATATTAGGTATTTTATTTGCATAATTTCCACATTTTAAAATCAAACCCTTAACTGCTTTGACCACATGGCTTCTCTTACATCCATCTACCTCTTTTTCATATAAAATTTGTCCATTTAAAATTTAAACATTTTGAGAGACATGTCTTAATTCATTAAAAGATTTTCATCTATAGGAACCTATACAAAATGACCTTACCTTTGAATTGGTCTGCCACCATCATTCTTAGGTGGTTCCCACTTCAAGTCAACATGACCTTTTTTCACTTCAACTATTGTAAGGGCATATGGAGGCCCCGGGGTTGCTAAAACAGAAAAAAGACACACATTAGAAGACTAGGAATTCATTATGCATGAGCTACTGATCACTCAGTAAGCAAATCAAAACTTACTGAAAGTATCTTTAGCAAGCACTGAGTCTTCAATTTCACAGTAGTCACTCTGTCCAACGGCATTTTCAGCAGCCACACGGAACACATACAATGAGCCTTCAGTCAGCGGGCTCACTGTGTACTTGGTATCTTTGACTGTTGTATCAACTGTCTGCCAGCCTTTTCGCCTTACATCTCTTTTTTCAACAATGTAGTTGGTAATTGGGGAACCCCCATCTTTTTCTGGTACTGTCCATTTAAGATCTGCTGTGTTTTTAGTAATATTAATAACTTCAAGCCAGCGAGGTGGTGAAGGAGGATCTGCAAAATAGAAAAAGAAGGTAAACCAGGTCATTGTAATTCCCACGAAAGATCTTGGAAGCCAGGGAATACACCTAAAGTTTTAAAGCTTTGTATTTTCTGAGCTGAAGCAAGGCAAATTTTACATTTCATAAGCTTTCCAATAGTTTGGTGCCTACGGAAACAGGCAGACATGGGGCTTTTTTAATGGCAGAAACAGTCTATTTGCAGCAGGAGCACATTCTGAAACAGTACTCACAGAGCCTCTCCTTGCACAGCACGGGATCACTGGGTTCACTGGGCTCACTCTCGCCAGCCTTGTTCACAGCTCTTACACGGAATGAATATTCTTGTTTCTCCATAAGATCTTTGAGGAAGTGTTCAGTTGTGGGAACTCCTTCAGCCACTCTCACCCACTCATCTGTTCCAGTCTTTAACAGCTCAACGACGTAAGATTCAATCTTTGCCCCTCCATCATGTTCTGGCTTTGTCCAGTTTAGGGTCAATGACGTCTTGCCAACATCTTTCACAGTGGGCTTTCCAGGAGGCCATGGTGGATCTAGACAAGAGTTCAATATTAATTATGTGATTGAAAACAATTTTTGTTGTTGTTGCTAAATTAAACTATTAAAAATGTGTTTATTATACCAATTGGATCTTTCACTAAGATTGGCTCTGTTTCCTTGCTTGGTTTTCCAGGTCCTGCAAGATTCTCTGCCAAGACACGGAACTTATATTTCTTCTTATTTGTAAGACCTTTAACTCTGAAAATAAAAATTAAGTTTGATTAAACAAAAGCTAGATATTAATTAATGTTTAAAACATTATTCTCTCTATTCTTCATATCACAGTTTACTTGGGAAATCTGAAAATACCTAAATTACTGCTAATGATGTTTTATGAAATGTTGAACATTTGAAATAGGCATATTGTCAACAGTAAAACAGAGAATCATGGGACAGAAATGAGCATTATAAGAACATCTTGCATTTTTGCATGTTCTATATTTTTTTAGTTAATAAGAGTACCAGCAGAAAAAACCCAAATTTTTTGGTTTGATACTTGAGATGGCTATATCTGCTATTTTAGAATATCTTATGAATAATCACATAGCACAGAAATTATTAAGCATAACATTTAAAAAAATAAAATACTTGATTAACTCTGCTGTAAAGACATTTTTCTTTAAAACTAATTATGAAAAAAGTATGCCACCAGATGGTAGCTGAATCAAAACTTATGGAAGTTAGGAAAAAAAGAGTAAGAACAATGTAAAACTTATTTAAAAGACTACTGTTTCTGTCTCTGTGCCATATTTCAGCTTAAATTGACTGTAGTCTTACTTGAATGTTGTATCTTTCACTGGCATTTTATTGCATTTTATCCATTTATCCTGCTCAGGATCGTATCTTTCAACCCAGTAGCCAGTTATGGGGCTGCCACCATCTTCATCTGGTTCATTCCATGTTAAAGTGACTGAATCTTTAGTGACCTCTGTAGGCTTGAGACCTGTTGGAGGGCCTGGTGGATCTGTATAAATTAATTAATGAAAAACAAAAACAAAACAAAAAACCAAAACCATCAGATGTGAGTTTTTTTCTCCCTATTAAAATATTGTGAAAATTTAACAATTATTTAATTAACTAACCAAATGAATATTTGGCAATGATGGGGTTACACTGTGCTGGCTCCCCGATACCATACATGTTCTCAGCACTGACTCGGAACACATATTCTTTATGAGGAGTTAAGTTGGTAGCTCTGAATTTTGTATCCTTAATAGTTGATGACAGCTTGTCCCATATTTCACTGTCTGTAGCTCTTTTCTCAAGGACATAGTTGGTAATTTTAGAACCCCCATCATCTCGTGGAGGATTCCATGTTAGAAGGCAGGATTCGTTTGTGATTTCTGTTACATCAAATGCAGCTGGTGGACCAGGTTTATCTGTAGAGGATAAGATGTGAAAGTTAATCTTCTGCTTGCATACTTCAGTACATTACTAATTATTTGTATAAACAACATAGAATACATGCATACCGAGGACATTAACTTCAACAACAGCAGTAGCACGTCCACTGGAATTTACAGCTTCTATAATATAGGTTCCACTGTCACTCCTTTTGCTGTCTGTAATGGTCACTGTAGATTGATTAGGCTGGCTTTCAATGGTGATTCTGTTGTCAGGTCTCAAAATTTTGTCAGCCTTGGTCCAAGTAATCCGGGGCTCAGGCTTTCCAGTTACTTTAGCTGGTAGCTCAATTTTAGTTCCAGCTTTCACAGTAAGTCCAGCAAGAAGCTTCACATCTAAGAAAATTTCTGGAGCCTCTGATTTAGGAGAGAATAAAAATGTTTATATAGAAACAATATTTCAGAGACCGGTAAAAAGAAAGCAGCTATTGTAATTCAGCAGTTGAAGTAATTACCTTTTGCATCAATGGCCTGAATATCATCAGTTGGCTTGCTTGGCCTGCTAGCTCCCATTCTGTTCAGAGCCTTAACCCGATATGCATACCACTCTCCTTCCAGGAGCTTTGTTACTTCCATTCTGTTTAAAAAAAAAATAAATCAGATATTTAAAGCAATGATGATGGCATAGTTAGTTGAAAATATGTATCTACTGATGTCAATTTACTTACTTCGTTTCAATAACAGGGTCCCCACATATCTCCCACTTATCTGTGCCACGTTGGGATTTTTCTACCAGATAACCCTTAATGCGGGCACCACCATCATATTTTGGAGGCTCCCAGGTTAGGAAGATTCCTTTTGATGTTGGATTTCTCCATTTAACGTTTTCCGGTGGGTCAGGCACCGCTATTAAAAATTAAAACATATTTTGTTTTTACATCTTATTTTGAAGAAAATCAGATTTCAGAAACAGAAAATTAGCAGCAATATGCTCACTTGCTGGTGTTGACATATTTACAGGTTCATCAATATATGCAGGTTCTCCAGGGCCACATTTATTGCATGCAGAAACTCTAAATAAATATTCTTTTCCTTGGACGAGGTCAGGTACAGTGAACTCATGGTCAACAATATGATCCATAACCTGAAGACCAGAAAGGTTCCAATGTGTTTTTAAAATTTATTTCCAAAGAGTGATTATCAGTATAAGACACAAAACTCAGTAGCACATGTGGAAATAATATAGCAATAGAAATTCAAATGAGAGAGAATGAACTTACTTTGCTCCATGTTTTCCGGCTTACTTCACGTTTTTCAATTACATAGCCAGTAACTGGACTTCCACCATCATCTTCTGGAGGTTCCCATGACAACTGTACTGTAGTCTTGAGTACTTCTAAAACTTGAAGTTCTTTTGGTGCACTTGGAGGAGCTAGAAGCCATAGAAATTGCATTAATTTTTTTTGTAATTGGCGTTTGATAGATGATCTCTATGTAATATATCTGCCAGAAGACTTAGTCTTGTTAGTCATTCTTCCTAAACCAGAATAGACTTTTTTTGAGGATGGGTTTCTAGTTTTTAGTTATATTTTAATGTACTTGGTTTACTGGACATTGTGAGATTTCACATTGTTAACCTAATTAGATTTTGCAAGAAAAATATGGAATATTATTGGTAGAATATATACATGTCCACTTACCAATGACATTAACATTAATTTCTCCTGAAACAGATGACACAGGGTTTTCTAATGCTAAGTAATAAATTCCCTTGTCTGGACGTTCACTCGGAGTAATTACAAGTTCTGCAAAGGAGGCAGTGGTCTTCATTTTTACACGATCACCCTCTTCTAAGACTTGATCACCAAAAGACCAGGTGGCAGTTGGAACAGGATAGCCAGTGATGGGAACACGGATCTTGATTGGCTCTGGAACAATAACTTCCAGCCCATCTTTAAATGCACTTAGGTCCATTGTAGGTTCAACTGGAAAAAGTGGAAAATGGATTCTATGAAATCTTTTCTGTTGTTATGAATATGGGTAATGATAGCTGTGTTGAGAGGTTGCTTCTGATTGTATCTCAGCTTTCAGGGTGGAGCTGCCTAGGCCTAGCTTTGGCTTATCACTGCCTACCTGTCCTGACTAAATGCCTTTTTTTTTTTTTTAGAAATATGTGAGATGATAAGGGAGAATAGCATTACCAAGTAGGATATCTAATTTCCCTTTAATATAAGAACTGTGTATTGTTTAATTTTTTTTTTCCCCAGAGGTCTTCTATGCCTTTCTCTCTTTCTGTTATCTCCCATCTTCCACAAAGCTCAGTTAGGAGACGAAAGGCCATGCCTTCCTCCTCAGGCAACCTAATAGGCCTCTACCTAATAGTACAGATAATTATCTGAAGAATTCATAATGAAGGAGAAATGGCTCATAAACTCGAATGTCTAAGGTGTGACAGTTATCTGGTGAGAAATCGTCACATATTACCCACAAGATGCTCTTTAATAATGTGCCTTATCTGATTAACTGTCTTTAATAACTAGCATATGGCTTACCAAAAGTATCATCTGCAGTCAATGGCCCAATAGCCTCTGCTGGGTCAGACACACCAGCTGCATTTTCTGCTGAGACTCTGTAGTAATAACTGGATCCTTGTTTCAATCCAGTTACCTAAAAAGCACAAATAATACTTTACTAACTCATATTAAAGATGATCTATACATTTTAAGTGTTGATGAAGAGGACATCATACCTTAAAAGTAAGAGCAGGTACTAGTTTTGGGTTACAACGAATCCACTTGTCCGTTCCTTCTTCTTGCCTTTCAACAATATAGCCCAAGATTGGACTTCCTCCGTCTTCAAGAGGAGGTTCCCATGTGAGCTGAACTGATGACTTAGTTTGATCTGAATGCTCAAGGTTAATGGGAGGACTTGGTCTCTCTGAAAAAAAATTGCAACAAATACATTTTTGCCACTGACAAAGAAGTATGGTTCTGCAAATCAGCTATTTGTATCTTACAGTACTGTTTCTAAAGCCTTTGCATAGCTTTTTCTCAACCAAAATTCTAAACTGAGTTGGATCCTAACTTCAGAGCAAAAATATTTGGAGTTCTTACTGAACCAAATGGTAACAAGGTACTTCTGATACATTTGGAGGACAAAAATAGCCAAAATCTAACTGCCCACAGTATTTGCAGCACACACATTTCTCAACTGAACTTTTGTGCACTCATGGCATAAACATCCAAAATGTCCCTGTCTCATAATACAATCACAATCATGCATACTTTGCATACTTACCAATTGGGTCCATAATTTTTACTGCACGTGTAGCAGGACTTGGTTTGCCAACTCCAACCATGTTTTGAGCTCTTACTCTGAAGAAATATTCTTCATTTTCCACAACATCAGTCAGGAGAGCTGACAGTTCATCAGCTCCTGTGGTCATAGTTGGCTCCCATCTGATGGAACCTTTGTTACGCAGTTCAATAACGTAGCCAGTTATTGGAGATCCTCCATCATACTCAGGTGGTTCCCAGCTAAGTGTGGCTCCAAACCTGTTCACATCACTAACTTCTACATTTTGAGGAGGACCAGGAACATCTGCATTTTATTTTAGGGAGAAAAAGGAAAACCAAAGTATGTGGGTTTTATCTATTGTTAGAGTTTATACTGCTTTTCCTACACTGCTGTCAAACACTGATTTTTTGATAACTTCTACTCACCAAATTTGCTCTTAGCTTCCACAGGTGTGTCTGTTTCCACTGGCTCACCAGTACCCACTCTGTTGCGTGCACTAACACGGAAGAGGTACTCAACTCCTCCTTTTTGAAGTCCAGTAACAGTGTATTCACAATTTTCAGCACGATCTGTGACCGTAATCCAGGTTTTACGCTTAATATCACGTCTTTCAACAACGTAGCCTATGATTTTACTTCCACCATCACTTTCTGGTTCTTGCCAGGCGAGACCAACTTCACCATCATAAGTTTCAGTGACTTCCAAGTTTCTAACTGGACCTGGAACATCTAATAAAGATATGACAATATTTCAGTATTTCAGGGCATTGCATCTTTTTTTTTTCCCCCTCTGGCTAGAGAAGAGGAGGCCAAGAGAAGACCTCTTTACAATCTACAGCTTCTCCCTAGGGGCAAGTGGAAGGTATGATTCTATGAAATAAATTTAAGAAGGGTTTTAATAATAGAAGTACTTACCAATGACCTCTACATTGATGAATGCTTCTGCCTGCCCATGTTTGTTTCGAAGCACAACCTTGTACCTTCCCTTATCTGATTTCTTTGCTTCAAAAATTTTGAAGGTAGTGCAGTCGGTTGTTGTATCAACAGTTGTTGTGGGCAGACTTTCCCCTGCTTTTGACCATTCAGCTTCTGCTCTTGGGTAGGCATCGTATGGGACAGTCATAGTTAAAGGCTTCCCAACATCAACCACAAGATTTTGATCACCAGTCTTGATTTTAGGTGCAGCTAAGAAAGATCAATGTGACAAATAAGCTATAAAGATGAATGTGACTTGCATATATATATATATATAAATCATATGTTTGTGTAGTCAGCAAAGATGCTAACGTAGAGAAGTAAAAGGAGCTGTTGTGTAAATTCTAGAGGAAATCCTTCTTATACTCATTGGACAGCTCCAGAGAAAGAAATTCAGCTGGTTGATATACTGTATTGTGTTCTCCTATAAAATCAGGATAGAGAGAGTTGCTTTTTGAGCATTAATTTAATTATTTTATTGGTCAATCCTCTAAAGCAGACAAATTAGGAATTAAATGTCTTATATGACTGAAATAAGTAGGCCAAATAATTTCCATGTTTTATTACTGACTTAATGAAAAGGTTCCGTCTTCTTTAAGCTCAAATCATGCTCTTTGGTATTGACATTGAAAAGTGACCTATATTTTCCTCAACAGTTGGACCAGCACGGTATAATAAAAAGTATTTTTTGCTTGAATTATAATACATATAGTTTAACAGACTTGCACTTTTCTCAGGCTGATTGTCTATTCATTTTAGTTCAATTCTTTAAAAGGACAAAAATCAATTTACTTAAACAGTTAATTCACTAAGATTTTATAAAAGAAACACAAAGCAAGCAACTTACCAGCTAATTCAAGCTTAGCTCTAGCTTCCTTATCTTTGGCGATAAATCTGTATTCCCCTTGGTCGCGGGGCTTTATCTCGCAAACCTGCAGCCTGTGGACCTTCCCTTCACTCATCATCTGATGTTTGTCACCTTGGATGATAATCATGTTGTTTCTCAGCCACTTGACCTCCACACCATCTTTGTTCAATTCAGCCATGAAGATGACATCTGCACCAGGAACTTCATAAATATCTTGTGGTGGTCGGATAATCTCAACAGGGATTTCTGAAAGAAACGGTAATTAATTGGTGTTATTTGTTTATTGTTTCTACTATTATTAAACAAAGAAGAAATAAATCCTATTCGATTTTACAAATACCTTCAACAAAAAGTCTTGCCCTAGATCTCCTGTCATCCACTCCACAGGAATATTCACACTCATCATCTAGTCTACAGTCTTTTATGATTAATCGGTGCAGATTTCCATCCTTTTCAAACTGGTATCTTTATGGGGGAGAAAAATAAGTGGTATTTTAGCTTCCAGACCAAGCAACAAAGTAAAGCAAGCATGTTTAACACATTAACAAGCATAATAAAATGTACATACTTTTTGCCTTCTTTGATTTCTCTTCCATTTCTGTACCATTTTACACTGACTTTCTCTTTGGAAAGCTGGCATGTAAAGACAGCATCATCAAATTCAGTGACAGTCTGGTCCTGAAGATGTTCAGTGAAGTCTGCTGGTGCTTCTGTGATGAGAAGCTCTGCAACAGATTTGTCTTGTCCAGCAGTAACAGTGTATTCACCTTCATCTATAAACCCACAGTCTTTAATGATCAACGAGTGTTTGAATTTATCAATTTTGTACAAAATGCGCCTGTCGAATGCGATCTCTTCGCCATTCTTTGTCCATTTGAGAGTTGCATTAAGGCGATTGACTTTGCACCAGAATGTGACAGTTTTCTTTTCCATGGTCTCAATGTCTTCAAGGGGCTCAACAATTCTGAGATCCTCCTCTGTTATGACAAAAAAGTGAACATTTTTACATCCTCATATGAAACTGAATGTTGATGAAACAATTTTAATGCAGTGCAAGAGATTTACCTAATACTGTTAAGGCAGCAGAGCTTTTGACCTGTTCACCTCTCTGGTTTGACAGTGCAATGCTGTAGGTAGCTTGATCTTTCAGCTCTGCGTCTCTGATTCTGAGAGTGTAAACTAAACCCTTCTGAACAATAATGTACTTTGCACTATCAAATATTGCCTCATCATTTTTGTACCACTTCTCTTTGGCACCTTCTTTATTAACTTCACAGTGGTAGATAACTTCTTGACACTCTTTAACTTCTTGGTCCTTAAGGGGAGTTATAATTCTGAGTTTTTCTGAAATTGAGAAAACAGAAGAAATAGAACATCATATAGTATAAGGAGTGCAACAAAACATGCACCTACATATTGATAAAATAAAGCTTACCAATCACTCCTAAGTGTGCTGCAGCTTTAGCTTCACCAACCATGACGCTGTACATTCCTGTATCTCCTAGAATAGTGTCTTTAACCACAAGTGTCCTCTTCTTGCCATCTGAAATGATGTCGTACTTATCACCAGGCTCCAGGACTGTGTCACCCCTCAGCCACTGTACTTCAATGGCCTCTTTGGATACTGTACAGACAAATTCAGCTTTTTCTCCTTCAAGCACCTCAAGATTTTGTGGTCTGGTAAGAAATTCTGCTGCAAGTTCTGAAAGAAAACATTTTTGTAGATATGTATAATTTTATTTTATTTTTACTTGTGAAGGGAATAAACAAAATTGTGTATTCTTACTGTCTTTGAAATATTTTTAATTTTATTCTTTTTTTTTTTTCCAGAAAACAAGGCCACCAAAGTAACACTTACCGTGTACAGTAAGTTTTCCTGTTGTACTTGAGCTTGGGAGCTTGCAAGTATATTTGCCAGCATCTTCTGGATGAGCATTATGTATAAGAAGAATTCTCTTTCTACCATCAGAAATGTGTTCAAATCTACCACCATCAGGTACCTCTTCATCTCCTTTAAGCCAAGTAACTTCAGCATTAGGCCTTGAAACTTCACAGATCAATTTTACAGTGTCATTTTCATTTACTTCAAGATCAGGAAGATTTTTTGTGAAAACAGCCTCCTCCTCTGCAAGAAGAATTTTGAAAGATGATTAAACCTTGTCGTAAAAAAAGCCTCACATTTTTTATTTTTCACATATTAGATTGTAAAACACTGTGTTTACCTATTACTGTAAGTAGGCCTGAAGTTCGAGCTGTTTTTGCTTCACAGGAATATTCAGCTTCATCATCAAAGACACATTTATTGACAACAAGAATGTGTTCCGCACCTTTGGAAATTATATCATACTTTTTGCCTTTTCTGATTTCCATGCCATCCTTAAACCACTTCACCTGTTTCAGAGCAAATTAACATGGTTATTAATAGTAACACACTCGTCATAGATTTCAGTTGTATTTTCTTTTATAACTATGTTGGAGACAACTATAGAGTTGTCTCCATTAGTTGAAGGAGTTACTGAGATTAAAAAGTATTATTATTGACCTTGACACCTGGACGAGAAATTTCGCATTCAAACCGAGCAGGTTGTTTTTCTTTAACCTCAAGGTCAGTTAGAGGTTTCAGGAACTCAACACGAATAGCTGTAAGAGAAAAGGAAATGTTTAGCAGAGGAAAGTCTACAGTAGAGAAGAAAAAAATTGCTGACACTGATATTATTATTAGTCATAGACACTAGTACATAGCTTTTATAGCATCTAGAAATTTTGTAGAAAACTGTAAATTACTCACGTTCTACATTGAGAAAACATGATGTCTTAAAATCCTTAGCATCACAGCTATATGTTTTTGCATCGTCCAGTGTGCAGCCATGGATGATGAGTTTTCTGACCCTGCCATCAGAAATTATATCATATTTCTTTGATTTGTGAATTTCTTCTCCGTTTTTGAACCATTTAACTTTTGCATTTTCCCTGGAAACTTCACATTCCAGTATTGCAGTGGCCTCCTCTTCAACAGTCTGGTCCTCAAGTGGTTTAGTAAATTCAACAGGGGGTTCTAAAAGAGACAGATGGATTTTTTGATAGAAAAGATCTAAATGATAGCCAGTCTTCTGCTTATACAGAACAGTCTCATGCTATTTACTAATTTTGCTTGACTGAATAATCAAAAAGGCTCTTGGATGTCTCTGCTGAAGGTTTTTTAAAACTTTATTTCTAATGCACAGGCATGGTTTTGTTAATTCTGTTAATTTCCTCATTTTCAGCCTACTGTAAGATTAGAATGAATGATATCCTTATCCATGGGGTTTTTAATTACAAATCATGACAAAGCCTTGCAAATCAGTTTCTTTAGCTGAACCATACCCATGTCATCTCAGTGACTCTAAAATTACATTGACCTTGGAGGATTTTTTTTTTTAAGTTTTTCCTTGAATTACTGGATTAGTGTGTGCCCTTTTTTAATTTCTTAATATTACACAGCTTGCAAGTGTACAAGTGGGTATACAGACAATGTTATATCCCTTGCCTGATGGTAGAATTATGCTCTCATAGGTTTCTGGACATTCCAAAGAACAGAAAAAGCCACCAGGAGCCATAAAGGCCAATTGAATGTTCAAGTCTGCAATAAAGCCCTAGAAGTCCTAATGAACTGGTTCATCTCCCACATCTCATACATTTTCAGTATTTTCCCCTTTCTTCAGCTCTTCTGTGAAGCACAGAGATTTTTAACTAGGTGGCTTTTTTAATTAGGAAAGTTATCCACCCATCCAATGTCATATATATGATCCTGCTCATTTGATATATGGTGTATATTCACATCTTATTCCAGGGTGAATAATGAATGGACTGTTAATACTGATTATAGTTTAACTAAAATGACTGACTTACCTTTCACAAAAAGATTTGCTTGAGTTCTGAAATCTTTTGCTGTCAGTGATACCTCTCCTGCATCTGTTAATTTGACGTCTCTCAGAACAAGTGTGTGAACTCTCCCTTCAGCACGGGTGACAACCTTAAAAAGTAAATTAAAACCCCTTTGTAATTATCTACAACAAATATTTAAGAAATATTTCATGAAATAGCATTGCTATTTATTATCTGTGGAGTTTGGTTGTCCACTTTTATATGAAATTTTGATACTTTCCTCTTGTATATACTAGATATAGCTCAATCCTCAATGCTTTGAGGATTTTGAGGCTGACTTGAGATCATGTCTATTTTGAACAGATAAAAAATAAGCAAATCTATGGGGAAAAGTTGGTATTACTGATGGCTACATCTAAAGTAAAAACGTACAGATATAAAGAGGTTTGGCACCGCACACACACACTCTTCTGGAAATGCAATTTTGACTTTACATTCTGCCTAAAAGACTAACTTTTGTGCAGAAACTACTTTGTAATCATGGTTTTGTATTGGGCTACTCCTACAAAAACATCCCTTTTCTCTAGGAGTGGACCTGGGGGTCCTGGAAGATTCAAGGACACATCCTGCACTGCAGCCATCAAGAGGATTGCTACTTATTCATGCTGTAGATTTTAACACAGCTCTTGAAGAATTCTTTTTATCTGTTTTCAGAGAAGTATGTGACTAGGTGGTAGATGCTGGTTTAGAAAAATAAAGGTGAAAAGCAAGCTTCTGCTAAGGAACAAGGATAAAATAATGAGTTGCTTTTGAGAAGGCAGCCCCTTTTGTTTCAGAGTGAAGGAAAGAAGGAAGAGGCTGTCCTTCCTCCCAAATGGTCACTGTGCCCCTGAAAACTCTCTCTACTCGTACGTCATGCATCAAAAAAAGACAAGTGAGATGAAAGCCAACATCATAATAGGTATGACCAAGATAAAACACGCAAAGGATAACAAAGAAATGTCCCGTTCATCAATAAAGGGATATATCGGTGAAGATGAAAGTGTTGTGATTATCAACAGCTAAAAATAACACTTCTATGCAATTATTGGATGGATTTCTTGAGGAGTAGGGGTATATACGTTTTCAAGAGTCTATTTTAGGGGTAGAAAGCTGGATCGACACTTCGTAAAATATATGTTTTACTCTCAGGTCTGCGTGGGAAATTTACAAACTGAAGTCAATGACAGGGTGAGTTGACTGGAAGATTCCAACTGAATGAAAACCTCAAATTTTTTTTCATGTAATGATAGCTCAGAAAGATAGGACCAAAATAATGTTCTATCATACAGAATATGGAACATAAAATATTTTTCTTCCTAGGCAGTAATAACTATCAATCCTATGCACTGATCAATAGTTTTTCACATTTTCATTCTGAAACTCAGAAATAATTACCTTGATTTATTTCATGCCTCATCTGCTGACTTTCAACTTTGTTTATCTGTCCTTAAATATTCTAATAGGGTCTCCTATCACCATGATCTGTTTTTTTCCCCTATTTTTATATTCTGTTTCTCTTATGAAATAGTTTTTATTTATGCAAATTTGGTGAAGCTTAGAAAGATCTATCAAAACCTGAAAATAATATGTTAAAATTTGTATTTAAAAGGAAAAAAAAATCTACACCAAAGCATTATTAGCAGCATTATTACAAGTTCTGAAACTTTGCTAGGTCATGTAATGCCTTGAAACTTTTCTTTGTGTGAGGTTTCCAACTTCTATTTTCATTTGCTTTATTTTCTTTAGGTCTAGTATGTAAAAAAGAAGTCTTAAACCCAGTAATAATCCTTTACATTTCTTGATGTATTTATTTATGTTTCTTTATTTATTGCCCCTACCATTAACTTTAAATATTAAATTGATTGCATTCCAGGCTGCTCAGATCTCAGAGTAAAGAGCCAGCACTTGATGAAGGGTTAAAAATAGCTAGTGAGAAGTGCTTGACAAGCAAATCTGCCCAGAGAGTTATCTGGAGAGTCAGAACGAATGCCTGAAATGGAATTTGAATCCTCTTAATCCCCTTATATGCAGAATTGGACTGCAACTCAGCATTCAGAAGGAAAAAAAGCTTTTCCTGATAGCACCTTTCAAAATCCTCTCACTGTAATCACAAGTAACCTGAGCAAAAAGTATTCAGTATCCCTGTGGCTGAGTCTCCAACAGAACCAGACACAAAATCACTGTTGTAATTATTCATATTTTGGAACCTTAGTTTCCCTTTGTATAACAAATACTCATAGTATTCCAGAATACTGGAATTTCTGGGAAAAAAATTGCTATATCTGATTTACTGAGGATTTACCCTTTGGCACAGTAGCACTATAATATTGCTGTGCCTTAGTACTTCTACTGGCAGAAAATAAATAATAAATAAAGAAGGGGAAGAGACTTGAAAGAGAAGAAGGAGGAGGAAACAGGAGGAAAAGCAAAGTTTAGTTTCTTTACCTTATCACTGGGCTCCAATTTCTTTCCTTGCAGGAACCACTCTACTGGGATTCCCTCATAAGAGAGTTCACAATCGAAGGTTGCAGATTCCCCAGCTGTCACTGTTACATCCTTGAGGGGTCTCAGCAAGCCAATTACTCGAGCTTGGTAAGGAGAAGACATAATTTTCAGATTACTCACTTCTACCCAAGAAAGAGCTGCTGCTCCCCTTATGTACTAATCTCCATGGTGGCTTCCCTCAAGAGAGACAGACATCGCTATGCTGCTCTTTAAATTCCCTAAATAGAAGAGGCCACCCTGGGTTCTTAGGGGAGGGCTGGTCACCTACAATTTCCTATTTGCAGAGCGTGTTTCTTTAAATTGAACAAGGTCAGCAAGAAAGTTGCTGTGCATCTGTCTCCCTGCCAAGCCTTGCATGCCTGTTGCTAGATAAGGCATGTGTTTTCCAAAATAGCGAGGGCTAGGATTGGAGTGGGAAACAAGTGGTCTTCAACCGTGTAGTCTGTCCCTGTCCATCAAGCTCTTAACCCTATCCCCAGATATCACTGTTATCCTATCCTCTCCAGTTAACATGATACTTTCATGCAGTAAAGCCTTTGCTTGCAATAGTTTGATTTCATAACAGCATATGATGCCAGACCATGAAGAAGCCTTCAAGGCCATCTCCTAATTTTTACTTCTCCTATACAAATAAATTACATACAAGGTTAAAAAACATATAGGACGTTCCTAAACTAAAAAATTAAGATGATTTGAGTAACTAATCCTTGAGTTGCTATACTTAAAGGGATCACTGGGGATGCAATACACTATAGAGATTTTCCACCCATTCCCAAGAGGCAATGAGTACCATGTTTTCGCTTCATTAATTTCAGTTTAAAAGACACTTACGTTTCACTCGAAGGTGAGCGCCAGACTTGGCATTTGCTGCTTGGAAATCTACTCCACCAGCTTGATCTAAGCGCACATTGTACAGTGTAAGGAAGTGCTTTTTGCCTTCTTCCTTGATTTCACATTCCTGCAAAAATAGAATTGAAACAATTTTTTTGTACTCCTCACCACAAGAACCCCTACTTTTCCTCGTATCATGCATTTGTTCTCGTCTTCTCCATTCACAAACTTAGGCCCACTGCCACATGAAATACACCTTAAAAACATTCATTCATAGGCCTTTCCTTTCAAAGTCTCTTCCTAATACAGTCTGCTTCCTCTTTGAAAGAAAGAGGCACCACATTTGTCTGCTGATTAACTAGTCAATATATCAATATTTAGATCAGCCAGAGGCCTAGTTCCCCTAAGGGAACGAGAAATTGTTAAGCTTGTGCTGTGACCTTTACTTGAAAAGACCTTTCCTTCTCTTATCCAGAGACTGATTTCATGGAACTTCCGATCTTTGTGCATTATTCACATTTGTACCGTTACATCAAGGAATTGCCAAATTATTGCCAGTTGTGATTGTATTGTTTCTTTATTTTCCAGATCCCTTCATCAAGGAATTAAGAATATTTGATTAAGCTCTATACAATTTTATACTAATTTTAACTGTCACAGAAATGAAAAAGGGTTTGAAAATATGATCTACATCTATTTAAACCAAACATAACTCAAAAATTGAGGCAAATGCAGGTAACACAGAGTTTGTATTTTTAAATGCCATTATGTTTAAGTGAATTATACAAGGTCTTTGCACTTTGGATGCATGATTGTTAAGGACTAGTAATAAAGAATATACCAACTTATGTAAAATAATTTATGGTTTAGCCATTTTATATAACATTTTGGATTAAGTCTGTATTACATTTTAAAAGTTACTAATGAAAAAAACCAGTATTTTTATTACAGTAACCCTTATTGAAAGCATAAAGAGATTGGTTTTGGTTTCTGAAGCCTCCCTTACACCCTAGCTCCCTGCAAATTGTTGAGATATACATAAAAAACATCCTGAAATATTTGCTTACAGCTGACTCAGTAAGGGGTTCTCCTTTTAGCTTCCAATTCCCATGGACACCTTCCTCGGAGATTTCAATGTCAAAACGGGCAGTCTCTGTCTCGATCACCTCCACGCTGTATAGTGGTCGTACAATCTCAATATCCCGGTCTGCAGAAAAAAAAAGTGATTGACTCCCGCAATGCCTAGCAGATCCCACAAGGTCTCTACTACAGAGCAGCCCACTAAAATCACCATACCTTCAATATTGAGTTTAGCAGAGGTTTGATCAGTACCACAGTCACAAGTGTACTGTCCAATGTCTTTCTTCAAAGCTTTCTTGAGAATAAGGATTCTCTTTTTACCATCAGCCTTAATAACAACATTCTTTGATGCAGTAATTGGATTGCCATCCTTCATCCATTTCACTGGGGCATCTGCTTTGCTGATTTCACATTGTAAGATTACTTCATCTTTCTCTACGGCAGTGTAATCCTGCAGCTTCCCAGTGAAGTAAGGGTCTCCCTCTGCAAGTAAAAGTTAAGATGTTTCAGTCTGAAGTTTTAGTCTTTCAGAAAAAAACAATTCGTTTCTACCATAAAATACATTTCTTGTTTATCTCCTGCAAGAAGGATTAAATATAGTCCTTATAAATATTTCACAGGGCTGTTGTAAGAAGGAAAACAATAAACATCTAAAACCCAATTCTTTTTCTTTTGATGTTCTAGGAGTTTCAGAACACTGTTTAAGTTATCTAATTACTAACTTTGCAAGAGTTGCTTGAAATTTTAAAGTTACTTTAATCATCCTTTTTGAATAGGAAAACAGAGACCCACAGAAGAAAAAGAAATCGTAAAATTTTCAAAATCACATGTAGATTTAGACCAACCCCAAGAATTTCTGACTGTCATTTTTTATGAATAAGACTCTTCTGACAATATACATCAGGTAAATTCTTTTGGGTATTCTTACCAAGAACAGTGAGTTTAGCTTCTGAGGATTTGCCCATAGCTTCTACTTTAATCTGAGAAGTGTCATCAATAGTAAGATCTTTAATTGCAAGTGTATGGAATTTGCCATCATCTGTCATTGAAACCACTTTGCTGGTATGTAGTCGTTGGTCATTCTTGAACCAGGCAACAGAGATATTTTCATGAGAGAGTTCCACAGTGAACTCTGCAGTTTCTCGTTCCTTTTTGGTTACATCCTTGAGAGGAGTAATGAATTTCAGGCGGATACCTATAACAAAGTAACATGTAATTAACAATAGCATTATCAATAAAAACTATTCAAGTACTATGATGCAAAACTTTCCTGGGAAGGCAAAGTCTAACAAACCTTCAATAATTAGCTTGGCACTTGTTCTTTTATCCTCAGCTTCAAATGTATATTTAACTTCATCCTCAAAGGCAACAGATTTAATAATCAGAGCATGCTTTGTTCCGTCTGAAACAATTTCAAATCTTTCATCAGGAGTGATCTCTTCTGTTCCTTTCAACCAGCGGAAAGTCTTGGGTTCTCTGGATACCTCACATTCAAACTTAGCTTCATCCTTCTCAAAGACCTTCACATCACTTAGTGGAGTGATAAAGATGAGAGGTAATTCTGAAATCAAAGAAGAGATCTTTCAGATCAGTGATAGGTTCATACAGAAATTTCTGATGCTAGATTTGTTCTAATGCCCTGAAACACATGTGGAAATATTGGCCAAATGAAGACTGTACCTTTCACTTTCAGATTAGCAGCACTTTTAGCATTAGCAGCTTGGAAAGACACTTCTCCAGTCATATCAAGGTTGCAGTTATGAAGGACAAGAATATGCTTCTTCCCATCTTCAATGATTTCACAGTCCTGGTGATAAAGAAACACACCCCCCACCCCAAATATGAATATTCTAAGAAACCACCAAAAAACCATGATTATTAAATATGTTTTTCTGCTGTAAATTATGGTCTGAAAATAAAGAAGTAAGCTTACAGGAGAAGGTGTTAGGGTTTCTCCCTTTAGCTTCCATACAGGATGGACATCAGGCTCAGAAATTTCAATTTCAAAGCGTGCTGTTTCACCAACAAATACCTCCACTCCATACAGTGGACGCTCCACTTTAATTATGCGAGCTAAAATAAAAAAAAAATCAAAAGTTCACATCTGTTTACTCACAAAGTCCATGCCATAAACAAGTAATATTGGAAAGGATCTCAACTCTCTCCCTCTTCCTTCTTTTGGGCATTCAAATGCTATGACCAATAAGTGTTTATCTACCCTCTTTTTTAAAAGCTGCAAGTTTTGGCAGTCTACAGCATCCTTCTATAATATGTCTGAAAATTTAGTTATTTTTAGTAAGAATATTTTTCCTCATAACTAACCCAGATATCTGTTACAGTGATCTAAGCTAACTGCTTTTTTCCTTACTGTAAATTGACATAGAGACTAATATATCATCACTGTCTTTACAAAAGCCATTTATATATCCTCAGATATATTGTCTCTAGTAAATACTTTTAATAATTGTAAATCTAGATATTTCAGCTATTCATTGTGACAGCATGCTTTCTATGAGTACATTTTTGGTCTTGTACTCTAGAGAGTGTCTGTCTGTCTACACTATTTTACAAAGGTTTCAGTACTTTCCTTAGCTAAGACATGATAACTTACACTCAACGCGGATATTGGCACTTGTCTTGTCGGTTCCGCAGTCACACTCGTAAACACCCTTATCACTCTCTGCAGCTTTCTTGATCTTCAGGATACGGCGCAAGCCATCCGTTTTTATGGAAATTCTGTTGGAAGCTACTAGTTCTTCACCATCTTTATACCATTTTACTGGCACATCTTTGCTAAGTTCACACTCCAGAGTAATATCATCTTTCTCTACAGCACTGTAGTCTTGTAACTTCACAGTGAAATATGGATCGGCCTCTACAAAAGGCATAATGGATACGTAAAGGTAAATTAGTAAAATGAATTTACTAAAACATCAATATTTTGTCCCTTTCTACTTATAAAAATTGTTAATACATATCATATAACATATTTTAAATTATTTATGTATTACCTAAGACTTTGAGGTTGGCTTGTGTGTTCATGTCCTTGACTACGGCCTTTATTTCAGAGATATCATCAAGTGTTACTTCTCTCATTTCTAATTTATGAATTTTGCCTTCTGAAGTAATAAGAACTGTTCTGCTTGTATGAAGTCTCTTGTCATTTTTGTACCATTTCACTGGCATATCTTCATGAGAAAGCTCAAATTGAAAGTGAGCTGTTTCCCCTTCTTTCACTGTTTGATCCTGTAGAGGTGATATGAACTTCAGCCTCACACCTGTAATGTAGACACATAAATACCATCAGAAAAAAGACTAACGTAGTTCTAAAAGATATATTCTTTATCAATTTTTTTTATTCTTTTATTCATAAGAAAATACTTGCCTTCCACAAACAGTCTTGCTGTGCTCTTCTTGCCATCAACTTCAGCAGTGTACTCTCCCTCATCATCAAACTGTGAATCATTGATAACAAGAATATGCTTCTTTCCATCTGCAATGATGTCAAATTTTTCTCCAATCTTGAGTATATCAGTGCCCTTAGACCATATAACATTGGCTTCTCTGGTAAGGACACACTCAAACCTTGCTTGGCGCTTCTCAGGAACAGTAACATCTTTCAGGGGCACAGCAAAGTCCAATTCAATTTCTAGAAGCAAAACATAACACGTCATTTGTAACGTGCTCCACGTAAACTCTGTTTAAGCTGGTATCATACTCCATGGTGCATCATACCTTTTACTGTCAGGATAGCTGTAGTAACAGCGTTAAGTGCCTGATAAAGGACTTCACCGGCTTGCTCTAACTTGACTTTGTGTAAGGTTAGGAAGCGTTTTCCTCCTTCAGCTTTGATTTCACATGTCTGGAGAGATGACAGAGTTTGGTAAATACAATGCCAATGCCTTACTGCTAGGTTTTTTAATAAAAGATTTTATAAACATTTTATATGAAGTAAACAGTCAGGGAGAAAGACCGAAATTGCTGTTAAAGTTAACACTTTCACTCAGTAATTTAAAAATGGAGTAAATTTATTCAGTGTTCCACACTTCTTTAGAATGCCAGAATAGTTCCTACAATGTATGTAGGATATTTCTATTATTGTCTGAATTACATGCTGAAATCCCTTAAGAAAATGAAGGCTTTCAAAACTTAGCTTTTATGGCATATTATCCTTACTTAGAGAACCAGTGTTTTTTAATCAACATAAGGTTTAGCCTTTCTATGTTCCAGACTGAGTAGCAACGACAGATCTTGCCATAAAGACTCAAGGAACCTGTTCACAGTGTTTAATATAAATTCATTGTGTTGTAAAATTCAAGGATGCTTACAGGTGAAGGTCTCAGAATTTCTCCTTTCAGCTTCCATTCACCAGGAATATCATCCTCAGATATTTCTGTATCAAAGTTTGCTGTTTCTTTCTCATAAACTGTAACATCCTCTAATGGCTTCAGAAGTTCAACTTCACGTTCTAGAATGTATAAATAAACACATATATAATTAGGTCAAGTTTTGATAGAGCTTTATAATAATTCAGGTTACCTCTTTTTTTTATTTAGACGTTTTTCAACATTGGCCTATGAGCTGATTAAATATAATCAAAAAAAAAAAAAGATTTCTTACCACCAAGGGTCAGTTTAGCTGGGTATCTGCGACCTTCAACTTCCACTGAATATTCTCCAACATCAGCAGGGCCAGCATTCTTGATTTTCAGGAAAATTTTATTTCCTTCTTTCAAGATTTCTGTCTTGTCAGTGGGTTCAGCAGGAATTTCCTCATCTCCTTTAAACCATTTAATGTTTGGTGTATCCTTGACAATGTCACAGCTGAAAGTAGCTGTTCCTTTTGGTTTAACATGCTGGTCTCTTATGGGTTTTACTAACCAGTCCCTTATAACCTCTGCATGACAAAAAGTTACATAAGAATACAGCTTAGTAGACTTTTACTAAAAATAGATGTGTCATAAAAAGAAGAAATAGAGCTAACAGATTTTGTATTACAACAAGCTTGTAATAGCTGCAAAAATCTTATCTGTCCGTTTATATTGTAATACTAGGAGAAAAAACTTTTCTGATTTTAAAATAGCCCAAATATCCTAGACAGAAAAGAGAACATGATTTTGATTGCTTACCTACTACCTTAACACAAGATGAGCATGACAGCTCAGAGTCTTCCACAGTAACAGTGTAAGTGCCAGCATCAGCATCATCTGAATCAGTGACCGTGAGAGAATGTGACAAACCAATAACACCCAGAGCAAATTTGCCAGGTTTGGCTTTGATGATCCTACCATCCTTTCTCCAGACCACATTTCTTTCTTTGTTAAGCTCACATGTCAAGTACAGTGGCTGGCCTTTAATGACAGTAGTTTCTTCTTCAAGTGTTTTCACAAACCGCACTGGGAGTTCTGTGGGAAACACATAATTTTGAATTGTTCAATTATATACAGAACATGTGATGCAAAAATACCTTATATAATAATATGTGTAGCGATTGAGAGAAAAAAAAGGATGCATCTACCAACTACTGTAAAATTACAAAGCACCAGTTCTTCTAGCTTGAGGAGTAGCTAGCCTAAATTATTCATAAATTTGAAACAGGGAATACCTTCAACAATGAGTTTGGCTGTAGAGGTCTTCTCTTTGTTCCCCAGTCGTAATACACAAGTATATTCACCAGCATCAGACAGCTGGACATCAATAATATGCAGCTTCCTATCTTTGCCATCAGCAATAAACTTGTGTTTTGGGCTCTCTCGGATGTTACTTCCATCTTTCATCCAGCTGGTAATTGCAGTGGATGGTGAAATAAGGACTTCAAAGATTGCAGAAGACCCAACAGACTCAGCTTCTTTTAGCACTATATCTTTCATCTCCTTGACAAACTTCAGTGGTACAGCCTTAAGTTGGTAAGTGAATGGAGGCTCTTCAGGAGGTTTTTCACCACCACTGCCTGGCCTGAGTTTCCTTCTTTCTGCATCTGCTGGTGAAGGTGTCTTCTTGGCTGCAATTCAGATTCAGAAATGAATAAACTAATCCTGATTCATTGCTTTTGGTTATAGGTTGGGCTGATTTTGGTTGGGGTAGATTTAATAGCCTTCACAGAAGCTAGTGTGGGGCCGTGTTTTGGATTTGTGTTGAAAGCAGTGTTGATAATACAGAGATGTTTTTGTTATTGCTGAACAGCACTTGTGCAGAGTCAAGGTCTTTTCTGTTTCTCATACTGCCCCACCAGTGAGTAAGCTGGGAGTGCACAAGAAGTTGGGATGAGACACAGCCAGGAAAGCTGATCCCAGCTGACCAAAGTGATATCCCATACCACATGGTGTCATGGTCAGTATATAAAGCTGGGGGGAAGAAGGAGGAAGGGGGGAGATTCAGAGTTATGACATTTGCCCTTCAAGTGATGGAACCCTGCTGTCCTGAATATGAGTGAACAGTTGTCTGCCCATGGGAAGTGCTGAATGAATTCCTTGGTTTGCTTTGTTTGTGTGTGCAGTTTTTGCTTTTCCTGTTAAACTACCTTTATCCCAACCTGTGAGTTTTCTCACTTTTACCTTTCTGATTCTCTCCCCCATCCCACTATGAGGGAATGAGTGAGTGGCTGTGTGGGGCTTGGTTGCCAGCTGGGGTTAAACCATGACAGTCCTTTTCAGTGCCCAGTGTGGGGCTTGAAGGGTTGGAGATAACAAGTTTGATTGGAATGTGTTAGACTGAATTAAAATCTGTTAGTGCTGTTTAGCTATTAATCGACAGGCTCCTGTGCTTGCCATGGAGTTTGCTTGCCTGACTGTATTGTTAGAGTCTAATGCTTGCTAGTTGCTGCTTTTTGCTCTTGTTGCTGGCTGTAGTGCTGCAGTGCTGACCATGTCACTCTGCTGTGCCTGGGAATGACTTGGTAACAGCTATTGGGATGTGCCTGGGCTGGGCAATGGCCTGGTCGTCACTGCTGTTTGTGTGCGCTGCTGTGCTGGACAGGCTGGAGCTCCAGTGTGAACTCAAGGCAAAGGGACTGTGACCTGTGGATGAGTCCACAGTGGAGCAAAAATCCACCTGCATCCTGTGAAGGACCCCATGCTGGAACAGGTGGATGCCCATAGACAGCTGTGACCCCAAGAGAACCTGACACTGGAGCAGGACTAGTGACCCTTGGGGGGACTCATGCTGGAGCAGCCTGTTCCTGAAGGACTGCACCCCGTGAAAGGGACCCATGCTGGAGCAGTTTATGAAGAGCTGCAGCCTGTGGAAAATACTCACATTGAAGAAATCAGTGGAGCACTGTCTCCCGTGGAAGGGGCCCCACACTGAAGCAGGGAAAGAGAGGTTCCCCTGCAGCCCATGGTGTAGACCATAGTGAGGCAGGCTGTCCCCCTGCAGCTCATGGGCTCTAATGGTGGAGACTAATTACTATAGTAGGAATCCTATGTTGCTAGCTGGACTAGGAGCAATGGGAAGAGTTCATTGCCATGCTAAATCCTATAACCTGACCCAAAAGGACCAAGGGTGAAGATTTTTATGGATATATCTTTAAATCGTTGTAACCCATTATTTAAGCTGTATGTTACAGGAATTACTATAACAGGAACCATGCAAACCAAAGGAGGAGAAGCCTTACAAGTAGAAGTGCAAGTGCAACAGTGACCCAATTTGAGCTGGCTTTGGTGCCAAATAACTCCATGTAATACACCAACTCTTCTGTCCTGAGTGACCACCAGAACAGATGGAGCCCAACATCATGGACCAAATTAATTCAGTGGATATTTTGTGGACATGAGTGGACATTTTATGGACATTTTACTGTGCTAGTTCATCAACTAAGGGAATGATATTTGTGCATCATACCAAAGGATGGGAAGGGCTGTGATGGTTAATGAGGTTGTATTGAATAGTGTGGGACCTGAGCATGATGTAAACGGTATAGAATAAGGGGTGGATAATGTGCTGGTTTGGGCTGGGGGAGAGTTAATTTTATTCATAGTAGCTTGTATGGGGCTGTATTTTGAACTTGTGCTGAAAACAGTGTGAAAGAGTGGCTGTGTGGTACTTGGTTGCCAGCTGGGGTAAAACCATGACAAGGTTTGTAGTATCCTACCTTTGACTGGACTGATACCCTTCGGAGCTTCTTCCTTTGGTGGCTTGGCCTCTGAAGTAGAACAACAATATTATTAGGAATGTAGTTAAATAAATCTAAGACAAGCATTTATTCTACATATCAGATTTTTAATTCCTTTAGTTACCCTACATGTACAAAGAGAAGAAGATATAAACATATGCATATATGTTTATATATGAACTTATACTGTCTATATCTCAATGGTAAGTTCAATATCTTGAAGCATGGGAAGCAGTAGGGATTAACAGGCACCTTAGAACCTCCTAGTTTCTCTATGTATTGTCCTGCCCCTTCTTTTGTAAAATTTTGCCATTCCTTGCTACTAGATTTAAGATTAGGCCCTTGATCAATACCCACCTGTCAGCCCAAATAGTTTCAGTACCTATTAAAATTATATGTTGGCATTTTTTTTAGAAAAAGCACACACTTTTACTAATGAAGACAACAGAAGTACAAGTTGTGTAAATTAAGTACGTCTCAGGACAATGCAGTACTTTCACAAGTGAGGGATGTTCTGTCAGTAACCTAATTTGTGATGAATCATCTCAGAATTTTGAAAATATTACCCATGCTATGTTGCTTCTCATTATTTTTTTGTGAAAGGAAATATAAAAGATACTTTTAATGGGAGAATGATATGAATGAAATGCAGGACAGATTTTAGTGTAGTGGATGGAAAAATGAATACTAGAAAAAATGAGTGAGTTTTTCTGAGAAGATAATGGCAGACAAAATGATTTACACAGTCTTATAAAAGTGTAAGACTAAGACAATGAACAGTAATCACATAGATGTATGTACAGACAGGTAAGACAAACATGTCAAGAGTGGCTGAATGCCAGTACAGCCAGCTGACAGACTATGATGAAACTGTGAATGGTGTTACTAAAACATCACAATGGCAAGTGATATTCTCCTGAAGCAAACAGTACAAGCACTTCGTGGAAGAATTCAGCATCAATCTTCCTCACCTCTCTTTGCATGAGACTTTGCAGGAACATCCAAAACTTCACATGATTGTCCAGGTGCATCCAAATTCTTGTTTTCACTTGAAAGTCTAGTGGCCTGCTCAATCAGATGAGCAGGTTCTGATATCTGGTATTCTTTCTCTCCTGCTTTCTTGGGAGTTATTATCTTACCTATCCTTGAGGAGTAAGTAACTTTTCCATTTGCATGTATTTCTTTGCTTGATGGTAATTTGTCTGAAAGCTTTCCCTTCTCCTTTGTCATGGTACCAGTTGTGCTTTTCCCAATGTCATGTTTAGTTGATGTTTTTTCATCTGCTATACCTTCTGCAGATTTCTTTTCTTCAATTTGACCTTTTTTGCTTTTGTGAACTAGAGCCTCTTTATGTTCATCCTGAATGGTATGAACTTCTTGAAATTGTTCTTTATCTTGACTCTCTGGCGGTTGAATAGCAACTTTCTCTTTTGACTCGGATCTGTCAACTACTTCATCTTTGACTTCCTTTTCATTTTCCTCTATGGAAGCTTCACTTTTGATCCCTTCTGCTGTAAACAGTGTATCAAATTCTTTTTCCACAGGCGGCTTTTCAGGGACATTTGATTTTCTAATTTTGTCTTTTGTGTGACTGCTGAAGATAGTTTTCTCCTCCTTCTCTGGTATAATCCTTTTGCCTGTTTTTTTATCACTTAGCAGTGCTTTCTCAGTCAACAATTGTCCTGAACCCTCCTCATAATGAACTTCTTCTTTCTCTGTAGAATATTTTTCTCTTACTTTCCTTTCTGCTACTTCTGGTTTAAGAATAGATGGTTTAAAGACTAGGTGAGGTTTTTCTCTGGAAAACTCCTCATCTTCAATGGGGTGTTCTAGGTCAACATCTTTTCTCAATGCTGGTTCAGCCTCCTCAGATAGGTCTAAGGAATGTAGTTCTGGTGATGTAAAGTCCAGTTTCTTACCTTTCTCACAATCTTGAGTATCTTCCATTTTCTTTGCTTCTTTGCTAAAAATCTTATCCATAGAAATTTCAGCTACTGTGCTACCAGATTTATTAATCCATTGAGTTTTACTTGGTATGTCATGCTCCTTCATGGATTCTCCAAGAGGAACTTCAGATTTCTCTAGAGTAAAACCTCCTCCCTCATTTTCCTTTCTAAGCAGAGGAGTTTCAACTATTGCTGCCTCTATGATATCCTGTACAAATAAAGTTTTATCCTTAATGTGAAATTCTTCAGGTTGCAAACTTATTTTTGATTTCTTCTCTTTTCCTAGAAGTCTTTTCTGGTCCCTGGGCTGAGATGGCTTTTTGGGTTTAGGTACGTAAGTTGTCTCAATTTCTTCTTTTCCATGCTCAAGAATCTTTCCTTCATGAAGAACACTAGACTTGTCAGAGCCTTTCTCTATGGCACCTTCCCTATGAACAAGTAATTTAATTCCATCCTCTTTTTCTTCTCCAGAATCTCTTTCCACACTTTCAGATGTTACAGAAATCAATTTCAGTTCCTCATCAGGTAGTGGTAGTTCATCCTTTGTACAAGTAATGTGATCTATTTTGACTTCTAATTTCTCACCTGTAAGAGTAGCCTTTCTTGAAACTACAGGTGCCATTTCTGCTTCCTCTTCTTCAGAAGCCAGAATGAAATATTTAAGAGCAACTTTCTCCTTCTCATCTCTCTCTGACTTCAGTATTCCATCAGCTGTTTCCAGTGAGATTTTGTACTCAAGAGGCTCTATTGTCTGAATTGTCTCCTTAGGACTTACTTTCTCTTTTACGTGCAAATGTTTTTCAACCAAAGTCTTCTTTAACACAATTGACTCAGGCTTTTCTTCTTCAACTGGGGGCATTTTACCTCTGTGCTTTAGTACAGATGGTGCATCAGGCTTTTCTGAAGCTACAAAGGTTTCACAGGTAATTTAGAGAGTTAAAATCCATAAGAATAAGGATCAAGAACAATACTTTTAAGATTTTAAGACAAATTTTCCAGCTATACCTGAAATAAAATTAACACAGAACATTTTTTCTCCACACAACAGAAAATTTACAACACAGTCACAAAAGAAAAGAAAGATAAGAATGGCACACATGAACAGAAGACCTGTTAGTATTGTCTCACCACTGTTAGTATTGTCTCATTAGATCACCAATTTAAATCCAGTCCAGGTTAAAAGTAGCAGAAAATGACAGCTATCTGGCCACTGATGTAAAATGGGTTAATTATGCCACTGGAGGCCTCGCTACATCACCAGATCAGTGGCCAAGAGACATTCATGACTAGGTTTCTCAACTGCCCAAGATCTGTAACATGAGGCCCCTTGAACGGTGGGCAAGCAGAATGTACATCAGTTCTGCTGGTGGAGCATGGGCTCAGAGTGTTTCAGAGGAATTAGAATCTTCAGGTTTTTTCCACAGCAGGCTATGATCCGGGTAAGCATATCAGATGAAAGTAGTAATACTCTAGTTCTTCAACACAACTGCCACTTTTCCTCAGGACTTCAATGACAAGTTAAAATCAGAAAACTAAACAGCACAATGATTGTTTAGAAACGTGTAACTTCCCTTTTTCTACAGAGAAAATACAAGATGCAATTCAAAGACAGACATCAACAACATGAAGGACATAAACAACATGAAGGAATCAACAGAATACACAAATCTCATTGTAGGACAACAAATGAAGACAGACATATCACCATCCAGGAAAAAAAAGAACACAGATTCATCTTCATAGTATATCAGAGACACTTTTAGATCTGGTGACAGTACCTAGAGCAATAAGATCCTTGAATAGGGCCTCAAATCTTCCTGTAATGAATGAGTTATTGTATAGCTCTTCATCTTTTTATCCTGAAGGTATTTAGGTATCTCAGAGAGAAAAACCTTATAAATAGCATAGAATAAACATAAATACCTGCTTTCTTTCCAACAACTGGGGCTGTCACTGGAGCAGTAACAGCAGGTGCTGGTTCTGCAGCCGGTTTTGGAGATTTTAGAGCTGTAGGGAAGGAAAACAAATTCTTGTTTTAATACATTATTTTAAATTTGATATTCTTTAAAATGTTTTGTAGATGGTATGAAAGTTCCACTCTTATTAATATCAAAGGAATTTGTTTAATGCGTGGACACTTCTAGGATTCAGTGGCACAGGGTGCTGAGCCATCTTGTCTAGACAGTGCTTTTGCCAAAAAGGGTTGGACCAGATTACCCTTAATGTCCCTTCCAATCTGGTATTCTATGATTCTATGAATGTTCTTTCAGCCAGAAATCTCTGAATGGAAAATGCTTCACCAATATTCATGACTAAAGAGTTCTTACCTACTGCAGGTTTAGGTTCAGGCTCAGGAGGTGGCACAACTGCTTGCTTAGTTTCTGTCATTTCAAACACAGAAATTACAAGTAGGTTAATTTACATGTTGTGTAATCACATTGAACATTGAAAGTTAGAAACAACAGAGAGAGATAAATGAAGACAGAATTTATTGGTTTATATTTTATTCGGTCGAAAAGCAAGAAATTAACTTGAGATGAACTCTTGGAATGCAAGATACAATGGAAAAAAAGATGAATTTTTCAAGCGCTGAAGAATTAAAGACAACAAGAAACCCAGAAGAATTTAAAATGGTTAATCTTGACACAGTAGTTATGGGCAGACTGGATGACAGTAATGCATTATGTTAATATAGCATGATATTCAGCACTGAATATAATTTAGTTGCTGCCATAAGGAAAAAGAGCACCACACGTCTGTACCTTTTGGTGGTTCAGGCACATGTTTCTCCTCTTTTTTTATGGCAGGTATCTCAGTTTTCTTCCTAGGAACTTCTGGAACTTTAAAATAATATTTTAATTTTTTAAGATATAGTGAATCATTTTGAATCCCCAAATACAGTAACTTCCAATGCATTTAAAAATTTCATTGTTTTCACACATAAAAGTTTCAGATGTTCATAAGGTTTAGGAATATGTATTTCTTAGAGTGAGATTTGAATAAATTTGAAACAATAAATGGGGAAATGGACAAGTATTTGTAAAATGTTATATAAAAGAATGCTTGGATTACATGTTTCACTGTAGTTATACTTTTATGAGTATTATAAAATATTTGTAAAGTTCTTTTCTGCACACAATAAAGATTGAGAAACAATCCCAAAATGTAGAATTCTGACACAAATATAAATGTCAAATTTGGTTGTGCTTTCAGCTAAGCTTTAACTTACATAATTAGGTCAATGCAAGCCATTTTTTAAAATCTCACTTTCATTCCTGAATTTAAGAGAATACCACTTAAAAGTGGGATTTTATTTTTTTCTTTAAATTATAATTTACCAAATAGATTTGAATGCAATCTAGTACCTTCAGGTTTCTTAATTTTTTCTACTGGGGTAGGTACTGGTTTAACTTCTGGTTTAGGCTCTTTTTCTGGTTTAGGTTCTTCCTCTTCAGGTTTCTTTTTAAGAACTTCAAAAGAAAAGGAATTTCAGTTTTTAAAGCACAGGCAAACAAAGAATAAGACAGGGAACAAGAAAAGATTAAATATATATTATCAATCATAAAGAAACAGGAAAGTAAAATATATAGTTCAATACAAATGGAAGATTTTTGTAACTATTCAAGATACTACTCTGAAAGTCTTTTAAAATACAAATCAATTAGGGCAAAAAGAAGGTTTTAGTAAGAGTAGTCCATCTGAGAGGAAAGATGTCAATGTTAACTGTCTATAATGGAATAAAATTTCTTATAATATCATACATTTATTCACATATTTAAATGATGACTTACTATATGTAATTATGAATTAATAACTGGAGTAAAAGATGATTTTTAGGAAAAAAATGCAGGAATATTATTAAACTTCTATTGACTTCAGAGAGAACAAGATTAAATCTTCAAGTATTATATTTGGAGAGCTCAAATTTATATAATATCTATTTTTCATTTTATTTATTTCACTTATTTTTGTCCTCTCAAACCTCCATCTTGGATATCTAATAGATTGAAATATCTAATAGATTGAAATAACTGATGACTGAGGGGTCTGAAAAGTGGAATATCTATATTTTAATATGTTCTCTGAAATTTGAAGGTTGGTTGCAAGGTATATAGGCACAAATCATCTGTCTGTGGTATTTCAAAGAGAATCGGAATTAGTGCTTATTTTTCTAAGCAATAGTTGAGCACAAAGGGACTCAGCATGTCCCAGACTTTGCAGGAAAGTGGACTAATATCCAATAGTACCACAGGATTCTATGATCTGTGCACTACTTCTAAGAAAACCATAAAATAGAGTACAGAGGCTACGTATGTAACTTTAATAACATTTACACTGTCACTGGACAGAGGTCCAGAAGCTGAAGACAGTGGAAAACTCTCAGCTCTAGTGTAAAGAGAGTTATAGGGAACTAGATTTTCAGTGTTCTGCTCTGTTTTCATTACAGACCCTTTGGATCTGAGAGACTTTCTGGCTATCCTCACTTCATCCCTGCAACTACAAAAGAGATAGTATTTGATTATGTAATTTTACATACCACACACATAAAACAATTTTACTTAGGGGAACATGCTGAACAAGGTTAATATGCTGGGTTTTTTACAACAGAGCCAAGTTACTATACCTCTTTTCAAAACAACTTCTTCTTTTGGTGGAGGAGTAACCTCAGGAATTACTTTGCGAGGTTTCTTTACAAGTCCAGGCACTTAAAAGAATATTATTCCAGATTTTATTATAGGTTCATAACAGTCATAAGAGCTAACCAACAACTAGCCTGTCCAAACATACAAATCAAATGCTGGTTCACTACTGAATATTAAAAACAAAGGTAAAACTGCTGATATTGAAGTAAATAATTATAATATACTTTCTATATTATTTGCTTACAGCTGTCACCTAAGCTTATACATAAGAGAAAGTTTTCATACAAATCAACAGAAGAGAAGTATGGTTCGAGAAAACTATAAAGGTTATGTATTAAAAAAGAGTTATAGTAGCATTTTTATTTCCTTTTCCTCTTCCATTACAGACTTATGTTACATATCTATTCATCTGAGCTGACTGTCTGTGATATTCATATGGATCCAGTGTAATTTCTAAATCTGGAACAGCATTAAGAAGAAATGTTCACTGCTTAGCTGCTGATCTTAAACTCCAGTACATATGAATAATATAAAGGAGTACTTGCAAAGTGGCTTGCTCAATAAATTATTCCTTCCCATCTCTGGAAAGTGTCCTCTCATAAAAACAAGTTACATTTCAGAAAAATAATAAACTAGATATGTTGGAACAATGCTCTATATATTTAAACAGTATTTTATATTTTATTTTTCCCTAAGCAGAAAACCAAAGTGAGCATCTACACAAGTTATAAAACTCATAAAAACTTTCTCACTTTTCTATGATTCTGTCTATTGCATCTCAAGGATTGCATGACATGAGATTAAACTGGACATAAATAGAACACAAACATATACACCCAAGACAGGGGTGCACTGCTGAGCATAATTTAACATAGACAGCTTTTTGATATATCCAAGCCAATTAAAGAAGAAGATACTAAGAACTACAACTTTGGGCCCATGAGCGGCTTATTTTAAGTAAGATCCTTATAGTAGCTAGGTACCTTTAGCAGGTGGGGGTTCCAATTTCGGAGGCTCACCGGGTTTTGCAGTCACAGCTTTCTTCCTTGATTCAGGAGCTTTAAAGAAAATTATGTGAATTTTACAACACACATAATTAGATTAAAAACAAAAAGGAGCTTTCTAAAAAATCCAAATAACTGATTAATACTACTGATGTAATAGAAGGACAAAAGCTGCAAAGCAAAGATTCTTGCTGATTAACCGTTTAGAAAAAGTCAGATGGTCTGTAGGAAGCACAGTTGATTCAAAACCCAAGTTCATATAGTAACACCAGCAAATTATTGCTGGGGATTCTTTTCATTTGCAAGAATACGTTAAAGAGAGAAGAATTACGTTAAGGATAGAAGGAAGTGTTAACTTGGTTAAGATTGTTTTAATGAATTGGTTTTTTCCTGTTGAAAAGAATCCATGTAAACTGACTTGGCATAACACATAAAATATAATGAGAGACTGAGCATTAGTAAGGCGCACCATTAAAGTGATAGTAAATTAGAAAAGAAATAAAAAAGACACAAAACGATAACTTTAAAAGCACTCTTTTCAAGATACATCAGTATAGTTTTAAAAGATTATATGTTTGAGTTTCCACTGTTATTTGTGGTTTCAGATGATTATACCTTTAAGCAGATCTTTTGCCAGTTTAATATCTTCTGTTGGTGGAGCAGGTGGTGGTGGCTTTCGCTTTTCAGGGACCTTCTTTTCAGGTTGCAGCACTTTAAATAACATTAGGTAGATTTAGAACAAATATATTGTGATGGTAGTTATGTGAAGAGTAAAATACAAACCGAAAGACCACCATTTTCCATTTCCAGTGAAACCAGTGAAAAAATATCATTGAATTAAATGGGAGCATGAAAGAGCCTTAGGTTATTGCTTCGTAGCATGCACACAATAGAAATATCCAAGCTGACTTAAAAAAGCATGTCAATAATATGAGAACAAAGGTGAACACCAAATGATGAGAAGACTCGTGTGGACAAGAAACAAAATGAAAGCATTTAAAATAATCTTTAAGTTGTACATAGAATTAAATGATCAGAAATAATTTGCAAAACATATCGACAAAGGAAAAATTACACAAAGACCTACAACATACAGACACGTGAAGAATGACAGAATGAAGAATGCCCAGTAATGAAAGAAAGGTATCTGGCAGCCTCTAGGGAAGTACTTTGTATACCTTCAACTGGTAAAGTTTCTTCGACTTCTACAACTGGAATTTCTTCTGCTTCTTCAGGCTCAGTCTCCTTTATGATTTCATATTCTTTAAAGAATATTGACAACTGGTGTAAGTTTTCAATTATAAGATGGTTTCACATGAACAATTATATTGATATAACTACAAAGAAAGCTACTCCAAAAGACACAGACAAATACACATTAGGAAAACTAATCACTCAGTATCTGTTACCTTTGTGGTAAATGCAAGATTTTGAGAAACTATTCTCTTTCTAATAATGAATCTGGGTTACGTGAAGAATAGTATTTTTTATGTATATAATATAAACTAAACATTAAATTTGTGGATGAGACATAATAGGAAAGAATAAAATCTTCGATGCTCTCTAATAATTTCAGATTACAAATATGAGGGTTTGAGAGACTCTAATTTAGTGGGAATTTACTATTATCTTAAAAAAAGACATAGTTTTTTAGGTATATCCTGCGCAGGAGCACATACTATAATTCCAAAAATTAAAATATAATAGTAGATACAAGAAATATTGACTGCTATTATCTAAAATAGGAAATGAACAATTCACAAACATCACAATGAGAAAAAAGGAAAACATCTATTTTAAGCTTATATTTAGAAGAAGAGGACAAAGGATTGTCCTTATAATAGCTTATAATGTAATAGCTATGATGGCACAAACCTTCACTTGGTAGTGATTCAGGTATTTTAGGAATAGCAACAGGTACTTTCTCCTCTGAGACAGGTTTCTTGGTTTCCTCAGACACTTAAAAAAAAATATTGTTTCTTTTATTTGTGTGTATATAAATGTACATATGAGACACACAAAAAACAAAGACACTTAGCACACAGTAACAGTGGCCATAATCATGAAAGACTGTGCTCCAGTCTCTCTCAAGGTAGTCTAAAAACAATTATCACATTTTATAGACTTAGTTGGGAACAAAGAAAAGAGAGAATATGGAAAACATTTATTCTCAGGAAATGTCTCCTGGCAATATATACCTTTGGTTGGAGAAGGCTCTGTTTTTTGTAATTGTGACTTTTTAGGTGTAGTAAGAGGTACTTTCTCTTCTGGGACAGTTCTCTCTGGCACTTCAGGAGCTTTAAAGATATTAGTAAATTTTCATTTTTGTGAATATTAAGATACATATATATACATACAATAACAAAAAGTGCAATGTCTAAAAAGAGTAGGGCATACAAAACATAAAGAATAATAAAATTTTAAGTGACATATTATTAATTTAGCCCTGCATACATCAGTGAAACAAGGGAAAAAGTATCCAGAGAACAGAGAAAAGAAGAGACTCAGTCACTGATGTATGTACCTTTAACTGAAGGAACTGTATGTTTTTTAAGGACAGGCATAGGCTCCGGTACTTTCGGCACAGTCACAGGCTCTGGTTTCTTGGGCACAGCCAAAGGTTTCTTGGGTACAGCCACAGGCTTCTTTGGCACACCCACAGGTTTCTTGGGCACAGCCACAGGCTTTGGGGGAATGACCACTGGCACCTCCTCTTCTGACTCTTTCTCCTCAGCCACTTCAGGCACTTTAAAGATATTAGTTATTTTTACTTGAATGCACTAAAGGTCATGCATATATAGACTCAAAATGACCAGATGCTGCTCTCACCCCTCCCCACAGAGTGCAGAGGGGCAAGCAACACTCAATACTGCAGCAAAAAAATCCAGAGGGCATGGAAGGCTCTTTCAGAGCACCACCATATACCTTCAGCTGGAGGAGCTTCTGGCTCTCCAGGCTCGGCAACCGGTGCCACCTCTTCTGGTGCTTCCACCTCCTCTTCCTCTTCCAGGACCTCAGCCTCAGGCATCTCGGGCACTTCAAAGATATTAGTGCGTTTCATTTTACATTGTTGAAAACACATGCCAAGTAGGAACAAAAACCAGGGCAACAGAGACACAGAACATCACAACACCAGCTCAAAACCTCACACACCCATGCAGCACTCTTTCCCCAACACGCACAACCTTGACAGTCTCAGTCAGGAATCAGAGACAGCCCAAGAGAGGGTAGGACAGTGCTTAGGAGAAGAAGATTAAGTATCTCCTTTGTTAAGTTATCCATGAAGACAGGTACCTCTGGGTGTTGGAAGCTCTGGTGCTTTGGCAGTGGCCACAGGTAGTTTTTCCTCACGAGTAACCTTCCTGGGCACCTCAGGTGCTTCAAAGATATTAGTAACAGTCAGTTTTATACAATAAAGAGGAAGATGCACAATGAAACAGAGACTGGAGATGCGCTCATGAAAGTAACCAAACGGGTCTCACAACATCAACCCATCTCTCTCTCTCATTTGCTCTCTCTCGCTCTCAGACACAGAACACCTCACACAGCACAGGCACAGAGGAGTGTTGCCTAGTGAGTTCTGTGAGAAAACTGTTGGCTATGTTGAGGTACAGCTTGAGGTGCGAATTAGGACACTCTGCTCTGTATTTAGCAGCCTTCCCTCTTTGGGAGGAGAGACTGTCATTCTCAGGCCCACCGGGATCCAGCTTTTCCCTGGGACCAACCCCAGCCCATATCTAATCTGTGCCATTCCTCATGAATCTGCTGGTACTTGGAATTCAGCAGTCTGGGTAGAGACAGGGTGAGGACACAATAGTTCTCTTTTCTCCCTATTTTTGTCCTCTATTTCTGTTCTTTGCCTATGCTTTTCTTTTTATTGGCTTATTTTCTTACCCTAACTACCTATTGTGCTTCAATTTTCATTGCACTGTGGCAACTTCCACAGCCTGTATGCTGCAATGGATTTTACAATGATTCCTTTTCTTCCTTATAAACCCCCAAATTATCAGCACTTTCTTTAAACACTTGATATGCTGTCACTTCTCACTGCACTCATGTGCATTGCTGAGTAAAAATTGGGTTTTCATTTCAAAAAATTTATGTCTGTCATAAAAACTACCTGAGTCTCTCTAAAGACTCATGTAGACATTCAGTGACAATTTAAGATAACAGAATTGGCCAGCCATATGAAAATCTTATGACAAATTGCTAAAATATATTATTTTTGTATCTACTGATCCAAAACATGAGAACAAAACAGCAAATTCAAAATATAACCTGAGTTGTTGATAAAAAATACTAGATTATCAATTTCCTAACTGTTACTTAACACAGGATGTAGAAATGTCATGAAATCACAAACAAACAGGACAACAGACATCAGAAGTAACATGGAAGACAGTAAGAAACAGTCTCATTCAGACTGATGCACAGGGTGACAGGTACCTCGAACTGTGGCAGGTTCTGGCTTTTTTGGCACAGTTACGGGTATAGGCTCTTCCAGAACACCTTTCTTGGGCACCTTGGGCACTTCAAAGATATTAGTATATTTTAGTTTTGTGAGCACTGCAGATGTATACGAAACAATAAGACAATCAATAGTATATTCACACAGTCTGTTTTGAGAAAGTGCTGTGGTTACATTCAGTCATCAGTTATGCTTTGTTTCAAAGCTGTGGAATGACCAGGGTGTCAAAACATCACACAGGAGGTGGGAATTCTGGGTTTGGTCTTAGTTTCTCAGTCAAGGTGGAAATGTAGAAAACATATGGCTTCTCAGTAACGGATGATCAGGGACTTATGGAATCCAACTGTATTTGTGCATCAGCCATATATAACACACAACTAGTTTAGCATTGTAACAATTTTTTTAGGAAATTAGCAATTGCTTTATCATTACCTCCTTGTTTTTTACTATCGATTATTTCCATTCTTTACATATCTTTTAAAGTTTCTGTTTTCCACAGTTCCTGTCATTTAGATGCTATTGTTTTCAGAAATATGTATTTCTATCTTGTCTTTTTGACTATATTAATGTGCTAGTAAGATAATCAGTAGATATATGCAGTCTTTTGCTAGTAAATCTACCTCATGCACATTGACATTAACTTACTTTCAAAGAGGTAGATAACTGATATTGCTGCTGTCATTTGTTAGAAATTTCAGGGATGCAACATTTTGTTCTTTAAACTTAGGACTTATTTTCAGGCTCTTCAGCAGAAAAACGTTATTCTGCTTAAAGTAAACATTCAGTAATTGTTTATTCTCAAACTTTACAAAAATATCAGAAAGCTGCAGATATTTTTCAAAGAATGGAATCTAGTTTTTCTGTCATTTCTTTGACACCCTACATTGCATTTCATATTTTTTAGGCACCTATCTCCAATAGGTCATCATCAGAAAAATTAGTTGAACTGAAGTCCAGAAGAGCATGACGTTTCTTTCTAACGATGATACTAAGAGTGATGATCTGTACCTTTGCCTGGTGGTGGTTCTGGTTGTTTGGGTACAGCAACGGGTGGCTTTTCCTGTGGGACATCTTTCTTGGGCACCTTGAGCACTTTAAAGATATTATTTCCTTTTAATTTCAAAGTTAAATTAATAGAAGAGCTCATAACATTTGAGATAAAATCAAAGAATTTAGATATTTCTAAACACTGACATTCCTCTAGTGACTGGATGGTTAGTCACATGCACAAAGATAGTTCAGC